CACCACTAACAGTTACTGCCGAAAAATATAACTATTTTTTTATTTCCCTTTTATTTCCATTTTATTTTAGTTAAGGAATTCGACTTGAAATGTCTGTACCTTTCAGAAATATAATTGTAAGCCGTTTAAGAGTATCTTCTCACATCCTTCTACTGAAGAAAGCATTGCATACTCAAACCTAATGACTAAATTAGCAATATTATACCTGCAGACAAGTTGTAAAATCCTAGCTTAGTCTCAACTTTTCTGATCACGTTTGTCATCTCCTTGCCACGAAGAAAGGCTTCGTACTCAGTGGTAGTGTTATCATTGTCTTCCACTTCTACACTGTATTTGTGACAGTTATCGTAGAATCGAAGTTTTTCGTCGTCCACTTTAGGCTCTGGTTCCTTTGTATTAGTTTGAAAAGTTTTGTTAAGTCCTTCATAGAAAAATTTGTAACTGTTCTGAGTTCGGTTTTTGTGAGTAAATGAAAAGTTGATATGATTCAAGTTTCCCTGTAAGGAAGATTTAAATCTTTTTGCAAATCTATCAGCGAGTCTTAACATTTCGTATTCTCCGACAAGACTTAGGGTCCCCTCTTTAGCTTCCGGGAACGGATTGGACCATAGCTTAATAAATGGATACCGGGAAATCACATTCGAGTCGCCTCCTAATTTGATTTGCAAAGCTGTCATCCACTTAATCCACTTTATAGTGGGAAATCTGGCTCCGTGTCTAAATAAAACATTGAGTCCTTCTAGTTGACATGTCTGGCCGTTATGGTTTACCGTATTATATTGATTTTCTGGTATACTTTCAGTTGGATCCTTCACCCAGAAATAAAGCGTTTTTGTATTGAACAACGGCTTCATGAATGATTCATTTCCTAGCACAGTTGTACAAAATAAAAACATATAAGCAAAATTAGTACACGGCTTCATACTGAAGGCAGAGCGATGTAACAATATAAATGGCAACGTCTGTGTAAAATGGGTTAAATTCTATCTTCACTATAGTTTTAACTTTATTTTAGGATAATAAGGAATATGGGTTCACTTTTGATACTATCAATATACTAGTATCTATGCAGTATATCTCTAATCAAACATACTTTAGTCATCTTGATTGTTTCAAGGACAACAGCGAGTTATATTCATCACGTCTATCAATTTAGCCACATTCTAAAACGTGTTTCTTTTAAAAATTATTCCTCGAAAACCTAAAAATATTCAAATGTATGATGGAGTTTTTACAAATCGTGGCTATTTATAATAACAGAATAGTATGAGTGTTCAGACAGTGCCAGTTCAAAAGTCTTCCTAACACCTTTGAATTGTTTCTGCATGATATAACATCTTTTGCATCATAAGTTTTTATATACCCTTACAAGTTTTAGTGCTTATTTCATTAGACCATATGAAAAAGTATGTTGTTTGCCTTCACTTTCGTTTCACTTTTCCAAAGACTTCACAAATCTTCAATGTACTATGTGTTTCGTCAATGTTTTTTACTCAACGCATACAGTTTCCTTATTATTGCTTAAAAAAGATGACATTTTATTTTTCTTTAAATGAAACTATCTAATTTGTCTCGGAGAGAAAAGATGAACAACTAATAAACTGAGGAAAGCAGCAGTAAAGAAGCATCTACTGTTACGCAAGCTTTACGCCCAGAAGTTATTGAACCAATGGTTCCAAGTTGTAAATTTGAAGTCATCCTTTGAAATTTTTAGGGACGCCATCACTAGTTGGTTGACTGTTATATAATATCTATGTCACAGATGACCAAGTACATGTATATGTTTCCATTGTCGTAACCACAGTACCGTCCTCTTTTCCTCGATTGTGAATCACCGAAAGAGACTTATCAACGAATTTGTACTTACCATGAACAACATGATGGGTGCCAACTGGAGCAGGGTCTGCTTTCACTTCTGGAGCACCTGAGATTACCCCATGTTTGGTGGGGTTCGTGCTGCTCCGTATTTAGTTTTCTATGTAGAATTTTATGGACTTCCTTGTCTTTTCTTCGACTATCTTTTATCCCATGGCGTTGTCAGTTTCTCTTCGACTTATAATTTTTGAGTGTCCCATTTGTATCTTCCGCATCTTTTTTTCTCTATCCGCCATACGAGTTCAAAATCAGGTACAGGTCCTATAATATAATACCTGACAGGAACATTATGAAACAGAATTTCTAAATCGGTCCATTAGTGAAACGAAGGATTTTAACAGAAGGTATATTTCTTACTATGAAAAGTCTTGATAATGTCATATGGACGCTGCAGTTGTGGATATGTGGAATTTATGATATAGTTATTATTTTACTAGCTAGTAAATTGAGAGACATCCATATACTGTAAATCAACCAGTCCGTGATGGCGCCCGTAGAAATCGAGCATTTGCCTGTCATTTCATTCCAAGATACTGAGATGCTGTAAAAATCAACCAGTTCGTGGTGGCATCCGTTGAAATCGCGCATTTATCTGTCATTTCATTTTATCAAGTTTGAAGATGACTATATTCCTTATTCGATTTGTAATTATGTTTAATGAAAAAAATAGACATTGATTATTTTCTGTTTTTAATTTGTGGTATTTTATCAATAGTTCCGATCTAATATAACGTGCAATAAAATCCTCATACCTTTGTTCGGAAAAATAAAAAAAAATGAATAATGGCCGTACTTCAGCTCGGTTGTTAATTTTGTCATAAAAGTAGTATTGATCATTGCTAAAATCATCAGAACATTTTATGAATAGGATGGCATTAGATGTGGAATATTGAATAACAAAAATGTGATACAGGACCATTGCTTTAGAACATTTAGTCATAGGAATATGCACACAAAAAACCCAGATTTTATTGCTTTACGATCCTATAATAGTGTTTGAATCAATACTTTAAGGGAGAAAAATACTTTTCATCAAGAGCATTTTCAGTATTAATCTGAAATCATGTCACTAGTAAAGCAGGATCTGTTTGCTCTTCTGGAGCACTTGAAATTATCAAACTCAATAAGAAGATGTGGTATGAGTGCCAATGAGACAACTCTTCATCCAAGTCACAATGTACAACACAGAGCCTTGGCTCACACCGAACAGCAAGCTATAAAGAGCCCCAAAATGACTAGTGTAAAACAATTCAAACAGGAAAACCAACGGTCTCATCTATATAAAAAACGAGAAACGAGGTACACCTATGAACCACATCAACAAACAACAAGCACTGAACAACAGGCTCCTGACTTAAGTCAGGTGCATAAAAATGCAGCGGGTTTAAACGTTTTAACAGGCGCCAACCTTCATCCTAACCTGAGACAGTAGTGTAACATTACAATATAAAAAGACACACTATAAAATATCAATTGAAACGGCTTAGCTCCATCAAAAAGACATTTAAACAAAAACAAGTAAACATACACTGAACGAATAAGTTTGATCTATGACACAATATTAAAACGTAGGTGCCTATATAACATTGACGTTACAGTTAGTAAAAAAGAAAGATGTAGGAAGAGTGTCAAAAAGACAAAGTATATTTGTTCCGCCTAACAGAAGTTCCTCAGTTTAGAACTGTTATTAAAAACGCTATCATTATGAAAATAAGGAGATGTGGTATGATTGCCTATGAAACAACTATCCACCATTTATAATATCGGTTTCTTTTGGAAAACATATTGTATACCCTTATTCCGTTAGGAACAAAACTGTAGTATTTCTTCCAGTGGAAATGATATTTTAGAATATTCCTTCCCTTGTGAACTAATATTATAAAGGAACTATTATGCCATGACAAGATAAATCACAGGTTTTGGAGGCTCTCGTTTTGCAGTCTTTAGTTTTGTGTGTAGTTTTTTGTAGACTGTTGATTGTCTTTGTGTCGTTTTTCTTGTCTGTTTTCCGTCGACTTGTGATTGTTTGCCTCAACGAGTTTGTACTTACATTAGCATCATGACGAATACCACATGTGGAGCAGGATCGTTTACCCTTCCGGAGCACCTGAGATCATCCCCGGATTTTGTTGGGTTCGCGTTGCTCAGTCATTATGTTGTGTTTTCTATACTGTTTGTCTTTTGGTCGTTTTTCGGTTTATTCTTCCAGTTTGTCATCGACTTATAAGTTTGAATATCCGTTTGTTATCTTCTGCTTTTCTTTTAGTATCGTCTGCCCCTTTTTAGATAGAAGGGAACTAAATAAGCTTATGAATGAGCTATCTGTTGTTTTTCATCTTTTTGTCTTTCTTTTGTTATCAACCCCCGGGTTGTTCGTGGGGTTGATTTTTCGTCTTTTTATTTCCCTTTTCTCCAAGAATAATCATATTTTGTGCTTTTGCCAATGAAACACTGTCCGTCAAACTGACAAATAATGGCATAAGTTAGAATAAATTCAGGTGCAAGGATGAATTTAATTATTTTATTTTATATTTATAACAGTAAGGAACAAATAAGCGAAAAGAGGGGCACAATTAGTTTCCGTTGGAATACCAATCACTTTTTCGGTACACTCTATCTCCAAAACGAACATGATTCTTACTGTATCAAGCATGAACAATAACTTCAATCATTTCTGTTTTGTAAGAGTGCATTAATTAATGTCAGTATTTTATTTAATTGGAAAATCAATGTGTGTTGGCGTTCAAATGCGTCTATTAATCTTGAATCGTATAAATGTGTAATTATTTCTTACAGAAAACCTGAAATTCCAAAACTAATTTTCTTGAGAAAGTCATCAAAATGCAAACAAAGCAAAATAACACCAAAGCATACATTGTTGAAGGCCGTTAGGTGAACTATAATTGCTTATATCCACTTCAGTTGAACTCTGGTGAATAGTTGTCTCATTGGCAACAATGCCACATCTCTTTACTTTTATATAGTTGTCTCATTAGCAATCAGACAACATCTCCTTATATTTATATACCGTAGATGTCTTATTTGCAAATATACAACATCTCCTATTTTTTTTTATACTATTACAATTGAAAAATTCAACAAACTGTCCATATAGAATAAATAAATATTGAACAAACAAGTTTATTCCACTGTTTAAATATATTGATAGTTTAATCAATATTTGATTGGTTGAGACTATCCCACGTGTCATTGAACAAATCTTCATATTCCATTCTGAGGATCATATTCCCCTCTGAAATGTCGGGATTACTTCGTGCGCACGACGTTACGCGCGGTTAATGTACATAACGTTTTGAACTTCTTATTCTTCTTAAAATAGCGATAGCAAAAATCATTATCATGTTCAAATTTATTTCAGACGATAAAACAAAAAGACTTCTAATTAAATTTTGATCCTTACTGTTTATCAATGGGTATGCAAAAACAAGCGGATAAGAAAAAAAAATGTATGCAAAATAATATTTAATGTATTGATAGTAAACAAAGCATAGGCAGTGGAATAAAACATTCATTTCCCTTTGCCTCGGGAGATATGAAGATTTGCTCACCCTCGAAAAATCATAATTCCCTCGGGCAGAGCCCTCGTGAAATATGAATATTCTTGGGTGAACAAATCTTCATATCTCCCTCCGACACGGGAAATAAATGTATATAGTACTGAATTCATTATGACACATGTCAAGGTTGTATGTCTGGGACCGTATGTTAGAGGTCGTCTTTTAATTAGAAATATTAATCATTACTTGAATTTTTTTTGTGTGAAATAAATGATAACCAGAAATATCATTTTAACAGTATCCTTATGCAAGACAGGTAAGTCAATAGCAATACCAGCATATAGTCTGAACTCAAAATGAAACTGTTACTGGACATGCTGGTATTAATTTTACATATCTGCTCAACATCGCAGTTCGCAAGATCCTTGTAATATGTTTCAAATTCTGAAAACAGACAACTTCTTTGTCCACATGCCGGAATAACTACTGGTTCCTCGTTTACAAATAATCTAATAAGGTAGTCCATGGATGTGTCACATTTGTATAATCCAAACCCAAGATTGGCTGAAAATGGACCAATCAAACTTGTTCTAAATGTTCTGTTCTTGTTCATTTGGTAATTGTCAGCTAAAAATTTCTGTGAGTCGTTGAACAACCCAAAAGCCGTATACAGTGGAATAATAGTATCAGTATGTCCAAACTGTATTACAAAAGGTTCTGGGTATGTCTCACTGAAATGTATCAAATACAAGTAAAGTAGATTTAATTTTATTTGGCAGCAGTGTTTGACGCAGATAGACAAAAAAATACTAGATTTAGGAAATAACAAGATTTCTGTAATAACGGGGTAGAAATAATCGATTTCAAATGTCAATTTTAAAGTCATACAGATAACCGTCAAAAGGTGATATAACCAAACTTACAACATAAATATTTTGCGATATCTTGGACATATATAATAACTTTCAAATTTTCGTTCATAAAATCAAAACTTCGCAGAACGAGTTTGGGAACAAACATATTATCGGACAACAAGGTCCAACAAACATTTCGGTCTACATTCTCGGGAGCAAACATTTATTCTTATGCAATGAATTTTGTTTTCTGTGAAATATTTTTCAAATGTTATATTTCTGCAATATTATAACAGAAGTATATTTATAAGTTACGGAAGATTAGTTAACTGACGAATATTGAAAAATTATGTTTTGAAACTCATTGTAAAAAGTTATTGGAACGAAGGGAACTAATTTTAAGTCGATAGACTTACTCTGTCAAAAAATAATTTATGACAAAACATGTTTATCTTGAACAAATACCAGGTTTAGTAGAAAGTAAACATAACCATAATACAAGGCAAAGGCAAAATGTTTAGAAACTACTATACGGTATGGGTTTTTCTCATTGTTGAAGGCCGTACGGTTGCCTTTAATTGCTTACATCCACTTCATTTGTATACTTTGGTGGATAGTTGTCTTATTGGTAATCATACCACATCTCCTTATTTTTATATAGTATAAAAATTCGCTCATGTTTAGAATTTTCTTTCCTGCAACATTGAAATTATGGGATATTTTAAAAGATACCTGTAAATTTAGACAATGCGAAATCAGGAGGAGTTTCCCACATATTACTATTTTGGAAATTGCATTGTACAATCTCTCCATGCACGCCTATATACGAGTGAACTCGTGCGCTTTACACTCCCATTTATTTTTAAGTTATATAGTAGGTTGTGGCCTCCTAGTAATCGATGTGGTGCTATAGAAACAAACTTTAATTATTGTTAACGTTCTCCATTTATGTTAACTTACTTCAAATGCTATTGAACTACCTTGCTCATTTTATACAGCGTATTGATGCCTATAGTTTACTTCTTTTAACTGATGATGAAAACAGTACTCTTTCTGTTAACTTCTCTGTCGCTGGCAATACAATTTTCTTATCAATTGAGGTTCAGAATTATATTTTGAAAAGTAAAAGGTTTATTTCATTTTCCTTATGAAAGCTTTAATTAAATGTTTTCCTTGCATTTCGATTATTTTATTCCATTTACTTTTGCCGGCTTTTTTAAAACATCTAATAAATGTTTAAAAAGTTGATATTCGTACAGACAATTGCACATATAAAATCGTCAAATAATTATAAAGAAGTCTGTAAACTGATGAAACTAAGATCTTTCACTCTGATCAGTTGGATTTGTTTCAATAAGTCTGACGGAGCTGAGTGAAAGATCTGATTTTGATTAGATTGAATATGTTGGGCTATCAATTTTGAAAGTTACTAACTAAAGATAATCGCTTTATTTTTCTATCGACGCCAAATGCCTATTTCAGTGCATTCTGATATATGACAGACTATAGGAACACCGACGAGCAATGTATGATAATAGTAATATGCAACGGCCGATTACGCCGATTGTTCATGTGCAAATTACTTGATGGATGGATTGGTAAACGTCCAGTTACAAACATTACATGCATATCAGAACGATAACCTGTAAATATGATATGAATATGAACTCTGCTTTGTACTAGACAGACATGCTGAACTGGATTTTGACGTGCTACAATATACCAGTTCTCAAGAAGACTGTTACCCTTACCGGATAAATTATTCTGACTTAGAGCCGACGAGTATTTGGTCTTTTTCCTGATGCTGCGGGAAGCAACAAACGCCAAGTGTCAAGTCTTAATATCAACCCGGCCTTGGATCGAACCCCAGTACTCCCAGTGGCCACACTCGAGGCGATGTGCAATGAGGTGCAATTTACTTGACAAAAGCGTTTAATATTGTTACAAAGTGAAGAAATGTACAATTTTACGATCGTGGGGTTTTAGACAAACTTAAAGACCAAAAACAATATTGTACTTTTTACTTAGATAGCACTTTAAAATTTAAATACAAGGCACTGGACGGTATAATACATCGACCGTGGCAAAATAACGCCTACATAAGTATAAATGGAAAAGGAAATGTCAGATAAATAAAAACCGATTGGCAATTTTTTCCGCTTTGGGCACTATTATAACAGGTACCATTAGTCATGCTTACTTTTAAGATTAATGTGTTTAGCGATAAAACCGTTTGTTTAAAATACGGTTGCTTGGGGTAGACAAATTAAATTGTTTTCTGGATGCTGTTCCGGCGAGATCAACTGATATATTAGACTATTTATCTCGTACAAACATTTATTATAAAGATGTGATATATTGTAAGAGTTTCATTTCCTTAACATCGACCAATGGTATATTTTTACACAAAAAGGGGGATGTTAATACAATACGGATATGTCTAAGCTAACAACATAAGGAAATTCCTTAAGAATAGAATTTAGAAATGGTATAAAAAATACACTTTTTCTAATTCATTTTTGATAGTACTATAAAAGAGAAAAAAATAAAAAATCATATATCAGAGTAAGTATGATTTTCAAAACAACAAAAGATAAGAAAATAACAAATTATGTACAAAACGTAACGGTTAAATGATGACCGAAGACAAGATCTTCAGGTGTGTTTTGTATGTCTCTTGTGACTGTACTCCTAAAACTAAAGAAAATGTGTGGTAAAGGTTTCATAGTGATATCACTCCTAAAACTAATCAATACACGCAGTATACCGATTTGACAGAAAATCATAAATATGTTAAAAACAGCAAAGGAAATAGTGGGTGAGGACCGATTTTATAATGCCATGTAGGTATTTACGACCGCTTCTGATGACCACTACATATCCATATAATGAACACATAACGTCGTTACTAATATCATATACTCACTTATGTCGTTTTCCATCCACAACATTTCTGAACATTTTAAACAGCCGTGAAGTATATGGACAAGATGTCTGCCAATTAATTGTGAAGCCGTATCCCATCTCCCAGTAGTTCTAAAGAAGAAATTAGTTTCCATATAAAATTAGATACCAGGCGCGGATCCAGTCATTTTGAAAATGGGGGTTCCAACCCCCAGAACAACTAGAAACGTTTAAATGAAAATAAATTTAAAAAAACTATTGAATGGTGACTTGGGAATAGAAATAGGGTCACCATTGGTCTTCCTCCGACCGGCAGTTAAACCCTCGCCAAAATGGGGCGTCCGTTTGGCTGCGAGGGGTGTACTGTACAAGTTCGCAGCCACGTCCGGTCAGAATGGGTACGTTAAATCCGATGCATCGTGTAACGAGAGTGCCACGCTCTGGGCACGTTAAGAATCCTTGCAACAACTCTTTGAAGTGTCCGTAGGTCGCATGTTGCAAGGCTAAATTTCTGTCCCTATCTAAAATACACCCATTTTCCCGACCTTCATCCCGGACGGCCTCTATTACAGGTCCTACCTATCGTATGTATTGTTAATTTGTTCTCGTCCTGAACATGCATGAAATATTTGCCACTGGACGTTAAGCAACCAACAATAAATCAATGAACTAATAAAGATAAGACGCAAAAAAAACAGGGATAAACACTGGCACACACAAAAATGCATATGCCTCGGCATTACGAACTACCCTACACTCCAATAATGATGTTAGCTATATACCCTGGAATATCTTACTTTCGTGTCTTACTGTCATACTGTTTTACTTATCTCAGAAAATTTTTATAACACTTCGTGATACATGAAAGATTAGCTAACATTGACTTCCAGATCTATATATGAGTTTGACCAATATAAAAATAGGAAGATGTAGTATAATTGTCAAGAGACAATTCTCCATCAGACCAAATGCTGTAAAAGTTAGCAACTATAGGTTAACGTACGGCCTTCAACAATGAACAAAACCCATACCGCATAGCAAGCTATAAAAGATCCGGAAATGACAAATGTAAAACAATTCAAACTAAAAATCGTCTCTTTTTTCGTAATTTTATTTTCAACAATGAACAAAACCCATACCGCATGGCAAGCTATAAAAGATCCGGAAATGACAAATGTAAAACAATTCAAACGAAAAATCGTCTCTTTTTTCGTAATTTTTTTTATGTAGAGATTCCCGTGTTCTTGGTTATTTAACGAAAAAATATTATCAAGACAAAGGTAAGTGTTGTTTAATTTATCAATTAAATGGAATGCAGACGGGTCTTTACTGAGTTTGGCCATAAACAGTGATTCATAACAATACAGTAACAGGTGTGCTCTGAAAGGGGTACTATTGGTGTTCATGTGAATACCCACAACCTGTCAATAAACTTTACTGAAACTACAAAAATTTTGTCAAAGAGAAAATTTACAGCTTTAATCATCTCATCACACGTTTAATTATATAAAAATAAGGATATGTGGTATTTACTATATAAAAATAAGGAGATGTGGTATGATTGCCAATGAAACCACTATCCACCAAAGTTCAAATGAAGTTTATGTAGTTATCATAGGCAACTGTACGGCCTTCAACAATGAAAAAAGTAAGTATATTTACCATATTTACCTTAAACTCATGCTTTATATGAGTTGCAGCAGATACATTTTCAATCAGGTTTTTTAAACGGCCATCTAATTAAAGTGTTGTTTGATAAGATTCTGTGAAAGTGTAGTGTAAAGAGTTGGAAAGTCATAATTTTGAATCGAATTAAAAGGACGCAATTTATCTGAAACATCCAAAGAATGTTTACACTTCAAAAATAGTTAATTCCACTATTTTCATAGGATTTGTTCAAAAAGTTAATGATAAGTTCTTTGATAATAGTTTACATGGCTACTATAATTCACATGATTGTACTTACACGAATATCAATTAGATAGTCAATGATCAGCAGATCTTCCATGTCAAAGAATTGGCACCAATTTGATTTGTTTAACATACCAAGTTCAAACGCACATATTTGTTGTATGGTAACAACATCCACTAGAAAATAAGACACATTAGATTAAAATAGTTCTTAAGTGTGGTAATAGATTACTCTCAGTCGTGTCAAAAGAACACATTGCGTGTAATCAAAGTTCAGTGTTAAAAGGCATTACTGCGTGTGATATTAACGACTGGTGAAGAGCAGCAATTCTGTTCTGTATTCTGTTTCTTTGCTTTTGATTTTATAAGTACGTACATGAAGGAATTTTGTGTCATTATTTAACTTGACTTTTCTTTCGCAGGGTAACTGTTTTGTTCAGTTTGCAAAACACAAGTTATGTTTCATTTCAAATTGGTATATTAAGTTTGGATAAATAAAAAAAATTCTGAAGACATAGAGTAAAGGGAAAAACGAAAAACCGATAGAACATGCTATCAGATTTCCTTTCAATGTGTATTCATCATGCTGGTGAATGTGTGTTCTCGTGTACATGTGATACAGTACTTTTTGTCCGAAATTTTACCTTTTTGTTTGATTTCTATTTTGTTCGATAATGTTGCTTAATGTCCGATAAATATCTGTTTCTAAAAGCCCCAGTTATATAGACGTTACGACCGCGATACGACATCTCTATGACCGCAAAAATTTACGATCACAATGATCTCTACTACGTCTCCACTTCATTTGGTTTGAAGAAAATAGTACATTTTAAAACACACCATGGTATAAATAATACTTAACCTATGGTCAGCTGGAAAAAATATCTGTCGTGGTTAAAAACAATAACAATATTTGAAAGTGAGACTGCGAAACATCTATATATAGTTAAACCCATCTTATTTCAAAATCGTTGACGGTCGAGAGCAACAGTGACCTAATTCTTTGGCCTTTTGACTCCGAAATCAATATGCTTCTTTCCCTTCCATATATATTCGTAAAGCAAAATATTACAATGATCACTTCAACTTCAAGGTAATTTTTTGTATAATACGGAAGAACAAAGTCACTTGCAAAAACTGGAAAACACTTATATCATATTAGCTGAACCAACAAACGGATACTGACTCGTTCCTTGACATTTTTAAGACGCAGAAGAAGGAAAAATAAATTCAATTAACAGGAAAGTTTAAAGTACATATATGAAACAATTTCCGGGATATAATTTGAAGTCATTTCTACATTTCTTGTATAGAAATGGACCACGGCAAACAGCTGTGACCGATAATAAGTTAACAGTTTTGTCAAGAATTGATCCGAAATTTCTGTTTAAACAGATCGGAGTATTTGAGCTTCTGTGAAAGCATAGAGACATGGTAATCTGCTCGTGCGCTGGAAAGAGTTGATGTTTCCCAAATTTCACGAATTAATGCATATTTCTTTCTTAAAAATGTTCACGTAATTTCTTGTTTTCGCTTTATTTTTTGTACTCCTAAAGCTTGTCTGTATTCCAACTTTCAATTTATTGCAATGGCAATGTCCAAAATAGTAGTATGGGTTGTTAAAGAGTTATTTTCACACGACGTGTTTGCTTTTGCTGCTCAATCAATATAAATTAGCGATTTTCTATGTAAAACCGGAAGAACAGATCACCTATTACTTAATTATGATTTTAAAGGGGCAACAAATTTAATAACACGAATGACAATCACAATGTATTGTACAGTAAAAAAAGGGTTTGAAATTTTATTAATATGCATATTAACAACGTAACTATATAAAAATAAGGACATGTGGTATGATTGCCGATGAGACAACCATCCGACACAAGTTCAAAAGAAGTGATATGCTGCAAAACTATAGTAAGGACACTTCTTCGAATTCTTGTTAATGTAGTACTTTTATCCAACCGACCATACTTGTATTCGTAAACCAAAATATTACAATATTCTCAATTTCCTCATAGGGACAGGGTCATGATATTTCTGAGATACCAGATGGGCGGTATATATCGATTGCTTTAATATACTCGAAATAATGATAGATTGATATAAACTTGCTTGCTTTGAGTCCAGTGGCAAATTATCAAGCGTATTTTGAGACCAGAACAATTTAATAATTCATATATATGTAGGTCTGCTAAGTAGGCCAACTGGAGTGAAGGGCCGATAAGTTGGACTGCCACTGGAAAATGAAGGCAAGTTAGTTATATATAGGAGCAGAACTTTTGTCTTGCAGCCGGGCACCCAAAAAGGATCCCTCAGAAGGATGTTGCAAAGGTTCTTTAATGTGCAGTGAGTACGGAACTCGCCTTTATAAACGAGGAATCAGATTTAACGTTCTCGTTCTGACAGGACGTGGCTGCGAATTTATACATCCCGGACAGCCAAACGGATGTCGCATTTTAACGAAGAGTTTTACTGTCGGACGCGAGAAGTCCAGGGAAGACTTTGTTTCTATACCAAAGAAAACCCTTGGGGGACAAAATACAGCTACCGCATTAACACCGATTCTATGAAAAAAAATTGATTAAGCAATGTCGGACTAATGGGGTGTCGGATAAATGGGGATGTCGGACTTATTAGGCGTTGGATGTTGTGCGAAATATCGGGCGACCCCCAAAAAGTAAAGTTTCGGACAAAAAGCTAAATTTTCGGACATCATGAAAGCAAATCGGACAATAAGCGACTGTGCCGAACAAAAAGCAAAAGTTGCCGCCAAAAGCAAATTTATTCAGACAAAAAGCAACGTAGGACAAAAAGCACTGTACATATCATAAACATGTTTTACCTGGTTCAATGTCAGAAGCTCCAATTTTCTGTCTCACTTTATTGACAACAGATGTCATTTCATTTCCATTTAAGAATTTGTAAAATTCAGTTAAAGTTTCTTTGTTTTGGTCAACATCTCTTATGTATTTACCACAATAGTCGTAATACCTCAGTAATCTATCGTCAGTAGATGTTGTTATTGAATTTTTACCGATTACATTCTCCAAACCCAGACAAAACTTGCTTTTGCTTTGCTTTGTCCTAGCTTTCGACGTCGTTTCAAACATAAACTTCCCAGCATTTTTACGTACATTGTTTCTAAATCGTTTGCCGAATCTCTCCCCGAGTTGAAGCATTTCTTCATCTCCAACGGCAGACTGTTGATACTGTTTGCTTTTTGGAAATGGGGTTCTCCAGTTCCCTATAAAGGGATTTTGTTTAACAACTAATGTATCCTCTCTTAGAACTGTGGAGATGTTATCCATTTTCTGTATCCATAGTAGAGATGGATATCTGGCACCGTGTCTGAATAAGTAGTGGAAATTTCTAATATGACACGAATGTCCTCCATACATAAATGATCCATCTCTATTCTCCAGTATAGTTTCATTAATATGTTTTACCCAAAAATGCGGAGTCATAGCATTAAAGATTGGTTTCTTCAAATTGTCTTGAGGAATCACTTTGGTAATTGAAAATAACATAACTGTCAATAAAATGACACATTCCATTTCTAGAAATGTTGCCAATATTTGCAATTTATAATTAAATATTCCAATATCTACACACATGCCGAGCACATATACATGTGTAATGTAAACAATCAGCTGTGCTGTCGGTAGTAACGTTAATTGTTGATTTCAATTAATGTACGTAATTTGTGTATCACTAGAAAATTATTGTATAAGTCAGGGATTTTGTTACCACAAATTACATGAAACCTTTGTTTCATAGATTGAAAGATTTGGCTTTAAGTTTGGCTGTAATTACAGGAAATTTATTCGTTTTCTCATTGCCAATCTTACTTATTGTTATATAGAAGTATAGTCCAGATAATCATGCCGATTGCTGTGGGTATTTTTCGATTTTGACTTTTTTTGATCCCACATTGTCGCAGGAAGGCGTCAAAGCAAAAAATTAAAATAGCCTTCCTAGACGTCATAATTATTTGGACTAATAGAAGTACTGCGAGCAAAGTGTAACAGTGGTTTGATTCCGCCAGTTTACTTTATCCGGAGGAAGAAAATCCATTTAACCCATTTATTTATGTAAACAATAAACAATAAACAATAAACAATAAACCGGACTAATATAAACAAAACAACGATATCAAGATCGACGCTTTCACACTATTTACATCCAATATTCTCTAGTGAAAAACAGTTACCCAGAATAAATACACGGCGGAATGAAAGTACGCTTACAAAAGCTCACAAACTGGTACCCCAACCCTGATGAACCCTGATATAAATGTATGGCAAAATATAAAGATAAAGATAAATTTTATTTCCAATAGAGGACCCATTATAGGCATAGTCAGTACTTTGATTTTTTATATCACACAATTGCAATAGACAATACACAAGAAAATAAAAAAAAGAAATACAACTGAAAAAAAAAAACCATGAAATAATAGTTAATAATACATGTAGTCACGTAAACCAGTATGTTTAGTGTTTATTGACCATGCACCAGAACCAGCATCATATCCATTATAAAAAAAAAAGCTTTTGAGTCAAGTCCTTCCTCGTGGCTGATGCATATGAACAAATAGTATTGTTGTTGTTCATATGCAGAAGTCACCAAGGGCAGGTGCTTAAAGGACACTCAAGCCAATACACAGAAATATGAACACTTAAACACTTTACAAAACAAGCATAAACTAATACTTAATATAATTACTATATTATAGTCCTCCTTGTGGCTAATGCACATAATTAAGATTAATATGTAGTTATCCAAATGAAGGAGCCACCAAGGGCAGGCGCTTAAGGGACATAGAAATATATTGTGTAAAATTTTTGTGTAAAAATATTTGGATTTGGATGCAGCCTCTAGCACAACTTGTCGCAATGCTCTGAGATAAAAAAGAGAATACACAAAAAACACAAACAATGGTATGAATTATGAGTATTTTTCATTCTGTTTTATGAAAGCACACATTTCATACAAGATATCCTTGTTTTCATTACTCATTAACCAAATAAACTGATCTTTAATTGTCAACATATCAAAATTAGCACAATATTTGGCAAACTATAAGAATTGCTAGTCAACCCCAAAACAATTTGGATGAACAATCAAAAAAAGAAAGTACACATAAGATGACATATTGTATCGCTAAAATTCTGAGTAAGTTTCAATGAATACTAATAAAGGTGAGGAGTTGCAAATACAAAATGTGCCCCCCCCCCTTTTTTTCCCCTGCGATAAAGCACTGGAAAAATCCATGAATTGCAATAAAATTTGCACATATAGGTACATTTTAATTTTTTTCTAAGACATCCAAATTTTGAAACTCAAAACGCTTATTTACAAAACTAAGAATGGGTGATTATGACTAACTGGTAGAAATATGAACAAAATCAATTCACATTGACAACAAAGAACGTGTCTAACCTGTAAACCATCAACACCATAGAAGATAAAAACCACTATTTATTTTTACTTGTCAAATAACAAAAAAATACGCACATATCTCTTTTTAAATGACTTTGACATAGATAATCCTATATTTCCAAATATTTTCAATACTGAAAATTAGTAATCCTTCTAAATCCCTCAAATCTACATCAAGTATATAAGAAAACCAGGTTTCATTTTAAAACAGTCTTTAGAGCTGAGGGAGGGGAACTCTTAGTATATACATATTCATATTTTTTTTTTATAATTTTATGATTTGTATTTTTCACAAGATGAATTATCATTGTTCTCTTTTAATTATTTCCAGTTAGTTTATAATGAACAACCGAGCATGATGAGAATAACCTTTCAGTTTTTCTGCCCCCACCTTGACCGTCCGTCCGTCCCATTTTCGTTTCCACACTCTAACTTAAGTTTTCCTCATCCAAATTTTATGAATCTCATACACAATGCTAAGAACCAAACCTCGCTGACAGAGTTCGAATTTGGGCAGTGAGTCACTTACCGTTTTAAAGTTATGTTCCTTTATACTTTGCACTCTTAACTTATATAATAAGTTTGCCTCTTGCAAATTTTATAAAACTCACACATAATGCTGAAAACCAAAACTAGCAGACAAGAGTTCGAATTTTGGCAGTGAGTGACTTACTGTTCTAGAGTTATACCCCTTTATAAATAGCAAAATTGCTGAATTTGCCGTTTCCGCAGTCTTACTTTACTTTGCCCAATCAAATGTTATGAAACTTAAATACAATGCTTATTACCACCTAACGCCTATCAAGTTTGAATTGAAGTGTCGTCACTTTCAGGGTTCTTGAGTTATGTCCCTTTATACATGGGAAAATTGCTGAATATTTGCCATACATTTACAAGCGGGGGCATCTGTATCCCCATGGACACATTCTTCCTTTATTTTTGAATAAAGCACAATTTACACTAAGATGTCATTATTTGTAATTGGATAACCTACATTTATATATAAAACCCTCTCCTCAATTAATAACTGCTAGCCTTTTGCATCAGCCATAATATCTTGGTGCAAATTATATAAACCCAATCGGGCCAACGCCCTTATGAATGCATCTAATACTTGCATCGTATGTTGTACTTTTGCTTCATTGACTCATCACTATTAGCATTTATAATAATTAAAGACAGACGAATGTATTTCTTAAATTGCAGTTCCGATGATTCATTTCCTGAGTGGGTTAAACAAGTCACTTCATGCACAATGCAAATTTTGCTATGTATATCATGGACGTTCAAATTTATATTGATGTCCTCAATCTCTCTTCTTGTCCTTGTAAAGCTGAAGACTGGGAAAACAATACTGCATTATCCCGGCATTTCTTTTCCCTAAGTCTTTGTAAAAAGCGTCGCTAACCGCTCGATCCCGCCCGACGTTACGCCCGTCCGTTTGTATGTATACCCGAAAAACCTAGGGTAGAAAACTTTCGTCAAAGGTTTCTTGGCTTCTAAGAAAGGGAATCATTTTATATTTGGTCTTCAGCTTGATAATGTTGAGTTGTAGGTGTAATCAATTTTAAAATCTGCCGTGCAGCCTCTTCCTGCTTGCCGATAGTTTAAAATTTTACAACGCCTTTTATACAAGGAAAATTTCATCAAACTTTTCTTGGCTTCAATGATTTAAGGGAATGACCAATCACGCTTTAAGGGCATCCGATACAGTTTCAAGGGAGTTAACTCTTGGCGCGACGTTATGCGTTTGAATTCCCGCAAAACGTCACTTTTTGCGGGACGTAATGCGTGTAATTTTCCGTAATAAGAAACGTAATGTGGATTTTCGATGCTTCAATTTCTGTTTCTCCCGCATGCTAACTTCTAAACCATTAATATTAGTGCATTTGATTCTAACAGGATAACAGTCTAATAAAATCAGAAGAAATAAAACATATTACTGTTTCTGTCAGATCTTCAACAAAGTATCGTATAGTGAGCAATCTCAAGACGACTGACCCTTTTTTGATGTTACTAATATAATGCATGTCAATTATCATTTTTATTATCATTCATCATCTATGATTTGGTCCGAATCCGATTTTCTGACATTTTATTACAGCACAGAAAACCAATGATATTTTAAAACTAATACCGAAAATTTAGGTACACGAAGAAGTAAATTTCCTAACTGAACAATTTACTAAAATAAATAATGGTATGCCGCAAATATTAAAAATGATACAACAAAGTTCCTATTTCTTCCACGTTGCACGTATTTTATCTAACAAAAGGCAAAAGTCAACAATATTAACGGCCGAAAAATTTTGACGGAACGTAATAATGGTATACAAATGTCCGGCGTCTGTCTGTCCGTCTTTAACATAGTACAGCACAAATATCCAAATTTCATTAAACTTAACATAGTTGTTTTTTATGATGGTCAAACGATAAGTATACTTTTTGGTGAACGTTTTGAGTTACAGGACTTTGTAACTAAAACAGAGGTGTTTTTTTCACAGTTCGCGCCGTATCTCAAAAACGAATTATGATTATTGCTTAAAACTGTACACACTTCTTAGTTATATCAATCTGAAGATCTGTGTACTTTTTGGGGATGATTCAAAATTTTATTTTACAGTTATTGAGTTTATGAAAAAAGAGGGGGTTTTCACATGTCGCGCCGTATCTCAGAAACTATTTATAATTATTGCATAAAACTTCACATACTTGTTACTTAAATTAATCTAAAGATCTGTATACTTTTTCGTGATGATTCTTTAATTCATTTTTGAGTTCTTGAATTTTTATTGAGCTTCAATTTGATATCATAGAACACATGATGTGATATATAAACTTCCTATTGAGAAAGAACAAGGAATGAGTCAGGATATACTTAGCATGAATTCCTGTACAACCCCCGTGTTATTTTAAAAACATTTATTATGGGTTTTTTTCATAAGACGATGGGCGTATCATGCGCTCTTAGCGCAGCTGTTTATTTTGTTCTTTATTTTTTTTACAAATATATAAGAGAAATGACGGATTGACATCAAATACAATGCAATTTCCAATATAATTAATATTTCCAAATGGCATAACTCTTTTAAAGAACAGTTGATATGCACTGATTTTCGAACGTGTCCATACGATATTAGTTTTATAAAAATTTGGCAAGAATTGTACACTTGAAAAATCTATTAACCAGAAGGACATAAAGGACAGACAGAGGAATGGGCGTGTGATATTTTATGTACCCCGCAATGCGTCGCGCTGTGGTGAAAAAATATATATAGTTATTTACCAATAAAATTACGCTATGAGAGAAGTACTAGTATTTGGCCATGGATTTTAATCGCAACTTGCTACCCTCTCCCACTCTCTCCCCTCTTCCCCCTAAAAAAACAGCATTAAAAACTGAAGAGAAAGTATATAATAGTACAAGATTATAAAAGTGACGTGCAGAGGCGTATTCAGGGGGAGGCTCAGGCCCCCCTTTTGAGGAAAAATTTTGGTTGGTTATATAGAGAATCACTGAAGCGTGACGAGAGCGGGCCCCCTCTTATGCAGTCAGTGGGCCCCTACTTATGAAAATGTCTGGATCCGCCACTGACTTGCTTTGCAATCGTACTTTAAGTGGGTATAGTGTGGAAAGTTGGGAGAGGAACAGAAACAAAACCAAAGCTGGGAGTGGGTGGGGGAATAGGTAATATGTCCAGTCCTTTCGCTATTAATTCAATCGTTTTGCCAAATCAAAAATTTCAAAATTATGGTTTAGTTTCTCTGTCTGGACAAAAGCATCCTTTGGCAAATTGAAGATTCTCCTTTATAAGATTTTGTTTTTGTTTTCTGACAACATAAAAAAAGAAGATGTGGTGTAATTGCCGATAAGACAACTCTCCACAAGAGACAAACATGACACAGAAATTAACAACTATAGGTCATCGTACGGTCTTCAACAATGAGCAAAGCCCATACCGCATCTATTAGTCAACTATAGAAGGCCCCGAAATGACACTGTAAAACAATTCAGACGAGAAAACTAGCGGCCTAATTTATGTACAAAAAAGAAGTTCCGTTTGCAGGAAAAGACCTCATGTAAGTAACCTTTGTGCTGTGATCCAGTGGAGATAATTTTATCAAGTGAACTTTAAAACTATTCAGAAGCCTATAAATTTTATTCAATTGCAATCATTGACCGTAATAAAAGTTTTATTTTATGGATAAATGTGAAATTCTAAAAAAATGATTAAAACGTGAATAAAAGGATTTTAAGGAGTATTGTAATGAAACAGCAGCCCACCAAACAAAACAAAACAAAAAACAACATCTAGAGGTCAACATATTGTAAAAAATAATATACGAGTGTGTACAGTACATGTACCTGTATGTCAAGTTCTAAATTGCCGAGTCTTTAATTCTAAAAGCCGTAAAATTATCAACAGTCCGTAATAACTTTTCTTGCGATGTTTCTCACTTAGACCACAAACAGAGACAGGTATTTATGATTCACATGATTTTATTTCCGAAAACAATTTGACCAATTTATAGGTAGCTGTTTACAAGCAATATTTATACATCATAAAAATGTCGCCGGTAACTTGCAGAGATAACGTCGAAATTGTCTGCCAGCGACGTCGTGCATTTTAGCGCTAACGTTGAGGTTCCAAAGGGGGGGACTCAATTTTTAGGATAACTCGCGTTTATCATGGAACTCAGCACGGTGACATATATTTTTTATTTGAGATTTGGAGAAAGCATGACAAAATGCAGTTTATGTAGAAAAATGATAAAAATGACATTTTCAGAAACACTTTATTTCCCTATTTTTAGGTTAAAAAAAATACCACTTTGAGCATCTGGTCCGCAATGTCAAGCAAGGTTTGCATAATTGTATAGTCATTCGTGTAGGGATTTATTTTTTCCTTATTGTGTCTTATCACAGCTTCAAATTGAACCCGATCTTAATAATTTACGACGAAGAATATCTGCTCCAAAAATTTTATAACATTGCCTAATTTTTTTACAAAATTGCACAAATCCCCAATTTTCAGCCTCAATTTTCTCGAAAACAAGCATGGTGACCTATGTTTTATTTTGTGTTTTATTTAATAACTCGCCAAGGCCTACAACATATTTCAAAATTATAAAAATGACATTATATCGAGAAACTGTATCGGATGCCCTTAAGTATTTACATGTTACCTCAAGCAATTGCATGCAGCGACGCAGGTTCACAACAGTATGGCTGTAGGTGATTAGACGGAGCTTTCCAGTGGGAAATTGCGCCTTATATTTACATATATTTACTTCAGTAAAAGTACTTAAGAGGTTTTATTTATTAACTTTAGTTGTGTTTATAATTTTGTGTCGCTAATTTGTTTTTATTTGGAGGATGTAAAATATCAATTGAAATGTGTGGCTTAAGTTATCTCAGTTGCTCCGGGCAGTGGCCCTGTGCGAATCGTGTTTGCATGCACACTATCCCTCGGAAGATACAAACCATGGTAGTGCAGGTATAGGTTAATTGTACTCTGGATCCAAACATGGACATGCTTCATGTATGGAGATCAGTCAGGCAGCAAACATGCTCCTGGTCAAATCACCACAATGCTAGTCTTGTTTATATATATTACACTTGTAAACGTATATAAATATAAGTGCCTAGAAAATCAACCTAACAATGCTAGAGTAGATCTGATTATTTACTTCCTCCCCGAGCGGGGCTGGAACCTGTACTTTCCACTTCTAACTTCTACGACAACACCGCCTAGTATTGCGCAGACATATTTGGACGTTGTTTTCAATTTAGACTTGTTTATATTTTTTCGTTTGGGCTTGTATTATATTTTCCTTTGGGTTTATATGATCCGTTCATCCTATTTCGACTCTTTAAAATTCAAGAGTCTATCCTAAATTGAGGTGAATTATATGCGGCCTTCCAAATACCGTTTCGATCCCTTACATCACTGAAGAGACATTAATTGTCGAAATCCGGATATGGTGTACAAATTTTTGCACCTCATGTTTGCGGTATACCATCTTCTCCGCAAGTTTATTGTTTTCTGTGTGGTATATATATATATGTTTTTATATGTGTGTGTGTGTGTGTAGTTCATTCATGTTCAAACTGCTTTTTCTTTTATCTATATGCATACTTGATTATTGTTTTTGTGGCTGTTTAAATAATGTCTTACATTGAAATATACTCTTTGTGAGCCCATTTAATGGAAATAAAACATCTTCTTCTTCTTCTATACATGTAAATACCAAATTTAAAACATATTCGAAAAATGAGCTGTATAAGTACTAATATAAAATGGAGTTCTTGCATTTATTTTTCTGAATTCCTTATGTTTAACTTTTATTATAACACCAATGCCATTTTACAACTTTCATATGTAAATCAGTGAATCATTAATTTATTTGTGTTCATCATTATAACAATATCCAAGTTCTTAGGCGATTATGCATAGCAAAATTTATTGGTTATGGGTGTTTATATAATGATTCAGCAGTACAAAAGGGTACATCGAGGGCTTGAAATAGCGTACTGTGATTGACCGACCACAACCGAATACCGTGCTAAGGGCTTAAATAAATCCAAGTGAACAAATAACGTTTATATATATAATTTGTATCAGATATTATGGTAACTGGTTGTTGGTCCTATCATGGAGACCGGCCTCAACGGGATAATGACAATGTCATTAAACACCCCCGATTAAGTAAAAGTTTTTGGTAAATAAAATTTCGGTCACGGTTGGATACTGAGCTATAAAGTCGATCGTTGTCAGAGTTTGATACTATGAAAAATTGAAGATTATATTGTAATGTCAAGGCTTTAATATTAAATACTTGCTGGAAATAGAGCAAAACATAAGTCGTAACCCCAACAGAAGGCCGTATACAAAAAGCAAGAAATTATCGTTTATACCAATAAAAGTATTGACAAATTCGTATATAGTTTCAAGATAACAGATTATTATTGTTTGAGATTAAAAGGTATTGAAATACAAGTTTTAGACAAGAATAAAGTGAGCAATTAAATATATAAAGTACCTACTTTAAAAAAAACTTACCACAAAGAGCAGTCTAATAGTGTACTGAGTTAATCAGTGTCTTCTTCCATTCTCATTTTTTAAATTCAATAAAAAAAGTGGGGGAGGGGGGCATTGTTTTCACTTTAGAAATTTGTAGTGGAAGTTAACCCCCCCCCCCCCCCTTTTTCAAGATTTTTGACCCACACCCCTTTATCAGTTTCAGTAGGGAGGAACTATAAGCCCACAGATAAAAGGGGAAAAATGTAGTAATTGAAAACCTAAAAAGCTTAAAGTAAATGTGCATGGTTCACAATTAAGATCTTACCGTACCCTACATTTGTCTAACTTGAAAAAAATACACACGAAAAAGGTAATTAAAGGACATGATTTCAATGAAAATTTATCGGAAAAGGGTGCTATGTTTTATGTTTTGACCGGGAAACTGGTTTTGATTTTTTATGACTGAGAGGAGAAAGGATAATGAGAAAGCGTTATAGTTAATGAGGCGTAAAAATAGAATGTGAAAGGTTTGATCACGTGATCGAAAAGGCGCGTAACCCACGCTAACTCGCCATCTTTTCCAGGTGACTTCCGGTTTTAAAAGGACCCTGTTGAAAGTGATCAGATAACTCAAGGGAAAGTACATAGCGATGGCAACTAAAACCCCTAGAAGCAGTAAGAAAACTACTATCACAACCACTACAACACAACGGACGTCAACCCCGTCCACATCTGCAGCATCTTCACCCGGCCGGCGTGCGAGGTCTCCATCACCGGCACGCATCTCCCGTCAACAAGAAAAGGAGGAGCTGTCAAGTTTGAACGATCGCTTAGCAGCTTATATCGACAGAGTCAGATATTTAGAAAATGAGAATAGCCGCTTACAAGTTGCTGTGAAATCAACAGAAGAGACCGTCACCCGTGAAGTATCAAGTGTGAAACATTTGTACGAAACGGAGTTGGAAGATGCACGGAAACTGCTTGATGACACTGCAAAGGAGAAAGCCAGATTGCAAATTGAGGCATCCAAACTGAAAGCTGAAACAGATGAATGGAGATCTAAGTAAGATTTGGTGAATAAAACACATTTTGGGATACCCATTTGTTTTTTTTTTCTGAGGAGGGTAGTGGGTAGTTAGATTTTTGAACTGCATACCTTGGAAAGAAATTAAAAAATATCTTGTCTAAGACCAATCTTCCCCACAAAATACAGGGTTTTTATTAAGACAGACACACATGTACTGGACATGTGTCTTAAGTGAATCCTTTCGTGCCCAATCACGTTCGCCCCCCCATGCACTTTCGCACCCTACACGTTCGAGCCCAATTTTTATTGGTTTTGTGTTTAATAATTTGTAAACGAGTTTTGGTAAGTGTATTGCTATTAATATATGTTTTTTCATTGTTTCTGAATAAAGTGAGATTCTGACAAGGTGTCATGGTAAAAGTATTTCTATAAACATTTTTTTTCATTGATTTTAAACTGAGACTACTGTTATAAACAGTAGTCTCAGATTTTAAATAAAGTGAGATTCTGACGACCAGTAATTTATTTTTGTGTTGAATAATTTTCAATCATGTTTTGGTTAGTGTATTGTTATTTTTTTTATTTCATTGTTTCTAGTAAATAAAGTGCGAATGATCAATCTGACAATTTTATTTTGGTATTGAATAAATGGTAAGCATGGTAAGGTCAGAGACGGTGTATCGCTATAAGCTGTTTAAAACAATTATCTTCATGTTTTTTATTTAAAATCTTCAAAGTTTTACTCATACCAAGCTAAAAACATGCAGTATTTTATACATCAAAGCAAGTTAAAACAACAATCATGATTTTTAAACACTCAACAATAACACCAAATTAGGCTGTGTATAAATACCAATTAGCAGTAAGGCCGAGAGAAAAAAATCTGTGTTTCCGGTAACCTGACCGACCCTGTTTTTTTAGCCCCGACCCTGTTTTTGACACAGGCTTCTGTAAATCGACATAATTATTTATCTAACTTGCTTCTACTGGCACAGAAAGCCAGTAAAACATTTTATTTATGTCAAAAGGTATTCCAAATAGGTTAAAATGCAAGAAATTTGCACAGCAGGTGCTTCAAAAACATTGCAAATGGCCGCACTTCTGGTATTTGAAACTAATTACGGACCCGGACTTGGAAAAACCATGATGATTTTCCGGATTTCGTTTACAAAAAAAAAAAAAAAAAAATCCGACCTACCGACCCTATTTTTCAAAATGATGTTATCGGAAACACAGATATTTTTTTTTTTAGGCCTAATCATACATAATTAACATTTAATAATTAATCATCAAATCAATTTAAAACAATATTTCATTTAAAAATTCCAGAATTTTTATTTATGAAAATAAAAACATTTTGATATTTTTTAACAATGTTTACCGTAGTTACATGGAGAAAACGAAATTGACAGAAAGTCGAAAACCATAGTCAACTCGTTAAAAACATTGCTCTTATTGTTTTCCGTGAAATAAATAGCAAATTAAGATGTATTTTTCATTAACTGCCTTCATTTTTATACGAAAATAACAAAATCGGCCGCCATATTGTTGATCGTATTTACATCTTCTGCGTACTATTTATTATCCTCCAAAGAAGGAGCACACCCAAATAAAGAAAGATAACTCAATCTTATTTTTTCCTAGCATTGAGTAACCTACTAAGATATTATAAAATATGTCTTCATACTTCTGGCTTTAGAATTTATATGTTTAGGTGTTTTGAGTTATGGGAAAAGTTAAAGAGGGTCTTAGTAGCAGGGTTGGTAGGGTGCCTTGGTCATCTTTTTCTGTATTTTTTATTTTCAATCCAAATTTTCACTGTTCACTATATCCTAACATTGTGCATTTACAGCTGTTTTGTGCTGTATTGCCATTAAGCACAGAAAAGGTAGAAAGGTGAAATTTGTAAAGTGTGTCAGACCATAGAAACAGAATGAAGCAGGACATTTTTAAAAAAAATACTGCATATAAAGCATAACTGTGCCAAGCAATGATTTAAAACTTGTGTCACAAGCTGCTTGATAAGTTTTCAGCCTAAAAAGTAGAAAGATAGTTTTTCTCTGGGCTAATGATGTTGTTCTTGTATATTTATAACCAGTGATTCAATGAACAAACAATGTTTGATTATAATTTTTATTAAAACATGCCCTTTTTCATGATTGGCACCCTGCCCTTTTGAAATCCTAGCTGGAACACTGTAATGCTATAAAACCCAAGCATCAAAACTTGTTTACATTGGCACATGTTTTTTCTGGTAATAAACTTGTAACAGAAGACAATTGATTATTAAATGATTGCCAATATATTACTTTGTAGAGAAATAAGGGATTAGTTCTATTTTATTTGTCAGGAGAAATGTTGAAAAGATGTAACTGAAAGAAAAATATGAAGTTGAAAAAAAGTTACAAAAATGGTTTTTATTTTTTCAAAACTGATAGGTACATGATTATTGTTCTGTATTTTGAGAACTATATGAGTTACTGTACTATGGACTTATCACAATCAGCTTGGAACCACCACTTAAAAAAAAGACGAGTCCCAGGACTCACCCTAAAAATGTCCTTATACAACGTAGTGAAACCCAAAAAATGCAGGAAATGAAAATGTAAAAGAAGTGAAAATCGAAATGATTTTTCCTCCCCCAAAATCCAGAGATGTTCCAAAAAGTTTGAAAGTCACAAATGAAAATGTATTTACACCACAGTGTAAAAGAGATTGTATTTGAGGTACATTGTTTTTGTATATACATGTACAAATGTATGTTCTTGTACATGTGATTCAGAGGTCACAAAACTCAGTTGAAGTTATCATCTACCATGGCATGTTTCTTACTATATAGTGTTTTATTAACAGATACTATAAAAGGGACAAGGAAGCTAAGGATGCAGAAGGACAACTACATGGTTTGCAAAAGGACTTGGCAGACTTGGAAGGTAGACTGGCTGTATCTGAACAGCAAAGAAAACATTGGGAAAAGGAATATAATGTATGTTATGGTAACCAAGATAATGTATACATAAATATATGTTTGAAAAAATATTGTGCACCAGATTAGCTACATGTACTTTAAGTGTGGATATTTTCTAGGGTTGTAAATATATTTCATTATATCAGTGTGAAGGCACTTCACATCTCTAACCAGTGTTCTTGAAAAGGGGTGGTTTTGACCACCGAAAATTGTAAAATCATATTACAAATACATGCAAGTAATATAGGTTCCTTGTAGCCTCTATTTTAATCATCTTTTTCTTACCTGTTCAATGATTTGATTAGTTACTGATAAAAATTGTTGATCTTTCTTGTATCTTGGTCCACCTACATTTTGTAGCAAACAGGTAAACGTATCTTCATTAATCTTTTTACACTTAGAAAATAAATGCTGTAACATTCTGAAGCAAAATAACAACCTATAAAACTAGAAAACCAGGATAGTAGAAAGTAGCACTGACAGAATTCTGTCATATGTTTGTATAATTTTGGACCAAAATGAAGTATGACGATGATGGTCCAAAAGTTAACTCTGTAAATCCAGAGCATCAGAACATGTTCCAATCTTTGTAGAATTACACATATCAGTGTGCCTTTATCTGCAATATTGGGAAATAAATAAATTTTGGTAAAAAAAAAAAAGTTAATAAAAAAGTTTGATCCTTGATTTTAAAGCTTTGAAAGTCCATCTGGCCTCTCTTCACTCTTGAAAATATTAATGAAAATGATGACTGTCAAAAATGCTCTTCTCTGCTCTCAGATTCTAGATTTAACATTCAGTTTACAAAAAACATGGTTTATGTGTATTTCATTAGATAAAGTTTGATTTTTCCCTTTGCAGAAAATTAAAGGTGATATTGCAGCGTTGGAAAGACAGCTTGCAACCAGTAAAAAGCAGCTAGAAGAGGAAACCTTAGCTAGGGTAGACCTACAGAACAGATTACAGACCATGAAGGAGGAACTGACCTTTAAATCTCAAATGCATGAACAGGTATATCAAAGGATATTGTCCAATATACAGACAAAAATAAGTATAATTTTTTGCTTTTGACTCATAGAGCTCCAATTTTGTATCGTTCATGGATTGTCTCCCTTTACTCCAAAACAAAACAAAATACAATTTTAACATGTTGAACAAGTCAATTTTTGATAAGCCAAAAAATTGACCAAAATAAAAATGTTGCAAATAATGACCAAGTTTATTATTTACCAAAATTGGTATATTTCAAGACCAATGTTCAAATATGAAAAGGTGGAGCATCAACATGAAATTGTGACAACATTGTTAGGCAAAATTTCGTCTGTGAAAAAAAATATGAGCAAGAGTAAATACTTTTGATGGACTTTCTAATGCAACCATTTATAACCACTTAAAATGAAAGAAAACTTACGAGTGAGAAAAAACAGTTCAGTCAGGTTATTACTTATAGAAACATGTAGCTCAGTTCCGTGAAGATTCTCAGATTTTTTTTGTCATCGGTGATGATTTTTGTCCTCAAAGTCAAATAAAGTGTTCTCATCCTGTTTTATAAAACACAGATTGGCCTTAACAAGTCTGTTGTAAACACATTTTTATCACAATACATATTTTCACTTCTGTCAGTAAGAAGCAAAAACAGACTTATTTATGTCTGAGCTCTGACTGACTATCACAATACATATTTTCACTTCTGTATGTCAGAAACAGAAAAAGACTTCTTTATGTCTGAGCTCTGACTGACTATCACAATACATATTTTCACTTCTGTATGTCAGAAACAGAAAAAGACTTCTTTATGTCTGAGCTCTGACTGACTATCACAATACATATTTTAACTTCTGTTTGTCAGAAACAGAAAAAGACTTCTTTATGTCTGAGCTCTGACTGACTATCACTACATATTTTCACTTCTGTATGTCAGAAACGGAAAAAGACTTCTTTATGTCTGAGCTCTGACTGACTATCACTACATATTTTCACTTCTGTATGTCAGAAACAGAAAAAGACTTCTTTATGTCTGAGCTCTGACTGACTATCACAATACATATTTTTAACTTCTGTATGTCAGAAACAGAAAAAGACTTCTTTATGTCTGAGCTCTGATTGACTATCACAATACATATTTTCACTTCTGTATGTCAGAAACAGAAAAAGACTTCTTTATGTCTGAGCTCTGACTGACTATCACAATGCATAATTTTAACTTCTGTATGTCAGAAACAGAAAAAAACTTCTTTATGTCTGAGCTCTGACTGACTATCACAATACATAATTTTAACTTCTGTATGTCAGAAACAGAAAAAGACTTCTTTATGTCTGAGCTCTGACTGACTATCACAATACATATTTTCACTTCTGTATGTCAGAAACAGAAAAAGACTTCTTTATGTCTGAGCTATGACTGACTATCACAATACATATTTTCACTTCTGTATGTCAGAAACAGAAAAAGACTTCTTTATGTCTGAGCTCTGACTGACTATCACAATACATAATTTTAACTTCTGTATGTCAGAAACAGAAAAAAACGTCTTTATGTCTGAGCTCTGACTGACTATCACAATACATATTTTCACTTCTGTATGTCAGAAACAGAAAAAGACTTCTTTATGTCTGAGCTATGACTGACTATCACAATACATATTTTCACTTCTGTATGTCAGAAACAGAAAAAGACTTCTTTATGTCTGAGCTCTGACTGACTATCACAATACATAATTTTAACTTCTGTATGTCAGAAACAGAAAAAAACGTCTTTATGTCTGAGCTCTGACTGACTATCACAATACATATTTTCACTTCTGTATGTCAGAAACAGAAAAAGACTTCTTTATGTCTGAGCTCTGACTGACTATCACAATACATAATTTTAACTTCTGTTTGTCAGAAACAGAAAAAGACTTCTTTATGTCTGAGCTCTGACTGACTATCACAATACATATTTTAACTTCTGTTTGTCAGAAACAGAAAAAGACTTCTTTATGTCTGAGCTCTGACTGACTATCACTACATATTTTCACTTCTGTATGTCAGAAACGGAAAAAGACTTCTTTATGTCTGAGCTCTGACTGACTATCACAATACATATTTTCACTTCTGTATGTCAGAAACAGAAAAAGACTTCTTTATGTCTGAGCTCTGACTGACTATCACAATACATATTTTTAACTTCTGTATGTCAGAAACAGAAAAAGACTTCTTTATGTCTGAGCTCTGATTGACTATCACAATACATATTTTCACTTCTGTATGTCAGAAACAGAAAAAGACTTCTTTATGTCTGAGCTCTGACTGACTATCACAATACATAATTTTAACTTCTGTATGTCAGAAACAGAAAAAAACTTCTTTATGTCTGAGCTCTGACTGACTATCACAATACATAATTTTAACTTCTGTATGTCAGAGCAGAAAAAGACTTCTTTATGTCTGAGCTCTGACTGACTATCACAATACATATTTTCACTTCTGTATGTCAGAAACAGAAAAAGACTTCTTTATGTCTGAGCTATGACTGACTATCACAATACATATTTTCACTTCTGTATGTCAGAAACAGAAAAAGACTTCTTTATGTCTGAGCTCTGACTGACTATCACAATACATAATTTTAACTTCTGTATGTCAGAAACAGAAAAAAACGTCTTTATGTCTGAGCTCTGACTGACTATCACAATACATATTTTCACTTCTGTATGTCAGAAACAGAAAAAGACTTCTTTATGTCTGAGCTCTGACTGACTATCACAATACATAATTTTAACTTCTGTATGTCAGAAACAGAAAAAGACTTCTTTATGTCTGAGCTCTGACTGACTATCAAAATACATATTTTAACTTCTGTTTGTCAGAAACAGAAAAAGACTTCTTTATGTCTAAGCTCTGACTGACTATCACTACATATTTTCACTTCTGTATGTCAGAAACGGAAAAAGACTTCTTTATGTCTGAGCTCTGACTGACTATCACAATACATATTTTCACTTCTGTATGTCAGAAACAGAAAAAGACTTCTTTATGTCTGAGCTCTGACTGACTATCACAATACATATTTTTAACTTCTGTATGTCAGAAACAGAAAAAGACTTCTTTATGTCTGAGCTCTGATTGACTATCACAATACATATTTTCACTTCTGTATGTCAGAAACAGAAAAAGACTTCTTTATGTCTGAGCTCTGACTGACTATCACAATACATAATTTTAACTTCTGTATGTCAGAAACAGAAAAAAACTTCTTTATGTCTGAGCTCTGACTGACTATCACAATACATAATTTGAACTTCTGTATGTCAGAAACAGAAAAAGACTTCTTTATGTCTGAGCTCTGACTGACTATCACAATACATATTTTCACTTCTGTATGTCAGAAACAGAAAAAGACTTCTTTATGTCTGAGCTCTGACTGACTATCACAATACATATTTTCACTTCTGTATGTCAGAAACAGAAAAAGACTTCTTTATGTCTGAGCTCTGACTGACTATCACAATACATAATTTTAACTTCTGTATGTCAGAAACAGAAAAAGACTTCTTTATGTCTGAGCTCTGACTGACTATCACAATACATATTTTCACTTCTTTATGTCAGAAACAGAAAAAGACTTCTTTATGTCTGAGCTCTGACTGATAGTGATACTGTTTGGCTGGATAATTTTAGCAGGATCATATGAAGATCATGATTCCAACAGGATTACATGATTATTCCAAAGACGTCCAAAGTAAAGTTAACACACCAGATATATTAGGACTGCAGACACTTCAGACTAAAATTATATCGACAAAAAGGAGGATTCAGATATTTTATGAATTTCTGAGGAAATCACATACTAAAAATTTCTGATATACGAAATAAAGGTTTGCCTTAGTTTCAAGACAGGTAGCAGAGATGCAGATAATTTTTGTTTTCCCCGTCAGACATTGGGTCCTGCATGTAAGAAATTTTTGCACGTCCTATCAACTGCTTGCATTGCCAGACCTACTTTTTTGAAAAATAATCACTAGTTCCCATTTGGATCAAGATACACCATAAAAACCTTGATTAGAACAACCAGGTTAAATAAGGATATGACTTAGACAACATACTGTTCATTAACTTTATGGATTGTTGTCTTATTAATTGGCATAAGAACAATAAGATCAAAAGCAGGGTTTCAGCTAGGATTTTGAGGGCTTTAGTCACTTTTGCACGAGATGAAAATCAACCTTTTTTTGGGTAAAAGAAAAGGACCAAAGATATGTATTATGAGCTATGCATCTTTGAAGGACTTAGGCATGCTCAGGCAGTTATTGCATAATTTGACAGATGTGGTGCTTAAATATGAAGATTATAATAGGATCTAATAAGGATCCGGATTTCTAGTTTACAATTTCACTTCAGTTATTTTCAGGTGACATTCCTGATCAACAAAAGTTGGGTTCCTTTTTTTTAAAACCAGGAATCACAGCATAAATGAACCTGTAAAGACTATTTCACTACATAATCATAATCGTTGTAAAAACGGTTAAATCTATATTTGGAATTCATTTCTATAAACTTGGTACCAAGGATTTGTACAAATCAAAATTGGAACGATTCTAATGACTGTATGTTGTAAATTAATCAAGAATAGATCTTGTTTACTTTCGATTTTTAAACAAAATGAAAACAGGAAGTGACAGGAGGATAATAAATTCAGAATGAATACAGATTGGTTCGTTTTTAACAAAAGGCAGGAAATTATCATATTTCTAAATCAAGTTGCTTAGTAAGAAATATATTTGTCTCCTTCGTTTATTTTATACTAAATGATTTCGTATTTTACGTTTAAATGTCTAATTTATAAAAATACTTTCACGCATGCACAGTACATAGTAAAGGAAGCACCTGTTTGACTCGTGGAAATATTTCTGAACATTTTGAATAAAGTTCTTTCTCTTTAATCGAAATTGTTGAAAGTTTTTGATGAAAAGTTACTGTGGATTCATTATTATTCGTGGGATACCAATTTTCGTGGATTTCCTGGTTACAGGGGAACCACGAATTTAAATGTTCAACGAATTACAAATTTTCTATAGGATTGTATGCAGACTTTGGCAAAACCACAAAATCAAATATCCACGAAACTGCATGTTTTCCTCATTCCACGAAAATTGGTACCCACGAAAATAAATGAATCCACAGTATATAAAATATGACGAAAACTCGTTCATATGACGAAAATACGACAAACGAACTGCAAATTGTGATCGTTTGAGAAATATTGAAATTAAAATGAGAACTGTCTGCGGGGAAAACATTTTGTTCAAATGACAAAACTATGATAAACGAACTGCAAATTGTGGTCGTTTGAGAAATATTGAAATTGAAATGCAGACTGACCGATTTTACTGGGGAAAATAAATATGATCGTCAATTATTTATGAGGTTTTTTAATTAACGGATTATTGACCTATCAGATGGCGATAATCACAACTTATAACACCTGTTGTAAACGTTAATTAGATGAGGGTCATAAACTTGTCAAAACCATGAAGACAGGTAGAATTATAGTATTTTCATGCGAAAATATTTTTACACTTTTCAAATTTAAGTGACGAAAATGATTTGAAAAACTTTCGTCATTTTGAAAACCTTTTCGTAAATGACAAAAATGACGAGGGCTAGCTAAATCACTGTCAAAAGCAAAGACAGTGGGAAGCTACATTTACGTTAAAACAAATATATGTGTTCACACATTACTAAAATGAAAAAAACACTCTTAGAAAACCAAAATTTACACTTGTTTTTTTGTTTAATTTAATTTACTTAAATCTGGTCATTACGACATTATTTAAAATTTTCCCTAAATAGAACTTTTGGTTTTCAATGCTTTTCAACTACATAATTGATTTGGCCATCAATTATTCCAACTGTTGTAATTCATGCACCACTTATTTGTCATATGGAGACGAAACCTGTGTGCTCCGTACTATTAACAATTTTCTCGTTAAAGTGATGTATTCACGCCATGGACGCATGGTTTTCTGTCTGGACGCACCATTGCACGAACAGTGCAAGTCCAATTGATGCGTCTGATAACACTTGCTTGTAATCATCAAAAGTATCCTTCATCTATCAAAAAGAAGCTGAAAACATGCTTCTATTCAATATTTTTACGGAAATTTACTTTCGTTTTCATTTATTCCTATGTGTAATGATAAATCCCGAGAAAAACGAAAATAATTATGATCACATGACTTATGCTAATTGGATAAACACAGAGAAGATCCAAGTCTGTTTACATCAGCAAGTTTACCTTTTACCGGCAATAAATGTGTCATTAGAACTTTTGGTTTTCAATGCCTTTCAACAACAAAATTAATTTGGAAGCCAAGGTTACCAGGACCAACAGAAATTTCAATTTTGATGGCCCCAAACAGTAAAAAATATTTGCCGTCATTGGGTCTGACTCAAAGAAGTTAATTGCCAGACCCTCTGAATTTCTGCCCCCCTAGGTCCAACAGGTCAAACGATTAGTGGCATCACTGGGTAGAAGATAGAATTTACCTCCTCCAAATATGTGTGTAGGTTTAGTAAAAATCATGGTAACAAAAGAATTGCATTAATACCTGTTTCCAATAGGTCAAACGATTAGTGGCATCACTGGGTAGAAGAAAGAATTTACCCCCTCAAAATATGTGTGTAGGTTTAATAAAAATCATGGTAACAAAAGAATTGCATTAAAACCCGTTTTGTTCTGACACCTATGATTAACTTTAGAATAAATTTTAATTGAAGTTTGTTATTACATTTAACTTAATATGTCATTTAAATATTACAGAATCAGAATTGCATTGCTAAAAAGAATTATGTTGTATTATAGCATTAAAGACACTGCTTCACTGCTTGTTAACTTACAGTTCTTTTGACTGAAATATTTTACAGGAATTGAACGAAACCCGAGTAAGAACCACAAGAGAGGTGGAAGAAGTAGATTCAAGTGTGAGAATGGACTATGAGACTAAACTGCAGGATGCATTGAGGCAAATGAGAGATGAAAGTGATGAGAAACTGTTTGTTGGCAAACAAGAAATAGAGACAGTTTATGAGAGAAGGGTAAGAAGTTTTTGATTTTTGTTAACTCAGAAATTTTCCAAGTTTTTTTCATTGGGGAAAAATGCAACAGGATATTATAAGGGGGGGGGGGGGATTGAGAAAGCGCCCTCTCCCTTCCTTTCCTCCTCATTCAATTAATTTTGGAAAGCCTTTAGTGGTTTTATTTCTATTTTGTCTCGATAAAGTCTTGAATGAACCCCATGCAATTATTTCATTAATTTACAATGACATATCTGTTAGATACTTTTATAAATGGGTGAGCTATACACAACATCCTGGCAGTTCTTTGAGGTTGAAACATTTTTGGGATTTTAACATTGCATATATGCAATATTTCAACAGTCAAAACAACAGTTAAGGCAAGTTAAAGATTAGCATTACCACCTAGATTTTAGCCCTGATATGCAAATTGTTTGGTCATTTGCAATAAAAGACTTATGATTCTCACAATTCAAGCATAAGCCATATATTTTGAATTAGAAAGCATGTCATAGTTGCGGTCTTTACCTAAACAAACAAATTATTTATATAGTATTGTCTGTTGGATATTGATGGATTTCTTTTCTTTATATATCGTGTCTTACAGTCTATAGATAAATTTTATTTGAAAAAAGGAAATAAAAAGTTATTTTGTAGACCTATCTAAGGCCAAATAAAAATATGTGTGGTTCAGTTCCCCAACTGACCCTAGTTTAAACACCCTGACCCTAAAACATTGCATTTTTTGTGTTTCTGAAAAATAAATTTTGAGCGATCCCATTTTATGGTATCTGAATATCAATGAATAAATTCATGGACTTCTGTCATCTGAATTTCTATTTACAGAAGTATCCACTAACGGCTAGAAATGCAAAAAACCTTAAGGATGTACACCTGGGAGGAGCCAAAAATTTCTAGAATTAAACTTTTTTTCTTAACCTGATTTTTGGTTTTATATAACTGTAAGAAATAAATTGATGAAGAAAAAATCATATGGTGGTGCACTCCTTTTTTTGCTACGGCTATTTGAAAGTACCTGTTTTTTATGAATTTCTCATTATTCATCAATTTTTACCCATTTTTGGTCTATTATCATGAAAAAAAAATCACAATTTCACACTTAAACTTTATTTCATACTTTCACTAAAAATGATGGGGGACAATCTGAATTTTGACTAAATAAAAAAAAACTAAAGGTTGGTGTTAATATTAGAAAGTTTCATCAAATTTTGTTCCTTTTTCGTGTCAAATTGACCATGCTTTCAATTTAGTAAATTTGGGATTTTTCTCTATTTTTTAGAACAAAAAGCATATTAATTCAACTTCTCTGTTATAAATGATTGAAAAAATACATGTCTAAGAATTTTGAACAAATTGATATGGGATGTACATATCTTTAGTAAAATAATTTCTTTGTACCCTCACCTATTTTCTCAACATTTTTGCTGATGACACAAGATTGGTTATAAAATTTGAAAATTTTATTACTCAAAAACTACTTAGTATAAGTACACAATTTTTTCAGAGTTAAGTTTGATTATAATGTTTTTTATATTCATTGATATTTTCCAATTGTATCACATGTTTTGGAAATAATTCCAGAACGAGATTTCAACTAGACTGAAACCTCAGAAGAATACATCCTTAACAGAATGCAACAACATTAACAAAAAACATTATATGCCTGTTTATTTTACAACCAAACATATAGAAAATGGTGAACTTCCGTTAGGAGGTGTATAATAAGGAACCAGACTCTCGAAAACACACTTTTTTTTAGCTCACCTGGCCTTAAAAATCTTTTCTGAAACTACTGGCCCAAATTTAACCAAACTTGGCCACAATCATCATAGGGGTATCTAGTTTTAAAAATGTGTCCGATGACCCTGCCGGCCAACCAAGATGGCTGACATAGCTAAAAATAGAACATAGGGGTAAAATGCAAGTTTTGTCTATTATTTTGAAACCATTATAAATAGAGAAAATCTGACAGTGGCAAAAATGTTCAGAATGATGAGCTCTACCAATTGTCCTTTTACGTCAAAACTATCAGAAGACTTCTTATAAGAGTTATTTCCCTTAAATGACAAATTTTACCATTTTTGTCGAGCCTGCAACTTTTGTCGCAAAAGCGAGACATAGCAATCCTACATTCCGTCGGCGGCGACGTCCACAAATATTCACTCTATGGTTAAAGTTTTTCAAATTTTAATAACTTTCTTAAACTATCCTTGATTTCTACCAAACTTGGACAGAAGCTTGTTTATGATCATAAGATAGTATCCAGAAGTAAATTTTGTAAAAAAAAAAAATCCTGTTTATCCGTATTTTACTCATAAATGGACTTAGTTTTTCTGCCAGTTAACATTACATTCACTCTGTGGTTAAAGTTTTCAAAATTTTAATAACTATCTTAAACTATCCTGGATTTGTACCAAACTTGGACAGAAGCTTGTTTATGATCAAAAGCTAGTATCTAGAAGGAAATTTTGTAAAAAAAATTTCCTGTTTTTCCGTATATAACTTATAAATGAACTTAGTTTTTCTTCCATTTAACATTACATACAGTCTGCCGTTAAAGTTTTTAAAACATTTATTAGATTCATAAACCATCCTGGATTCTTACCAAACTTGAACAGAAGCTTCTTACATTCAAAAGATAGTATCTAGAGGAAAATTTTTAATAATTATTTCCCCATTTTTGTTGAGCCTGCGACTGAGGGCAAAAGTAGGCGAGACACTGGGTTCCGCGGAACCCTTACAAATTTTGTTCATTTTTGCCTATTATCTTGAAAACTATAATAGATAGAGAGAAACTTTAAATTGCAAAAATGGTCAGCATGATAAGTTCTACAAATAAGTCTGCATGGTTGAAATCGTCAGTCGACTTCTCATTAGAGTTATAGCCCTTTGATGATGAATTTTACCAATTTTTTGCGTTTTTGCCTTGTATCTTTAAAATTATAATAGATAGATAGAAACTTAAGTAAGCAAAATGATCAGCAAGACAAGATCTATAATTAAAACAATATAGAAGAAATCGTTCAACAACTCCTAATTGAAACTAGTGCCCTTTGATGATGATTTTTACAATTTTTTGTGTTTTTGCCTTGTATATTTAAAATTATGATAGATAAATAGACACTTAAATCACAAAAATTATCAACAAGACAAGTTCTACTAGCAAGTCAAATTTTGCCGATATAGTTAGTAGACTGTCACTTTTTGGAGGAGTGATTGCCCTTAAATTAGGATTTTTTTTTACCCTCTTTTGTGTTTTGAGCAAAAACTAAAACGGGACACTAAACAGACTAAATGATCAGCAAAACAAGATCAAGAAATCAGAGAATTTTGTCATGAATTCTGTTCTTGTCTACAATATTGGAGAGTGTCCTTTGTTGAATGTGCACATAGACCAAGGTGAGCGACACAGGCTCTTTAGAGCCTCTAGTTTAGAGATTTTGACAATCCTAAAAATTTATTTAAAAAAAAAAACCTACCTATCGACCCTATATTTTATAGTATGTAACTGGAACCACACATACATTTTTATTTGGCCTGATTAGACCTGTAGCCATAGCACTGAGACTTCAGAACTGCACCAGGAAATCAAGATAAAATTTGAAAAATGTTAATATTTTATTTCCTTTATCAAACAGATTGATGACCTACAGACCCAGTTAGAGAGGACATTGAATGATTCCAGTGTACATAACCATGATGCTTATACCTATCGTAGACAGGTGGATGAACTCAATTCAGAGCTAGCAAGACTCAAGGACCAGGTATGTAAATCTGTAACCAAATAAAAAATTTAATGACTTTACTCTGTACTGATACAATTACCCTGCGATTCTTAAAAAACAATTTGGTTTTCTATGTCTACTTTATTAACTCCATTTTTAACAAAAATGAATATCTTGATTCAATGTCTGTTTTGTAGCCCTATTGTAAAGTCACTTTTTCATTTTTAACAGGATTTTCGAAGGAAATACCGGTTATTGATTTGGGGATGTACGGCGGGCGGGCAGGCGGCTGCCAAACAATGTCTCTTCAATAACATGAAAATGCTGTGATGATTTTTTTTCAAATTTATATATGTTGTTTCTTGTGACTAAATGAAGGTCAAGTTCAATTTTCAGGATTTTAGTATTTTTCCTTTTTGAGTTATCACCATTTTTAATATCCAAAAGTGGTATTTTTAAATATTTTTCTCTTGTTATCACATTATGACTAAGCATATGGTAAATGTCTTATCTCTCAATTATAATTGGTGTGACAGGTTTATTTGAAAATTTTCTATTTCCTAAGGGGTGATGATTATAAGCTATATTATTAGACATTTTGAAGTTAATTACATTACTAATTATTATATATGTAATGTTAGAGTACTTACTATGTTAAACCATAGTTCTGTTCAAAGGGAAATAACCCTTCAGATTTGCAAGTATGATTTTCATTATTAATTAGATCTGGGAAATATCTTAGCATATGATAATAATTGGAGTGACAGATTTATTTGAAAATTTTCTGTTTCCTGATAAGATCTGTACGTAGGACTGTATATATAAAGTTTGAAATTTACTAGTAGGACTGTATAAATGAAGTTTGAAATTTACTGTTCATTATTAGACACTTTGAAGATAATTACAGATAAGTTTTATAGGTTTTTAAGAGATAGACATTTTGAAGATAATTGCATTACTAATAATTATATATGTAATGTTAGAGATCTATGTTAAACCATAGTTCTTTTCAAAGGGAAATAACCCTTCAGATTTGCAAGTATGATTTTCATTATTAATTTTTCTTTTCTTTGGTAAATTGTTTGAATAATTTTATGGTGTGTTTGTTATTCTGTAAAAACTAATTTTCTGAGTGATATATGTATATAATTGTTTTGTTGTGTCTGTTAATTTTAATTTTTACTTGATCTTGTTTGGGGTTCCAGATTTGAAAATTCATTAGATAATAATCTATTATTTATAAGTTAAAAAGTTAAAATTAAGATAAGATAAGTTGCAGATCTATATTAGTATGTTACAAATGAAAGAAAAAATATTGGGAACTATCAACTATATATATAAAGTTTGATTACACTAAGTGATAAGATAACACACATCTGGTAATTAAGTCTCCCAAACGAAGTTTGGGAAGACTTATTGTTTTTGCTCAGTTCTTATTATTATTATTATTCTTCTTCCTCTTCCTCTTCCTCTTCCGCCGCTTTTAAATTTGAACTTGTCCGCACCCGTTCTCCAAAACCGCTTGTCAGATTAACTTAGGGTTTCACAATATGTTAGACTAACATGTCTAGTGGTGCAATCAGGGTTTTGTTTGTGCAATGGGGTTTATAAAGGGGTACTTTGAGGGGCAAAAAGAAAAGAGGGTTTTACTATAGAACCCTATGGGATTTTATTTTTTAAAATTTTCAAATGATTATAAATTGAAAACCGTTTGTGATAGACACAATCTTTTTAATTGAAAATGTTCTAAATGATAAAACTCATTAAATGAAATACAGGGTTAGTCCCCAGGGGTCATCCCCACCCCCTGCCATTAATGAAAGTTCTAATACCTTGTAAGTGGTCAAGATCCCCACCCCTAAACCATATATATTCTGGTTTGTCATGCTAAGATGGTTTGAATGATATACAGGGTTAGTCCCCAGGGGTCATCCCGACCCCCTGCCATTTAAGAAAGTTCTGATATCTTGTAAATGGTCAAGATCCCCACCCCTAAACCATATATATTCTGGTTTGTCATGATAAAGCACATGAAATGAAATACAGGGTTAGTCCCCAGGGGTCACCCCCACCCCATGCCATTTAAGAAAGTTCTAATATCTTGTAAGTGGTCAAGATCCCTACCCCTAAACCATATATATTCTGGTTTGTCATGCTAAGATTATTTGAATGATATACAGGGTTAGTCCCCAGGGGTCATCCTGACCCCCTGCCATTTGAGAAAGTTCTAATATCTTGTAAGTGGTCAAGATCCCCACCCCTAAACCATATATATTCTGGTTTGTCATGGGAAGATGGTTTGAATGATATACAGGGTTAGTCCCCAGGGGTCACCCCCAGCCCCTTCTATTTAAGAAAGTTCTAATATCTTGTAAGTGGTCAAGATCCCCACCCCTAAACCATATATATTCTGGTTTGTCATACCAAGATGGTTTGAATGATATACAGGGTTAGTCCCCAGGGGTCATCCCGACCTCCTGCCATTTGAGAAAGTTCTAATATCTTGTAAATGGTCGAGATCCCCACCCCTAAACCATATATATTCTGGTTTGTCATGATAAAGCACATCAAATGAAATACAGGGTTAGTCCCCAGGGGTCACCCCCATCCCCTGCCATTTAAGAAAGTTCTAATATCTTGTAAGTGGTCAAGATCCCCACCCCTAAACCATATATATTCTGGTTTGTCATACCAAGATGGTTTGAATGATATACAGGGTTAGTCCCCAGGGGTCATCCCGACCTCCTGCCATTTGAGAAAGTTCTAATATCTTGTAAATGGTCGAGATCCCCACCCCTAAACCATATATATTCTGGTTTGTCATGATAAAGCACATCAAATGAAATACAGGGTTAGTCCCCAGGGGTCACCCCCATCCCCTGCCATTTAAGAAAGTTCTTATATCTTGTAAGTGATCAAGATCCCCACCCCTAAGCCATATATATTCTGGTTTGTCATGTGAAGATGGTTTGAATGATATACAGGGTTAGTCCCAAGGGGTCACCCCCAGCCCCTTCTATTTAAGAAAGTTCTAATATCTTGTAAGTGGTCAAGATCCCCACCCCTAAACCATATATATTCTGGTTTGTCATACCAAGATGGTTTGAATGATATACAGGGTTAGTCCCCAGGGGTCACCCCCACCCCCTGCTATTTAAGAAAGTTCTAATATCTTGTAAGTGGTCAAGATCCCCACCCCTAAACCATATATATTCTGGTTTGTCATACCAAGATGGTTTGAATGATATACAGGGTTAGTCCCCAGGGGTCATCCCGACCGCCTGCCATTTGAGAAAGTTCTAATATCTTGTAAATGGTCGAGATCCCCACCCCTAAACCATATATATTCCTGTTCATCATTTCTCAAACATTTGAATGACGTATACGGTCAGTCCCCACTGGGTTCCCCCCACCCCCAATGTTCTAATATCTTGTAAATGGTTGAGATCCCTACCCCTAGACCATATATATTCCTGTTCGTCGTTTCTCGAACATTTGAATGATGTATAGGGTCAGTCCCCAGGGGTTCCCCCCACCCCCAATGTTCTAGTATCTTGTAAATGGTCGAGATCCCCACCCCTAAACCATATATATTCTGGGTTGTCATGCCAAGATGATTTGAATGATATACAGGGTTAGTCCCCAGGCATCACTAATGCATTAACTTTACTGGACCAAACCAATTTTCACTGGACTTTGTCCAATGTCAGGCGACACTGGGAATTACGAATTATGGGAGCTTCGTTTGGGAGACTTCGTAACAGCATCCTGTTACAATCATTTCTTGTTGTCAATGCAATCACCCAATTATAATTGGAGGGACAGATTTATTAGAAAACTATTAATTATATTTGATTATAGTTTAAAAATAAATATAACATCATATCTCTTTACATCATATCTAATTTGAGAGTCTATGGTTAAATCATATTTAATTTTAGATTTACATTATTGGTTCATGGAAATAAAGTTTGAGTTATTTCCATTTGAACAGAAATGGTTTAACTAAGAAGTATTTCAAAAATTGAATTCTTGGGGTTCTTTGATATGCTGATTCTAGCAATGTACTTAGATTTTGGATATTGGACCATAATAGGTAAATGTACAATTTCAAATTTTTCAGTTCTTTGACCACATTTATTTTGTGTCACAAACCCATGCTGTATCAAGTATTCAATCACAATCCAAATTCAGAGCTGTTTTAAGCTTAAATGTTGTGTCCATACTTGCTCAACTGTTCAGGGTTTGACCTCTGCAGGAAAATCCGGTTTGCTGTCTCTCTGACAGCCTCTTGTCTTTCCTGATGTAACTTTGACCATTTTAACCAAACTTTGCAGGAATGGTTATTGTGGATTCTCTATAATTCCTAGTATATCAGTTTTATTGCATTTTGTGGATCACTGCAGAAAACCACAAAATTTAAACATTCAGTAAAAGATATTTACAACACTCAATGTGTTGGGAATGAAGGAACCCAGGGCAGTCTTCTTTCATTGTTGATAGATAGCAAACTCTACATTTCTGGCTGTAGTGTAACTTGCCTAATTAGCTTTAGACAATTAATATTTTGTGAAAACATTAAATAATAAGTTAAGACTTTAAATATTTTATTTTAGAACATTTCATTAGAAGGAAGAGTACGAGCTTTGGAAGCTCAATTAATGAAGGAACAAGATGATTTCCTAGAAAGATTAGCTCAGAAAGATTTAGATATGACTGCTATACAAGAAAACCTCAACGAATTAACACAAGAATACAGCGATCTGCTTGAAATAAAAATCAAACTTGATCTTGAAATAGCCAACTACCGAAAACTGTTGGAAGGCGAAGAAGACAGGTAACTATGGGGATATGATAAAACAATATTATAATAGATTGATCATACATCAGTGATTTTCCTTTACCTTTCTTTGTAACCTGTACACAAAATAATAGTAAACTTACAAAATATGATTTTGTTTTCCTGATTGACTCATTTTATTTTGTTGCGGACATTGGTAGTTCCTCTTTGGCACTGTATTTTCCTAAATCATTGTTTTAAACAAAATTTTATCCTATGAATTTAATCATGCAGTTTAAATGAATACATTTTAAAATGTTTGAAAAAATATATCTTCCTTGAAAATCTTCTTTTAATTATGGCTCTGTAAAGTAATTTAAAATATAGCTTATCTTGTCTATTGATGTGCAGAAAAATCTCGAAAACATTTTGTGAATCAACATAGCAAAAACAATGTTCCAAGGAAACAGCTTAGTTACTTATTTAATCTAACATAAGTGAGAGGTATTTTCACAATATATGTTTCAAGTTGTTATAGTTGACGACAAAGAAAACAATACTTGGTTAAAAGTATTTTCCTTTTATGCTTAATCTAACTTTGAAAAAAGTAATAATGAACCAGTATCTTGGTCACATTACATGTGTGTTATGATTTTAGTAGAACTATACAAATGCTAACTACAAGGTCTTTAACTATGAGAACACAATTTAGATAGTAGGTTAAGTTATAAATTCTCATGAGTTAAAGTAACAGAAAAACATTGTAGTTTATATAATGAAGTGACTAACAAAGTAAATAGTAGTACAATGTATGTCTTTTAAAGTTTAAAGTACGTTGCATTTCTAACAAATCTTTCAAGTTACATATTTATTCTTTACATAGTTTGAAAAGGTTAAGAGGTCAAACAAAGCATAAGAAGGAAAAGTAAGAGAAAGTTTTTGAAACTTCAGGGTTTGTTAACATTTTGAATTGGAATAAAGTTAACTTTTTAAGGGATTTTTCTGGCAAACACAATTTAGTTATACATCTTAAGATTTGATCATTCCAAATAAGTGTCACTGTCGAAGGAGAAGATACAATTGTGATCCAAATTGGCCCTCAAACCAAATGTATTTCAAAATGCATCAAATTTGCAGAATACTAAAGTGAATTTAAAGGGACAAATAAGCCCCAAAATACACCTTCTCTTTTAGGGGAGTGTTAATATCAATTAAGATATAAACCAGAAAGTCTCTGTCAAGAACCAGAAAAAACCTATCATAACTTGCATGTTATTGTCAGACCTGTGTCTTTCATTGCAGAATGTGAGACATAGAAATGCTAAGACATAAAATTGTGTAAAAAATCAGTAAAGCAAGCTAGACATTTCAGTGTTTGCACTCTTGTGTTAAAATTAACTAAAACTGTTCTTATGTTGAATTCAAGAAAACCTAAAAAAGTTTAAAAAGTTAATTTAGTTGTGTTTTCTTACTAACCTGAATTTTGCAAATAGAAGTTTAAAGATCTGAAGACTAATTTTATTGCAATATGTGATAGACCATTTTTTAAGATATCAATCTTCAATTTCATGGTTGAAGGTCCAGTTCATTGGTAAAAATCATTGCCAATCATATGCCACTCTTCAGAGGTTCTTTTTTTTGGATACATTTTACTATTAAAAAGAATGGATTTGTTATGTTCTATTATAATGAATACAAATTAAAATAATTGCTTTCGTGGTGCTAATTTTAAAACTAACGGCTTTAGCAAACCACAATCAGAAGATCGTAAATAAAGCATACTTACAATCCTATTATTCTTTAACTCCACTTTATTGATATTATGATAATGATACTAAGAATTTCTATACATCCTTTTATTGTTATTGTCATAAGAAAGGTGATAGGTAATATAAACTGCAATAGGTTGAGAGCAACACTTACAGTCAAGTCACAGAAATGGGATTTCTTTATAAACCAAATTTGGAATTTTGATAATTTGCCTTTTTTTATGACCAGTAAAATATTTGCAGGAATACTTATGATATAGAAATTGAACTAACAATGAAAACATATATGCTGTACAATGGTATATAGATTCTCGCATCTCTCTCATATGGTCTCTGGTCAATATTGTTTCATTGATAAACATACCACGTCTTCTTGTTTTTACATTGTTACCTTTTTCAGACTCAATATTAGTAGTATTAGTTCTGCTTCTCCCGGTACTCCTGGCAGAGGTGCTAAGAGGAAGAGAGTGGCATTGTCAGAAGAAGTAACAGAGTTTGGAGAGACTTCCAGTGGATTATCTTCCACTAGTGAGGCTACCGGTAATGTGGTTGTCAGTGATGTAGATGCTGATGGAAATTATATACAGCTGAAAAACAACTCTGATGAGGTACATTTGAATTATGATGATTACACACACACAAAAACAGTTAAAATTGTTATTTTAAAAGTTCTAAATCAAATGCTTCAGTATCATAAACTTGATTTATTCTAATGATCGAAATTTGATTTTCAATTTACTCTTGCTATAGAATATGTCATAGATAGAATATATATGTATATTTAAGTCAATTTACAACAACAGAAGCATAAATTGTTGGACCGTGTATTAATTAAAGTCAACATGACCAGCTTACCCCTCGAAGTATAGATCTCCATGGAATTAAAAAAATTAAAAAAATAAAAAGTTGATATCTAGCTTACCGTAGAAAGGCTTGTATAGTCCGCGGTTTTATTCTCCAAAATTGGACCTTCCAGACGGGGTGCGGACTATAGAGTACAATAAGCAAGAAATAAGAGAAAAATTTCAATTTCGCGGTCGAGGTGGTTTGTTTACGTTCCGCCATCTTTGTTATTTCTATTGTAGAGGGCGCTCTTATCATTTTTCAAACTAATAAATTTAACTCATCCATATTAATAAGTTATTTCTATTCAATATCAAATTAATACTGATAAATATAAAAACTAAACCTTTCATTACAAATTTCTTGTTTCTTTTCAATGCATTGGTTGAAGTAAACTGGTATCTGCTCGATTGAAACGATACAAACATAGTGAAAAAGACAACCGTAAACCAGCTTAGAATTTGTAAACTACAAAACGAAATCGGTTATTGTTCGTTCCGTTTTGGTGTTTCATACTGACTAATATGGTTTGTATTAGCTTAAGACCCTTCAAACATTAATGTGATAGATATATTAAAGACTGTTTTACAAAAGGATGGAACTGTTTTACTTTCAAAGTCGTATTATAGTGATATCTGTTATGTACGGATTTCGACTCTCACCGGTTAATTTCTTCTTTTACACGTGCTTTTTAAACTTCCTGTTTAAACATACACAAGTTTCTAAATTGTTTTTTAAGTGAATTAAACTTATTTTAACAATCATGAAGCGTTCTAGAATCATTAACAAGCAGTTTCAGCTTCTGTTTGATGATGGAAAACAGGTTTTTCCAAGAAAATACCGCAAACGACCGCACAGGATTTGAAATTACCGGAGTTTCATTAGACCTTTTCTAACAGTTACAAAAAGTTTTTTTACCTAAAATTTCGTTGGGAGAAGGGGGTGCGGACTATGTACCACTGCGAACTATACAAGACTTTCTACGGTATTAGTCCCCTACCGACGAAGTCGAAGGGGACTTAAGGTTTGCACTCTGTCTGTCTGTCTGTCCATCCGTCAGTCCGGCAAATCAGTTTTCCACACATTCTTTTTCTTCGTGCTTGAAGATATTGATTTGATAATTGGTATATAGTTTTATCATGGCAAGTTACAGATCAAGTTCGAATTTTGTTCCGGTCTGATGATTTTGTGCAGAGTTATGGTCCTTGGACCTCGAAAATTCACTTAATCAGTTTTCCACACTTTTTTTCGTCATGCTTGAAGATATTGACTTGATATTTGTTATATAGTTTACACCATGACAAGTTACAGATCAAGTTAGCATTTTGATCCAGTTCAATGAATTTTTAACCGGTAGGGGACTATGTATTGGCATGCAATACTCTCAAAATGCTTGTATATATAGATATAACCAGAAGTATATAAAGGAAATTTGCATGAAAATAATTATTCAAATTTGCACAAACAGCTTACTTTAATTTGATTTTAGAATTGAAATTGACTATGTCAGTATTTATTATTAGGATATTCCAATCGGAGGATGGCAGCTAAAGTTAAAACATGAAGATGATGCAGATGCTGATGAAGTAGCTCATTACAAATTCCATCGCACATTGCATCTAAAAGCTGGCCAGACATGTACTGTAAGTAGACAATATTTATAAAATCAATATTAAAATGATATTATAGTCTTAATAAATGATTGAACACTTAGTTATATGTCATTTCTTTCATTTAAAATAAAGTATTTAAAAATCAATATGATTGATTGATAGTTGGTAGCTATACATCCAGTGGCAAATATTTCATGCATGTTCAGGACGAATGGATATGAAAGCTTTGGCTATAAACCTGCCTAATAGTAAAAACATAATCTAAAGATAATTTTTCAAAGCAGAAAAAGGAAATATAGCTTTACAATCTAAGGAGTTTTGAGATCATGTTGGAAATAGTAATAGTTTCAGTACTTGAAAAAGGGAAACCTATTTCAAGTTTTGTCTTGATACTTGCCTTTTTTTTTAATTATACCCCACGCAACGAGTTGCGGAGGGTATAATGTTTTTGACCCGTCCGTCCGTCCGTCAGTCCTGTTTCTTGTCATCGCAACTCCTCTCAAACCACACAACAGAATTTCACGAAACCTTTTTAGATAATAAGGACATACTATGTAGTTGTGCATATCGACAGGAAATTAGTATTCAATTCTTTTTCTAGGAGTTGCCCCCCTTTGAACTTATTTACTTTAATGTACTACTGCAACAGGTTGTCATCGCAAATCCTCTCAAACCACACAACAGAATTTCATGAAACCTTTTCAGATAATAAGGACATACTACGTAGATGTGCATATCGACAGGAAATTACGATTCAATTTTTTTTCCAGGAGTTACGCCCCTTTGAACTTATTTGCCCAATATACTACTGCAACCTTTTGTTTTCGCAACTCCTCTCAAACCACACAACAGAATTTCATGAAACCTTTTCAGATGATAAGGACATACTACGTAGATGTGCATATTGACAGGAAATTACGATTCAATTTTTTTTCCAGGAGTTACGCCCCTTTGAACTTATTTGCCCAATATACTACTGCAACCTTTTGTCATCGCAACTCCTCTCAAACCACACAACAGAATTTCATAAAACCTTTTCAGATAATAAGGACATACTACGAAGATGTGCATATTGACAGGAAATTACGATTCAATTTTTTTTCCAGGAGTTACGCCCCTTTGAACTTATTTGCCCAATATACTACTGCAACCTTTTGTCATCGCAACTCCTCTCAAACCACAAAACAGAATTTCATGAAACTGTGTAGATAATAAGGACATATTATGTAGATGTGCATATTGACAGGAAATTATGATTCAATTTTTTTTTCTGATACAATTTTTTTTTCTTACACTTATTTTATTTCTCCAATGACAATGTGGGGACGTGGGGTATGTGAGCGCGCTCACTAAGGTTCTTTCATTTGAAGAATATTTGATGAAAGATCGTTTTTCAATTTATCAAGTTTTTCTTGTATCCCTTGTAAATTTTTGAGATATAAAGGAACCCCCCTGTCCATGTGCCTTGTAAGCAATTCCTCAATAACAGTTAGACAGGATATTGATGAAACCTTAACCCCCCTGTCCATGTGCCTTGTAAGCAATTCCTTAATAACAGCTAGACAGGATATTGATGAAACCTTACCCCCCTGTCCATGTGCCTTGTAAGCAATTCCTCAATAACAGCCAGACAGGATATTGATTAAATCTTACACAGTTGTAGAACACTACATGATGTCATGTATAATGGATTATAATCCAAGTCCAACATGTTAAAGGGGAGATAATCAAATTTACTTACTTCTATATGCTTATAGTATTACGGACAGGGGTACTCTTATGTGAGTTCACTCAGAGTCCTAGTTTGTTCTGGTTTTAGTATATCTGGACACAGTTTAGATTTATTAAGCTTTGTGAGTCTACCATGAGAACAAGGTAATTAATTGATAACTTAGATGATATATATCAAATAGTTTCAGTTTTAACCATAGAGGCAAAAAATTAAACTCTATGCAGCTAGCACTAAATAATGTTCTAATTACACTCAATCAAGCTAGACAGGTTTGCAACAGAGATCTCAAGATCTTTTTTTCCCAGGTGGTTCTGAAAGAAAATCTGCAAGTCCTCACTAACATTTCTATTACAAAATTGTGTTGGTCATTTGCAAAATTTTAGTTTTCAGGACCTTCTGACAAGCACTTTTCGAGAACTGTGTTGCAAGTGAGCTATATAGGGATGGTCTTGTATTAATAATAAAATATATTTATCATTCCTAGACCTGTTTTGTACTTTAAGGTATGGAGCTCTGGTATTGGGAAGACATATAGTCCACCTAGTGATCTTGTCATGTTTTGTACTTTAATGTATGGAGCTCTGGTACTGGGAAGACACATAGTCCACCTAGTGATCTTGTCATGTTTTTGTACTTTAATGTATGGTGCTCTGGTACTGGGAAGACACATAGTCCACCTAGTGATCTTGTCATGTTTTTGTACTTTAATATATGGAGCTCTGGTACTGGGAAGACACATAGTCCACCTAGTGATCTTGTCATGTTTTTGTACTTTAATGTATGGTGCTCTGGTACTGGGAAGACACATAGTCCACCTAGTGATCTTGTCATGTTTTGTACTTTAAGGTATGGAGCTCTGGTACTGGGAAGACACATACTCCACCAAGTGATCTTGTCATGAAGACACAGAAATGGTTAAAGAGCAAGGACTTAATGAAAGCAGAATTATACAATTCTGATGGAGATGTAAGTTTCTACAGTTGGCAGGAAACTATATTATTGTGCTAGATTTAATGAGGCATGGAACAAAATCACTCTGAAAATGTCAATGAATTACCATGACTTCCCAGTGAAATAAAAACTTATAATTTCACATGTGAAATAAACTCAATAATTTTACTCCTCTTATGTCTTACAACAATAGGTGTTATCGATGATGTTGCATCAAAGCAAAATTGTGAATGCATAGAAAAAGATATAGTTCTTTGCATTTTCTACTCTATTAGTTATTCTTTAATTATCGTTCTGCTATGGAAAAAAAAATTGTCACTCTTCTAAACTCATAATTTTTATAATGGACATTTTAGTTTTATAAGAATTAAAGGATGCACAATTTAAACATAACAGGTGTTTAGTAAGGTTCAGTGTTTTTATGGAAAAAAATTGACATAAGGGCTATTCCAGAAAAAATAATATGGGGGTTGGGGGGTTGGAAGGCACTTTTTTTATGACCATCACCAATACAATTGCATTTTACTTTGCATACATAACCACACAATTTGAAGTTTGTGATCTGTCCCTCACTTGTACAAAAATAATTCAAGTGCCATCCAAACCCCCTCACCCCCATATATTTTCTTCTGGACTAACCCTAATTGTATGTAATAATTGTTTTGCATTATACTAACAATATTAAAAGACAATTTATTTGTATAGAAGCAGTCCATTCAATTAAGATTATATTGGGCTGACTATATAAAGTAATAATTTATTTGTGTTGAACAGGAGGTAGCTAGCAGAAAGTTGTCCAAGAAGATCTCTAGAACCACTTCTTCCTTCAGAACCAGTTATGATACAGTAGATTCTTCTAGAGTAAGTCTGATTACTTTGATATTGTGTATTTTGTGCATATGATGGAAAGTATGTCTGATTTTTATGCCCCCCGCCACAGCGGAGGGGGCATTAAGTGTTACCCTTGTCCTTCCGTACGTCACGAAATTTGTTTCCGTTCTCTAACTTTAGTTTGCCTCAACCAAATGTAATGTTATGTAACTTATACACAATGCTTATTACCACAAAACACTGATCAAGTTTGAATTTGGGTGGCGTCACTTTTACCGTTTTTGAATAATGTCTTTATAACGTTATATGCAAGCAGGGGCATCATCTGTATCCAATGGACACATTCTCAATTTATTTAATTATACTCCAAATATATCCCACATCAGACACAGCAAATTTGGGATGGGTTATTTATAGATCCTCATGTACATCAGTCAAACCTAAAGTTTCTGAATGTACCATATCTTGAAATAATTAACAAATTTGATGAAACAAAAAAATGCAGCATGATTTTGTAATTTGGCAACTTTCATATTGGAATAATGACATTTTGTTAAAATTATATCATCAGTTTGTGTTGTTTTTTTTCTGGATGATGATAAAGGTATTGAATGACAAAATCTTGAAGTCTTTAATTACAAGCATAGGTTAGTAGGATTTAGTAAAAATGATATTACAGTAATCAGGCATGTATTATACACATTTTTTTACCCATGACATAATTTGTATATTATACAGAACTGAAGGCTCTGAAGACATTTGTTTTCACTATTGTATCGTTTTAAAGTGTAGGTGTGAAACAGCATGATAATATACACAGCCGAATACAGTACACAAATTCTTTGTAAATAGAAAATGGGGAAAAATAGTATCGGTAGAATTTTTTTTTTGATAAGTTATAAAACATGATAAATAGATAATGTAAAGTTGCCAGAAAACACAAGTCTGTATTTACCAACTTTTCTATGAAAAAAATACAATTTTGTCCTGGACTATTCATTTCAACTTAATGATAATCCAGATTTTTGACAAACAACAAAGTTTTCTTTTTGTACTTTATAAATAATGGAGGGGTAAATGTCGAAGACAGCAATATATGAAAAGAAATTAATAAAAAATGTCTACACAACAGAACATTTCAATGACAGCATTCATAATTTCATGTTTCATGCTATTCTTTCAGAGAGACAGGGAAGGATGCTCAGTTATGTAATCCTTATATTGAAGTGCTTCATGTGTTCTAGCCACGTAATATATGCAGGGTGCAGTGCTAGCTCTCTACTTTGTGCTGTTTTATCATGTGTGTCCTTGTTTGGTAAAATAAGTGTGAAATCACAAGCCCTTGATTTCAGAGTACTAAAGTTAAGAATTAAAATGTACAGTAAAACCTGTGTAAACCGGCTATAGGACTATGAAAAAGGGCCGGGTTGACATTGGGTTGGTTTATTCAGGTTTCTGTATTGACAGGAAGTTATTGACTTGTGACGTCAGATATTTTGCAAGTAAAAGTTCTGTCTCATTGTAAACTGTAAACTTACAAATACAAATACCGTAATAATGTATTTATTGAAAGTTCAGTCTTCATTTGTGTGACTATTTTGACATGAATATTACAAATGTTCCCTGCCTTTTCGCCATTTTACAACGAAAGATCGTTTCTTCAGTCATTGTATTCATTTGCTTTAGAAATTTCAGAAATCAGTTGTCCCCTGGAAAAAAAAATAAAATAAGATAACGTTTTTTTTCATATCCTTTTATGTCAAATTGGCCGCGGTAGCATCAGTCTCTCAGTTTTGTCAATTTAACTTTCATTTGCATCAGAATCTCGTGTTGTTTGAATTGTTCAAAGAGTTTCTTTTACTTCCATCATTCATTTCCTACGTTGGTAAAGCCGATAATAAAAGCAAGAATTTTATCACACAAAATTTCGTCATGATCGAAACATTGTTGTACTATGTACCATACCCATAAACTCAACAATGAAATGTCATCGTCCAGGTCTTCTCCATCATCAGGGTCATCAGTTTCAGGGTTCACAACAGACTTTGAAGGGGAAAAAATGGGACTTCCAATTTTCGGCCGGAATGGACAGGAAACCGGTTTATTCAGGGTCCGGTTTACACAGGTTTGACTGTAAATGATATAATATGAGATTGTATGTCACACATAACTTGCACTTTAGGCCAGTACTCTAGATTTGCACCCTGCATTTCACCACCTGGCTAGATCACTGACTGAGGACCAGTTGCTCTACATAGTTTAAATAGAGAATAGTACACCATACATGTAATGACTGAAGAATGTAGCAAGATTCTCCAAAAAAAAGAAAACCATTAAAGAAAAGGCTGAAGAAAAAAAACAGTATTTATATATGGGTTGTCTCTAAATATTGAATTGTCTTTTAATTAAAATGTAACTTGTTATAAAGAGAGTTTTACATTGGAAAGTTGTATTTGAAAGGTTTGGGTTTTTTTTAGGTTGTATTTAATATGTACTTGTACATTGTTAAAACTTTGAAAGAGATGTTAAAAAAAGGTTGTATTGAGGATACTGTTTGAGTATATTTTGGAAAATGAAGACTGATGTAGGCTTTTTTGAGTTTCTCAGGGACATTATACCTCATATCTTAATGAATGTGTTCATTTTTTCCATCAACTTTAGTCCCTTTAAATTAGTTTTTCATGGTTGACTGAAAATTGTTATTCAATTCACAACCTGATCAAAGTTTCCACATTCTGTAATTATTAAGACGGCAAATGTGTGGCATTGTTGTCAGCTGTTCCAATTAAACACATATATATTACCCAGGGAAGGCACTTTGAAAATTGAGTACCCACCTATTGAATTATTTTTTGAATATCACCTGCATTTACACTGTACAATAACTATTTGACATCCATCCATAGTTGAGATTTTAAAGAATCTTCCCTGAGTCTTGTGCATGTTTTAAGGGAATAGTGTTATTATTATTTTTTTCCAGTTAATAAATTTGATTTAGAAGCTAAAAATAATTTGAAAAATTAAAAATACAAAACACAATTTACAAGTCTTATTTAAAAATATGTAGTCTCTTTGTTTTAAAATATTAAGCTTTGTATAGCTACGTTCCTCAGTGATTACATCTAGAATGACTATATATGTGATAATATAATTTGTGTTTTATGTCTTGTGCAATGGGCTTTTTTTTGTATAATTCATTTGGCATCTGTTTCCATTATTTTGAGATTATGCATGGCTTCCTTTTTGGGTTTATCCGATCAATTCAATTTTCCTAATTTTGTTTTTGAATGTCTTGCAGTAGCAAGAGTGTATTACAAATGTATCGTTGTTTGAAGAAGCTATCTGTTACATATCTATATAAGTAAGTTTGAGAGAATTTTTATATAATTATTGTTTGAATTTTTACTATAAGATATTTATACATATACTTCATAGTTTAGTGGAAGTGAAACTGAGCTAAGAAATGGATAAGCCAAAAAAATAAAAGAATCTCTTACTGTTATTAGATGTAGCTTTTGCTCTTTTATAACTTTCTCTTACTACCCTTGTCATTCTTCATAAAGATCATGAAAAAGATTGACTTTTTATTTTATCAAGTTTTTGTGAATGTCAACAAAGAAAAAAAAAATCTCTTTTCTATTGTCTGGGTGTGTTTTCTGATCAAGAATTGAATAGGTAGACATCTTGTTTTCAGCTGTAGATAGCTTGTTTCAAGTTATCATAAATAGTTCTTACTTATGTTCGAATATATAAGGTAATATTTGCATAATATCACCTTGCTGTATCTAATTTGACATGTAAATATTTTTATTATGTTCCTTTATTTTATTTGTTACTTAGAATCTGTTTTTATACTTAAGTAGTAGTACATTGTATATTGCCTAGTCAAATATTAGCAGTCAATATAATTACAAAAAGGAATTTCTTTATGTTCCAGTTTTGTGGATATACTAGGTTTTGGTGCTTTTCTTGCCTTCTAGTGCTTCTTGATATATAACAGGGTAAATTTAAAGTTAAACGACTTTTATCTCACTTGTTGGTGGTGACAGTAGCACATTTTATTTAACCATTTTGTGACTTCAGTATTTATTGATACATGCCCCACTCAGATTTTTAAGTGTAGTAAATTTTGCACATTTAGGTAAAATTTCATTTGAAAAAATTCAAAAAATTCATCCACCCCATCCAAAATGAATTAAATATTTAAAAGAAATATGAAAAAATGTCCTCATAGAATAAGGGAAACTTGCAGATTTATACAATTTCTTGTCAGTCTATTTATGGATATTTCTCATCCTTAATCCAATAATGGGATAGAAATTCATTAAAGTGCAATTGAATTTTAAGAATGAATCAAAATATTCATATCTCTGAAACCATCAAAGTTTAGATTCATTGTAGCTAGGAATAATTAATCTCTAGTAAACTTAATTTGCATAACTAGCCACAAGGTTTCTGCATTGTAATAAACTGCTGATTCAAATACCATGCTATTTTTTCAAATAGCTATAATATATATTTGTTGGCACATACATCTCTTTGGCAATATGAATCAAAAAAGTAAGTTTTGTTTAGCACAAGATAAATGTAAATAATTAATTTTCTTATTCGTTGGGTGAAACATGAATTCCTTGACACTATGGTAAATATAGAAACTAACTGTCAAGACGGTCTTACAAACAACATTTTTTTTTAGTGGTTCTATGATTTGATTGGCCTACAAATACAATTGTAACTTCTGAAAAAGTATGTTAAGAAATGATTTCATGCTCCACCTAATTAACAAAAAAATGTAATAGCATTTAAAAGGCAGCTTTACAACATACCATCGTATCTATAGTTTATATCCACATTCTATTGTTATTTTTATGATGCAAATTACAGAAACTTGAAATTAAGATTATTTTTTCTTATTTATCTAATCATTGAAGTGTGAAGGTGTTCATTATTAGATGGTTCTTTATTTCTGAAGCCTTTGATTATGGTTACATTTTATTTTTGAAATAATTTAAAATTTAATTCAAAGAGTGGGAGGAAAATGTTTTTGTACTTTAGTAAACATGATGAAATACTTCAGAGATCAACAATTTTAGTGATATCTAAGTAATAGAAGGAGACAGGTCTTTTTGATAGATTTTACAACTCCTTGAAATTGGGCATTTTCATTTAATATTTCACTGTTGTAAACTTGTTCATACTTGACTTTTTTTAACGATTTAAATATAGAATTTTGTCTTAGCTATATATAATTTGAAATAAGCCTTTTTTTTATTAATCATATATAGCTTATAAATTTAAGTTATTATTTCCTTGCTGATCAAAATCCAGTTGGATACAGATTCTGTGTCTGCTAAAGTTATATACAGTATTTGTTCTCTTCACTTTGTTTAAAGTTCAAGGGTAGTCCATGTCAAGCTGTTATTATATTTTGATTTTGACAGTCCAGAGTAGAAAAATGGCATATCACATGTTGCAGATTATTGATCAACTTGTCCAGTAATTTTATGGCAACTTGTTGATAAATTTTCTCATTTTTGATTTCTGGTTATACTCCAGTAATCACATGTTTTCAGTCTATTTCATCAATCATTGATTGCTCTTTTTTATGCAACCATAACAGTTAAACCAGAGTTGTAACTTGTGAGTACTTTTTTGTTTTGTCAGACACCTATTTCCAGTTTTTCTTTGAATTATAAGTGGGAATAGTTTAAACATGGCAATTTGTAAAACTTATATATTTGTTAAATATGCATGTTCAAGGGAAACAACCCTGCACATACTTTGAAATGCTTCTTATTTAGAAAAAGAGATTTTTCTTATTATTGTTTACACAAATATTTTATTAATTAATTAAGATGATTTTTTGATATTATTTTTGGTGCTGTAGTTGTTTTCAATATGTTGAGGGTGTTTTTGCCTTGGAGAGACATAGGTTTCCCCAATTCCTAATGTTAATTGGACTAAAAGTTCATTTCTGTATGAGCTCTTGTGATACATCATTGATATTTGGTATGCATTAGTATTTGACGTACAGAAAAGGATAACCTAGAAAATTCTGTCCGAAATTTAAAAAAATTAAAGATGGATATGTTGCTAGAAAACCATGCCCACCTTAAATTCTCATTGGTAACTTGGTTATTGTAAACCGAGGCTTTTTTTACAAGTCCTGCATAGAAATTATTATGTATATGTGTTGTGAATTAGTTTGCTTTGAGTTAAACAAATCAAATAACGATCTTGAAAAAAAATTGTTTAAGAAGAATTTACTGAAAATATTAAATCTTTTATAATGATGATTTTTAACTGCAAGCTATTGAATCACTTTATTAAGCAACTCGAGGGTTTGGCATAAAAATGATGCGAGGACCTAAAATTTTGTAATTAATAAGTTTCCAAATTAAAAGACTTAAGAATTGAGACTTGTTTAGTTTACATGTACCAATTTATATAGAAATATAATGCATTTTACACATAAATATTTGTGTTTGGAAAAGTTCAAAACAGTGCTACCAAATTGTTGTATAAAAAACCAAAACTATCTGGTTGTGACTATTTGACCATTTTCTGACCATTAACCATGTTTACATTGTGTTTTTATCTATTTATCATTTAATTTTACATGTTCAAGATCAACAAAAATTGCTTCTATATAGAAAAATAAAAATCTGATCATTCTAATTCTGTTGTTTTTATACGCCAGTTTACAGGACCTATTATGGTATACTGTTGTCCGTCCATCGTCAACATGTCGGATAATAACTCAAAAATGCTTTAACCAATTTGCATGAAACTTTGGTGAATGGTTTATATCTATTGACGTAAGCTCCCTTTCGATTATTATAAATTTTTAAATTTTACGTTTGAGTTATGAGATTTTATTCATAAAAAATGGTTGATTTTCCAGTTTTCGGACAGTATCTTAGAGGAGTTTACATGGAACTTTGTTGACTGGTTTATATCTATTAAGATAACCTCCCTTTAGTTTTTCATAAATTTCTGATATGACATTGAGAAGTTATTGAACTTTATTCTTTTAAAAAGTGACGGGCTTATCATGCACTCATGGCACAGCTGTTTATTGTCTAGCTTGCGACTTCTGATGCTGAAAGCAAGACATAGGGATAGTGATCTGGCAGTGTTAACTAACTACTTAAAAGCTTAATATTTCAGAAGGTAGAAGACCTGGATGCGTCATACTTTGTATATAGACGCCTTATGTTATAAAGTTTCCGTCCGTCATATGTCCATTGTTCTTGACCTCATTTTCATGGTTCAGAGACTACTTAAAAAAAAAATTGAGATTTTTTGTCATGTTAATTTCTCTCTTATTATGAGTACTGGTAATAGGATAACTATATTTGGTATGTGCTACCTTGCAAGGTCCTCATGTCTGTCAGACAATTTACACTTGACCTCAACCTCATTTCATGGATCAGTGAACAAGGTCAAGTTTTCGTGGTCAAGTCTATATCTCAGATACTATAAGCAATAGGTCTACTATATTTGGTATATGGAATGATTGTAACATGTAAATGTCACTACAGACCAGTAAAAGTCTGAAATGGCCTATATCTGTACTCGACTGTACTGGTTTTTACTCGATACGTCTGAATTGGTCTGAAAATTACTTGATAATACTCGACTGTAGTCTGAACCATACTTAACAGTCTGAACTTGTACTTGACCCTTACTCGACCAGTATTTAACCATTTTATACGCGTCTGAACCATGCTCGACCTAGTCTGAACCATGCTCGACCTAGTCTGAACCATACTCGACCAAGTCTTAACCAACCTAGACCTATTTTTTGTATCTATCTATTGTATTTCATCAATTTAGGAACTGTTTTTAAAAACAGCTATTTCCCATGGCTAGAAATTTGAACAACAATTTGAAATTAAAAATGTATTCAATATAGCATTGAAACCAAAATTTCACAATAAACATAATATAACTTAAGCTTCATCACCATATTCATCAACACTTATATACATACATATATATCACCTTTAAAATAAAAATAAAACAAGCTGATCAAATAATCTCAAAACTGAATTGTGACTAATATTTTCAATGTTATTCAAAATTTTTTAATGTTTCAGCAAGGACGTATAGTTATACGTCCTTGGTTTCAGATATATTTTATGGTTACTGGACAATTTTCACCATTAACTTGAGCCTCGTATAGATTTATGGTGTCAGTTGAGTTTAGTTAATACTGCAGTGAACATTTTTTTTTATTAAAATATATATAAAATAGCATATAAAGCAACTTTATAAATTTAAAAAATGACACCTTTGTTTTGTTTAACCAAGAATTTAATATAATCATGATAATAGAACTTCCATAGTAATCCTGTGATAAACTTTTAAAAAAGGAAATTTGTTCCAAAGTTACAGTAAAAATTTATTTCAATTAAATTTAAATGATTTTTGTCAAAATTAAAGACATGGCATACAAGAAGCACTTTAATAAGGTTTAATTACCTCAGTACATGTTTGTTTTACAGGTAAAAAGAAAGCCCTATTTTTCTTAAACTCGTGTATTACTTATCTAGTGAATTCAAAAGGCCTTGCGATTTAAGTTTCACAGGATGTTGCAATTTTGAATGAATGTTATATAGAATTTAATACTCTCTCACCAGGTGTGATCTGTTTCATGACTTTGCCCCAAGCAGGAGGTATTACTGTATACTTCACCACTAATCAGAAGAACAATTTTATTAATTTCTTTCATTTTTATCCCTTTTTGATATATATTGTATATAATATATCCCAAATTATAATAATAGATATATTTCTAAAATAAGGTTAAACAATTTCAGTGATTTTGTTGGCTGTTGTTACCTCATTAAAAAGATAATTATATAACTATTGTACATTTTTTGTATGTAACCATGAAACCTATGTAGTTTTTATTTAGGAATTTAGGAAAATAAATTTAAAAAAAAACACATACCAAACAAGAAGCACCTTAATAAGGTTTAATTACCCTCAGTATAGGTGTGGTTTTTAGGTAAAAGAAAATCTTTTTTTAACAAAACTCTAAAACTTTATAATTAACATAATTCATGTAATTAAATTATTATATAAGATAATTTGATTTAACTATCTCTATTCGATAAATCTGAAAATCATGTAAGAATGTAAAAATCTGTTTTTACAATATATCTTTATTCTATTGTGGCTGTTGTCATGCCAGTTAAAAAGAAATTTATTTTAACAGTTAAAATTTAGAAAAAGTAGAGGTTATTTGGTCAAGTATGGTTCAGACTGGTCGAGTATTGTTCAGACCTTTGGTCGAGTATGGTTTAGACTGAAAAAAATAGGTCGAGTACAGGTCGAGAATGGGTTAAGACTGTTTCAGACTGGTCGAGTAATAGTTCAGACTATTTTCAATGGCAAAGATAAGGGTCAAGTACAAATCAGTACAGACGAGTATGGTTAAGACTTGGGTCGAGTAAAATTCAGACCAATTCATACTGGTCGAGTAAAAATCAGTACAGTCGAGTACAGATATAGGCTATTTCAGACTTTTACTGGTTTGTAGTGTGTCCAACTGACAGGCATCATCTGACCTTGACCTCGTTTACTTGTTTCAGTTAAAGTTAAGTTTTTGTGTTGTGATCTGTTTTTCTAATAATGTATGCAATAGGTCAACTATATTCGGTGTATGGAAATATTTTAAGATGTACATGTCAGTCTGGCAGGTTTGATTTGATCTTGACCTCATTTCCACAGTTCATTGCTCAATGTTAAGTTTTTATACGACCGCAAAAATATTTTGCGGTCGTATATTGGTATGAAGTCGTCGTCGTCCAAAGACACATTGGTTTTCGCACTCTAACTTTAGTTTAAGTGAATGGATCTCTATGAAATTTTACCATAAGTTTCAATACCTCAAAAGGAAGGTTGGGATTGATTTTGAGGGTTATGGTACCAACAGTTAAGGAATTAGGGGCCAAAAATAAGCATTTTTGTAACTTCCAGACATAACTTGTGTGTTAGTGTATGGATCTCTCTGACATTGTACCACAAGGTTCCATATCACAAAGGGAATGGTGGGATTGATTTTTGGGGTAGTTGCCTCAAAATTTTAGGAATTAGGGGCCAAAAAAGGGGCAAAAAACAAGCATTTTTCTAGTTTCATAATAATAACTTGTGTGTAAGTTTATGGATCTTTCTGAAATTGTACTACAAGGTTCCATATCAACAAAGGGAAAGCTGGAATTGAGTTTGGGGGTAATTGCCCAATACGTTTAGGAATAAGGGGCCAAAAATAAGCATTTTTTTAGTTTCCAGACAATAACTTGTGTTCAAGTGTATGTATCTCTCTGAAATTGTACTGCAAGGTACCATACCACAAAGGGAAGGCTGGGATTGATTTTGGGGGTAATTGCCCTAAAATTTTAGGAATTAGGGGCCAAAAAGGGGCAAAAAACAAGCATTTTTCTAGTTTCAGGACAATAACTTGTGTGTAAGTGTATGGATCTTTATGAAATTGTACTACAAGGTTCTACATCACAAAGGGAAAGCTGGGTTTGAGTTTGGGGGTAATTGCCCTCAATGTTTAGGAATTTGGGACCAAAAAGGGGCCTAAAAACAAGCATTTTTCTAGTTTCCAGACAATAACTTGTGTTCAAGTGTATGGATCTCTCTGAAATTGTACTGCAAGGTACCATACCACAAAGGGAAGGCTGGGATTGAGTTTGGGGGTGATGAATCATAAGGGGGTTCAAATAATTTGGGGGAGGGATATTTTTTTTCTTTAAAATTTTCCATTTTAAATTGGTTATTTCTGATTTATATATAAAAGCAAATAATAATGATATGGTTTGAATAGGTAAATTAAAATTTTTTAAGTTCTTAGACCATATTCATTCTGTGTCAGAAACCTATGCTGTATCAAATATTTAATCACAATCCAAATTCAGTGCTGTATCAAGCTTGAATGTTGTGTCCATACTTTCCCCAACTGTTCAGCAACTATATTTGGTGTATGTAATGATTGTAAGTTGTAAATGTCTGTCTGGCAGGTATCATCTTTCCTTGGCCTAATTTTCATGGTTCATTGGTGAATGTTAAGTTTTCATGGTTAAGTTTTCATGGTTAAGTTTATTTCTTAGATACTAAAAGCAATAGGTCAACTATATTTTGTGCATCGAATGATTTTAAGGTGGACATGTCTGTCTGGCAGGTTCATCTTTTACCTCATTTTCATGGTTCATTGGTCAATATAAAGTTTTCATGGTTTGGTCTGTTTCTTGTATACTTTAAGCAATAGGTCAACTATATTCAGTGTATGGAATGATTGTAAGGTGTACATGTATTTCTGGCTTGGTTTATCTGACCTTGACCTTATTTTCTTGGATCATGTTAAGTTTATGTGATATTTGTAGTAAAGCTTTATAATTAGGACTATCAACATAAAATCAATGGCCAGTAAAGTAGGCAAGACATTTCAGAGTGTGCATGCTTGTGTTTCTAAATTGTTGTATTGTACTACTTAGTATTTCTTCTAAAATTCTTGAATACCCAGGACAAGAAAAACTGATATGGCTGTCAAACTGAAATTCATGTACAAAGATCAAAATATTGTACCACTGTTTGACCTGCCCAGGATATTATAACCCAGTTGTATAAGTCCAGGGTTATTTTTAATTTGTCAGTTTACCAATTTTTAATCTGAAAGATTTGGGACAATCTATTGAAAAAATTTCTATCAAGACATCAGTTCTGGTATGTATAAAATTGCATATTTATTACAATATTTGTTTTTACATTTTTGTCATTCCTTAAAATTTTAGTGCCAAACATTATTGATCGGCTGTTTTAAACATGCAGTACATGTCTTTGTCATAAAAGTTTTCAAAAGGGGGTTGGGTGGGAGATGTGGGCATGTACAAACAGGAAAAAAATTTGTCATTTAAATTTTAAAAATCAGATTGAGTAAAACAAAAAACTCCTATTCACAAAGAGGAACAACAATAATTTATTCAAAGTCCCAAGCTGGTAGGGATTTTATTGTGCAGGAAATCAGACAATTTAATTCTGTTGAATTTTGTTTGATAGTATGAACATAATAGAACTTCTGCATTAGGCACCAAATGTGTGTGGGGGGAATGATTATTTCTTGGGTCAAATTGATTTTTCACTTTTGTGCTGAAACAAATTAGTTTTTCAAGAAATTAAGAATCAAAAGATGATAGTCCTTGTCTTGTACAGTTTGATAAACAACACCTAAATATAGTCTATAGTGTTTACATCCCACATTTCTCAATGAAGGATTTTCAATATGTACAATTCATTGACGTATTTATCTAGTAACCTCAATCAGACATTATGGATATAAAAAAGTTAAACAGGATTTACTGCTTAACTAAAGGCCTATGCTGGGCATTTTTCACAGATTCTTGACTACTGCTTTCATTCAATTGTATTTAATTGTAAAATTATTTATCATTCTAAGGACTTTCTCATGTATATTTGCATGATAAAATGACCAGTAAATTTATGTTTTGTTTTTACCAAATTCGCAAATTTTGCATCTTTAAATGCTGAAATTTTTTTTTCTGTCTGCTCCTGAAACCCCTATCATGACTCTGTCTTAGACCTGCTGAGGGCCTTTAGCCGCCCATGACCCCCTGCTGCAAATTGTGCCTACATTTAATTTACTACCTAGAAATGTCCTGTGATGGATAAATCACTTGATACGCAAGCCAATATGGAACTCTGAACATATTGCATCCAAAACAAACACCTCACTGTTGCACAAGTAGTGTTGAATATAGTACCGGTATATAGAAAATGAAGAAAAGTTAAGATTGACAATCAAGAATCATTTAATGGTGTAAGACATTTGTCCAGGTAAGGTAAATATGTCTTGGAAAATGGGAGTCACATGCCAACCAACTTCACTGGGATGACCAGGAAAAAGTTTTTTGCATGAGTTTCTAGGGGTTTGCCGATTTTTGTCTCGCCTGCAAAAGTCGAATGAGGGACATAGGGATTAGAATCCAGTGGCTACAACAGGCTTAAACTATTTATATAAAGCTTTATATTTCAGAAGCTGGAAACCTGGATGCTTCATACCTTGTTTACAGATACCTTATGTGTCCGTCTGTCATATGTCCCTTGTCCTTGACCTCATTTTCATGGTTCAGTCACTGCTTGAAAAAAAAAAGTTTTTTTGTCAAGTGAAATTTTCACTTATAATGAGTAGTAGGATAACTATACTGGTATTTGGTGTATTGGTTCCTTGCAACGTCTACATGTCTGTCGGGTAGGATTCACCTGACCTTGACCTCATTTCATGGATCAGTGATCAAGGTTAAAGTTAAGTGGTCAAGTTTGCACCTCAGATACTATAAGCATCAGGTCAACTATATTTGGTGTATGAAATGATTGTAATGTATAAATGTCCGACTGACAGGTTTCATCTGACCTTGACCTCGATTTCATGGTTTATTGGACAATTATTAGTTTTTGTGGTTTGGTCTATTTCTCAGATATTTTAAGCATAGGGCCAATATATTTGATGTATGGAATGTATGCAAGGTGTACATGTCCATCTGACAGGTTTCATTTGACCGTGACCTCATTTTCATGGTTCATAGGTCTATGTTACAATTTTGTGGTTTGATCTGTTTCTGAAGTACTATAAGTAATAGAACCACTATATTTTGTGTATGGAATGATTGTAAGGTTAACATGTCTGTCTGGGATGGTTCATCTGACTGACCTCATTTTCATAGAACATTGATAGTGTTGAGTTTATGTGATACTTGTAGTAATACCTACATATTACAGCCTTTCAACATATATTCAATGATAAGTTAAACAGGCAAAATATTTCAGTGTGTGTAGTCTTGTTGAGATTTTGCTCCTATATATTCCTTTACAAAATATGGAATTTTTCCCTGATTTGGGATTCTGGTACCTTTTGAACTCCCACTCATGTAGTGAGTCATTGGGTTGCTGTCTTACTGATATGTACCCTCATCTTTATTCAGGATTTTATTTTACAAAGCAATCTTAAGAGATATTTTTGGGTAAGTTGTGTACATTTCTTAGTTACCAGGTACAATGCATAGAACTTTTATCTCTGCACCATTAATAACTTTAATGTGCTTCTGCATTTTTATGCACCTGTCCTAAGTCAGGAGCCTGTTTTTCAGTGGTTGTTGTTTGTTGGTGTGGTTTATAAGTGTTTCTCGTTTCTAGTTTTTTATATGGATTAGACCATTGGTTTTCCTGTTTGAATTGTTTTACACCAGTCTTTTTTGCACTTTTATAGCTTGATGTTCGGTGTGAGCAAAGGCACCGTGTTGAAAGCCATACTTTGACCTATAATTGTTTACTTTTTACACATTGTGACTTGGATGGATAGTTGTCTCATTGGCACTCATACCACATCTTCTTATTTATATTTTGATAAATGTCCAATTGTCAGAGAGACCCAAACCATTTGTGGATAAAATGTTGGTCTCCGTACTACATTCTTAAACAACATTTTATATCTAGATCCTACCACTGTATTGAATGAGATAAGATATTTATTCAATGAAAATATTTATATTTCTCGAAGCTTCACGTTTGAATTTTTTGAATAATTAACTGTTTAGTGTACAGCATCATGAGATACATGTGGCGAATCTTCTTTCTATGAAAATATTTAAACCAGAGGTAAACAAAACTTTTTCTAGCTTTGTATAGCTTGCTATGCGGTATGGGTTTTGCTAATTGTTGATGGCCTTTTTGTGACCTTCTACATCTTTTGGTTTCTGGTGGAGAGTTTTCTTATTGGTAATCATACCACATCTTATTTTTAAATTGAAGATTTTGCTGGTGATCAGCAAAAAATGTGTTCTTACTATCTTCTACATCATTTGGTTTCTGGTGGAGAGTTTTCTTATTGGCAATCATACCACATCTTATTTTTAAACTGAAGATTTTGCTGGTGATCAGCAAAAAATGTGTTCTTTCAGTGTGACAAAATTCAGCATTGTTACCTTTTTAATACTTCCAAAATAATAAAACCAGAGAATGACATTGAAATTTGACATCATTATTGAATTTAACCAAAGCAGAGCTGAGAACAGGAGAAAAAAGACAAATAAAAAGTAAGAAAAATGTAAATCAGTTCAGTTAGTGAAATATAGAATCCACCACTGCAACAAGTGTTATGACATTTCTCCACTCGAGACAGTTAAATTTTAATATTTAAAGCGCGAGGCATGCCGAGCTTTTTAAATAATTAAAATTTAACTGTTGAGAGTGGAGAAATATCGTAATACAAATGTACACGAGTTATAGTGGTGGAATCTGTTTCTCTGATGATTTTTATCCTTCATTTTCAAAGATTTGCAGAAAGTTGTGTTCTTTATGTGTGACGTCATCAGGCATGGTCGCCTTTTTTCATGACGTCACAATAGGAAATTCAGAAGAAACCAAGAAAATTTGACATCATAATTAAATGTCAACCAATTATTTGCCGAGAACAGATATTTCACTAGTGAGGAAAACAATTTTTTCACAATCAGTTGGGAAATGTGAAAATAGTGAAAAAATTAGAGAAATAATATTTTATTGCTGTTTTGTTTTCATTCTATTTTTATACTGTCTGATGATACGACTGACTGGGTCTATGACAGCTCTAGGATTTCTATATAACATATGTTTATCTGCACCATTTATAACTATGTGGTTAGCCTTAGGGTAATGTTTTGTCAGTAATGTCTGTTCTGATTTTGCCCAAGCCTGAAACAGAAAATGATTATAATATTATAAAAATTTATTTCTATGATTCAAGCACATTGAAAATATATTGTCATAACAATACATCTTTTACTATTGTAGGCATGGCATAATAAATAGTTGACAGCTTAATGTCAAGATTTATTCAGAAAATTGTCTTTAAAAGCAATAAAACTAAATTTAAAACACATTCCCATTTGAAAACATGGCTTAAAGTGTTGCCAAAACAATTTGCTTTTTTATATTTTAATACAGTGCTTATTTATTTTTAAATGTAGTTTCAGTATAATAGAAATATCCCAATGGTTAACATGAGATCATATGGGATGTGTTACTGAGAGCTTTAGCTAAAACAATAGATAATAATAACCTACTTTATTTAAATAACTAGGCATTTGTTCATCGTAATAATTCCCATTTATTACTGTTACTGTTATATTGTCCGGTAAACTCTTAATCATCCGTAATGTCCTGAAAAGTAAGAAACACACATTAAACATTTAAATACAAACCAACAGACATCTTCACCATAGAATGAAAAGATGGGATCTTGACATGTTTAGGAATTTTCCAAAGAAATTGTTAAATGTAAGGGAAATTCAGTCAAGTTTACTATTTTGTTTTGAAATCTATGTACGGATGAATTGACAAAAAAAGGTCACAAATGTATTTAAACCAGCCATGTAGATGTACAGACATCAAAATTTTTATTCATTTGGTTTATGATTGCATTCAATTAGGGGACATCTGCTGATTTTTATATTTTAATAGTTAATCTGAAATTCTACTAAAAATATACAAATAGCATTCAAACTTTCTCTAATAAAAATCACCGGGTATTGGAGAATATTAACAATGAACAAGTTAAGCCTAGACTGACACCAGTTGTAAAATAGTTTATTATGATGTAAAAAAAATTTAAGTACAGTATTTAAATAAACTTGGGATTATCTCCCTTATACCATCTACTGACACACTGGTTCTTATGATTTCCTGTCTTGTGTTCTCTTGCTTAACCTTATTACATCCTATTATACTTATTTTGGAGTTTTGGAGATAAAAGGTAAAGATTATGTATACTGTTTTAAAACCAATGTTCAGTGATACTTATAAAATTCAGTCCAGAAACAAAAGAGGAACTGAAAAAAAATTTATCAGGAAAAACTGTTCATTACATATGAAATTTCTATCATGTTTGATATGCAAAATATTCTATATGCGGTATGAGTTTTGTTCAATGTTGAAGGCCATACAGTGACCTATAATGCTAACGACTACATCATTTGGTCTATTATGGGAAATGTCTCATTGGCAATCATGCCACATATTTTTATTTTTATATAGGTTACTTACTTCATTTGTGAAAAAGATTCATTTACAAAATGATATTCATCTACCACTGAACTAAGATGTTTTGGATGGCACATTAAATGTTTCTGAAATGAAATCAATTTGTATCAAGGTATCACATTCATCATAAAATTTTTTTTTTTTTATTAAAATAGAGAATTATTACTTGTACAACCACCATTAACTCACTGATTACTTGCTTAAGTTCATTTGACAATTTGTCAATTGGTATTTTTGAAGAACATAATACATCAGAGTTTAATATCAAAGTTAGCCTGAATTCAAAAAGTAAGTAAAGCTTTCACCACAAACTTGGTTAGTTTTTTAGCAAAGACATTTGAATTTACAACCACTGTGATTTCTAAATTTTTTTCTTTAAATAGAATCTTTTTATAAATACAAGCTATCTAATTACAATAAACAGCTGTACCATGAGCACATGATACCCCCGTCGCTTTTTCAAAGAATAAAGTTCAATAACTCCTCACTGTCATATCAAAAATTTATAAAAAACTAAAGGGAGGTTGTTTTAATAGATATAAACCAGTCACCAAAGTTTCATGAAAACTGCTCAAAGCCTTTTTGAGTTATTGTCTGAAAACTGGAAAATCACCACTTTTTTATGATTAAAACTCATTAACTCGGAAACGTAAAATCTAAAATTCATAAAAATTGAAAGGGAGCTCACATCAATAGATATGAACAATTCATGTAAGTTTCTTGCAAATGGGTATAAGTGTTTTTGAGTTATTGTCCGAAAACTGAAAAATCCCCCTTTTTTTAATGAATAAAACACCATTACTCGGAAACGTAAAATCTAAAATTTATAAAAATTGAAAGGGAGCTCACGTCAATAGTTATAAACAATTCACCGAAGTTTCATGCAAATTGGATTAAGCGTTTTTGAGTTATTATCTGACATGTTGACGACAGACGGACAGACAGATGGATGGACAACAGTATACCATAATAAGTAGTCAGGCCCAGGAGCCAATGTGACAAATAGGAAATATCTTTATTTGGCAAAAGTTGAAAAAGTCAACAATTTTCAATCCTTAACTTACTAACCAAAAATCTAGATCCTAGCATTCCTATAACTGATAGGATAGAATTAAAATAAAAGCATACCAAATAAGAACATAAAAAATCAATTTTTAATTCTTAATAGGAATCGTTTATATGTTATTTTTTTAAGAAACTATTTACAGTATACCTGTCTGTATTCTACTTTTTCTGGCAGTTCAGCACCTGACATTGGTTGATATAGGAGTCCCAAAAGCAATGCAAGTCTTGTTATACCTAATGCTGCACCTAACTGTAAAGTCTGGTAGGACGGAATTATATAATTATACCTAAAAAAAAAGAAAACATTTTGGATTTCATTTATTTGATAATTTCTCTCAAATTAGCTCAATAATATTAATTTTAGAATTAAATACTATCTGGTTCTCAGAACTGCAAAATAATTTTTTTTCTTACTTGTAGAAATTTTTAATTATGTAATCCACTGGCAATTCACATTGTTATTCGATATCGGTAACTTTCAGTAGATATTCATCAAATGATTTAGCATATTCAAACAGCTGTTTTCAGAATATTTACCATAATTTTATTCCAAAACTGTTCATTTTAAATTGCTTAGTTTTTCACAATTCCTTTACCTATATATTGACAAACCACTTAGACAAAACTCAAACATGAACTGTAACTGTAAATTCTTATGACATCACTACATACCAAAAAATCTGTCCATTATACAATGTACACCTTTCTTTTTAAAAGAAAATCTAGATTGAAGTACAAAGTGGAAGAACATTGAGGACCAAAAAATATATATCGGTATATAAAAAAAAAAAATAAACAGCTGTGCCACAAGCGCATGATACGCCCAGCGTCTTGTGTGTGAGGTTTTATGCAATAATCATAAATCGTTTCTGAGATACGGCGCGACATGTGAAAACCCCCCTTTTTTTTTATAAAAAAATCAATAACTCTAAAATAAAATTTTGAATCATCACCAAAAAGTATACAGATCTTTAGATTAATATAATTAAGAAGTGTGTAAAGTTTTAAGCAATAATCATTAATTTTGAGATACGGCGCGACATGAGAAAAAAACAAACCCCGTTTTAGTTACAAAGTCCCGTAACTCATAAAGTTTTAATCTTATTTTCAGCAAAAAGTATACAGATCGTTTGACCATCATAAGAAACAACTACGTTAAGTTTCATGAAATTTGGATAAGTCGTTCTCAAGTTACAAGTTACGGTGCGACATGTGGACGCCGGACAGACAGACAGACGGACGCCGGACATTTGTAAACCACAATACGTCCCATCAAAGTTTGACGGGCGTATAAAAAAACTGAATAAGAACACAAAGTAAAACTTGATGAATATGTACTGCTTTATGGTTACCAATGTTGAAGCCACGTTCCACCATCTTGTTCAAATAAATCTTCTGATAAAGGATTGATCAGTACCATTCCTAAAACCTGTCTAAAAAATTGAGAAAGTAATTTAAACGTAAAAATAAAACACCAATAGATTAACATAAATCTTTTAAAAAATTAAGCAGAAAATATGCAGGATGATTTCAATAATTGAAATTTTTATTTCCATTTATTCTTTTAATGTCCAACTACAATATGTACATGAATGCCATTAACTAATCTAGCCTTTAATGTTGGCTGTCAAAATTTCACTATTACAAATGAATACTGTGGATTCATTTATTTTTGTGGGTACCAATTTTCATGAGACGAGGAAAGACAATATTTTAGTCAATATTTGATTTGTGGTTTAGCCAAAGTCTGCATACAAGCCTATAGAAAATGTGTTTACATCTATTACTCTTTAGGGCTATTCCATTAAAATGTATGTGGGAGGGTAGGAAGGGAAGTTTAATTATTGAATGTGGGTCATGGGTCTTTTTTCTGTATGCGTCTATTACCATTATGCAAAATTATCTAAAAAATGGTTCTTGGTTGTAGGGATATTTTGAAAGTCCCTTCCTACCCTCCCACATACATTTTAATGGAATAGCCCTTATACATTGTACTACATTAATACTGTACAATGTATATAAGCACACAGGATTTTTAAATGCAAAAAAAAAATATTCTTAAAACTAGGTTGATAGATTATTCAATAAAGTCAGGTTAAATTTATATCTACAATCAGGCAAGCCTAATGCACTTATTCAAAATAACAAAATCAACAACTTATTTCTGTACAAAATAAGAAATCAACAACTAATTTCTGTACAATATAAAACAACTCATACAACTCATGGCTGATGCAAAAAAAAAAATCCTACAGTTGTCTCACTTATCAAAATGTTTTAATTAGTGTACATTGTATCTGCAAATGGAATTCACCCTCCAAATATAACTTCAAAGTTTGGAAAAAAACGACCATTGAAATCTAAGTAGATAACCTCTTTTAATGGGCAAACATTTGTACAGTACTATACAGCTAGCATTATAAGACCTCAGAGATGAATATGAAACACTTAGAAATGTAGTTCATTGCAATAATGATAAGAATAAAATAAGACAAATGATATAAATGTAAAGCATGCAGGATGATTTAAATAGTTTGTAAGTGCTTCATCCTCCTATTAATGAGTGACCCTCATATAAAAACGATTACAATAGTATGAGACAGGTGTAATTGGTGGGTGAGAGCACGAACACTTAGCAGCATGTAAGATATAGTTTGACCTTTTGTATACATTTGCTTTGTTTTGTTGTGACAAAATGTTTTGTCCATTCTTAAAAAATCACAATAATAAATGCATGCAATAATTTCTGAATTCACAGTTTAAGGACTTATTTTAACTAATATTCTAAAGTTATGAACTAATAAAAAAACTGTATGATTAAACACTAAGAGTGGTTAGAACTTACCCTTCAAACATCTGGGCATAAAACTGGGATACTAAAGCTCCTAGTTCCGCTCCAACGAGTATAAAGGGTTGTGGTTCCTGGCTACTGACCGTCATCAGCTGATATAAATCATCTGCCATTCTGAAATTACACAATTCATTGACATACATTTCATAACTGTACACAAATTATCAAATTTTCTGAAGGGGGCCTCGGTGGCCAAGTAGTCTAAGGTGTTCATCTACAGCAATCACTAACCTGTCAACAATGAGGTTGTGAGAGTAAATTTGCGTTTGACTCAAATCTTAATTGACTTGGATTGACCGTTTCCCTGCGGAAGGTCAGTGGTTCTCTCCATACACTCAGGCTTCCTCCGCCAATAAAAATGCTGCCACGAGATAGCCAATAGTGCTGAAATTGGGGTTAAACACCAACAATCAATCAATCAATCATTTTCTAAAATTCAGTGGCAAGCACTATAAAACATTATTTTTGGTATTTGGTTAGAGATGATGATATCGGAAAAGTCAATGCAGATGATGTTACCTGTTTTTCAATCATGTAAAAACCTTGTCTTGTCATAAAGAACACAACATTCAAAAATACCACTGTTACTTATAAAGCAAATATGGGGTATACATCTATGAGACAGCAACCCAAAAAACAAAGGGCAAGATATGGTCCTCAACAATAGACAGCTGTCTATACAACACATGGTCCTCAACAATAGACAGCTGTCTATACAACATATGGTCCTCAACAATAGACAGCTGTCTATACAACATATGGTCCTCAACAATAGACAGCTGTTTATACAACATATGGTCCTCAACAATAGACAGCTGTCTATACAACATATGGTCCTCAACAATAGACAGCTGTCTATACAACATATGGTCCTCAACAATAGACAGCTGTCTATACAACATATGGTCCTCAACAATAGACAGCTGTCTATACAACATATCCAAGCTTTAAATCCTTTTGAGTCTATAAAAGTTGAGAATAAATTTAACAGAACCAATCAAAGATTTGTCATCAACATTCAACTATCCAAATAACAAAAAAAACATAAAGATGTGACATACAACAACTATTTAAGGGGCAGTGTTCTAGAAAACTAGAAGTCCTCTAGGTCCTGACAACGAAAAATCACTTAGATCCATCAGTTTTGAGTGTAGTAGTGGTCCTGATGTCAGACTCAAAGTTTGTGGTAGTTTTATTCTTTTTCTTTTTCTTTTTGGCTAATTAAAAATGTACAGCAATATTTTATATGCAACCATATAATCATTGTGCAAATTGGCCTTATCTAATTTAAACCTATGGAAATAATTGATAGCCCAAATTTTACTGCAAATACAGGACCACCAAATTTTCACTAGGACCACCAGATTTGCAGTTTTGGTGGTCCTAAACTCCACTAGGCTAAAAAAGAAACTAGGAGGAGGTTCCTGATTTTCCAAGTTGGGTTCATTATCTGATTATTGATCAGATTGTTCAGTTGTCCTTTTCTTCTTACCGTAAATATTTCCTAAAACCATTTGTCTTAAGTCATAGAACTGTGAACTGGTACACACAGGACATACAAACTTTAAAAGTCATTTTTATTCCATTTATACATGTATAACATTGTTACAAATGAATGCAAGTTACCGAAGCTTAAGACTTTTTATAATATCTTACCTTTCTACAGTAAAGGGGAACCATTTATTTTTGTAATTACTTTTGGCATCAGTCCCATCAGCTTCAGTAGCATTCTGAATAAAAGTAACATTGCATGTAATTATAATTGTACATATCCATTGATTAAAATATTGTGTGTCCTACCACAGACCTTTAAAGTGGTGGATTAATTTCCTCTCACAGAAGGATTAAGTTGTGGATTAAAGTATTCCATTGATAAAGTTGTGGATTAAAGTATTCCATTGATAAAGTTGTGGATTAAAGTATTCCATTGATAAAGTTGTAGATTAAATTGTTACATGTCCTTCTTTTGAAAGATTAAGTTATGATTTACCTAATTCAGAATTCCTCAAACCATAATTCAATGTGATGCATATACAATTTAAGAAGTTACTCGGATAAGAAATGAAAAAGAATGCTATTTTCTTACATTATAGTTGAAAATCTTATAAAAAGTTTTAACATTGTTCAAAAGAGCATAGGAAATTGTCATATATATATATATCAAACATACAGTTAAAGGTCTTTCACTAAATCCTAGGCCAGCTCTGTCATATACACATACCTAAAATATAAAAAAAATTCAATACACAATAGTTTGACACTTGATATATGACGTGATGTAAACATAAATATAAATACACAGCATTTGCAAGTGCAATCGTATAATGACAATTTTTCTAGATCTGTTTGATTTCATGTCATAGATTAAAAAAATAAGTAAATCATTGTTTTACCTTTGTCTGAGTGATTGTTTGTGGGCAGAATCAGTCAACGAAAGGGAGCTTCCCAGTGGCTGCCTTGTTTCACTTTTCAATGTTGACATTCTTGCTTTTTAATAACTAACCATGCTGCTTAGCCCATGCCAGTTAAGGGTTAAATTGAAGTTTGCATGAATATGGATTCAAATGAATTGAATTACTGACTTGCAAGCCAATAATACATCATCAATGTTTTGAGCTTATTTTGACAAAATTGAACAAAAATTGACTGCATATAGTGAAATATTATTTCACAATTCCGCTTTCATAAATGTTTGAAAAAAAATATATTTGAATTTTTGTCAACTTTGTATGTGATGTCCCTTTAAAGACACTTTTTAGGAAGTCAAGCCAACAATAGAATTTTTAACATATTCTAGATGCTTAAATATGTTCTACTCACATCATCCATATACATTTATATTCAAAGGCCTTAAAAATTCCCATAGAACTTTTTCTTGAACAACCCTACACTTTTTTTTTAAAATCTTATTTGTTCTATTACTAGCCATTTCTGTTAAACCAAAATAAATTGATCGATATATCATGTACATAAAGACTTATAACCCTGAAAAAAACCTATACTTACTCTGGCAATTTTTGCCACTTGTGGATAAATTAACGACCAAACATCTGATGTCATTCCTCCTGGTGACTCAAATATAACTGAAAATTATACATATTATTTGTTATATACAAAATATATACAGATACATAGATACAGGTAATACTATTTTGTTCTACATTTTAATTACTTTTCTGTACATTTTTTATCAGTAGAATTGTAGACATTTTACAAAATAAAAATAAGGAGATGCAGTACGATTGCCAACTATCCACAAAGGGTTCAAATGACGTGGATGTATAACATGTATAATGGTGCATTTATACAATGCTGTTTATTTTAAAATAATTTAATTTTGGATGTAACGCGTCTTCTGATTGGCTGACGTTGTTTTGTTTATCAGCTCATAGACATAATTTTGTCATGTGACCGTGACGTCATAAACTTTTTTTCATGGTTTACTCCGGTTTAAAATGGAATGCTACGCAGGTTATTCAGTGTGCACCACATTTTTTATGTTATTTCTTCATAGACAGAAAAAATATTACAGTCATTTCTTAAATGTAAAAGCAAGTAACATAATCTGCACTTCCATCACAAAAACTTGCAATATCAGTAGTTGAATGTACTGAAAAAATCTCATATATCTATTACATTTTCTCAACAAATGAACACATCGAGCGAAAATAATTACTACAGCCATGACATCTGTAGTTAATGCTTCGTTCTGTAAAGTCAAAAACTTCTTGCTTTGTGGGTTTTTTTATTGCTCACTTACAAATGGAAATTAATGTACAAAAATGTCTGTATACAGAAGTTAGCAGTATTACTCTAAAATTCTAAAGGTAAACTTTAAAGCCTTCAAGTGAAGCCTTGCACTGAAATAGGTCACTTAATTTGAGTTTACACAGCTAGTTCAGGAAGAATTACGAATATGCCGGTATTTCAAAGGTAAATCACTTATGAAATCAGTCTGAAGGCTTACGAATATGGGTGAAAACAGGTCATTTTCGGAATTCCCGGGTTATTTAACGACCCGGGGGGTATCCCGGGTGACCCCTAAGAGTTGTGAAAATCTCAGGTCACACCCGCAGGATACTGGTCAGTTTACAGGTATGTAGGTTCATTTAACTGAATCCATGCAAATCAAGAAATATCTACATAAAAAGTGCATTTTAATCCAATAAATTATAATAGTGTATTATTTTCTATAGAATACTTACCAGTTGGTGGTCCTTGCCCTTCACATAATTTGAACATCTTTTGACCCCATCCTACATCATACAAACTTCCTGAAATTACAATGAATCAGTATGAGCCATTTATTTCATACAAAGCAATGCAACAATTAAAATATACTACAATTGACCTCTGTTTTCGTTAATTCTGTTGTTCCCCAAAATTATACTTAATCCAATAAGAAACAATTACAAAAATAATACTATGATAAGTAAAATTATACATGTACTAAACCAATTCAGGAAAAAATATCAAACATAATTTAATGAACACCTTGAAATAGTTTTTCAAAGTTGAGGTATCAAATATTTCTTTAAGAATTATGTCACAAAGTTAATGAACATAATTAGAGTTATATATTATCATAACTTTAAGTTTACCCATACTGGGTGCAGAGTTACATAGTTACATATTTCTATGTAACCATCATTAATTAGATAAATATTTTTGATATACCGATAGATCAAACAAGTAATGTTGGACATACAGCATTGCGATATATCATGGAGAGGTGTACATTCACAATCATCCTGATTTTTACAATGTGTTAGATAAAAATTATAAATACACAAATATACACTGATTTTTTTCCTAAAATTGACACTGGACTAGACCTAGTCACTAGACACTGATTCACTTATGTTTTACAGAGGACAGAAATAAAATCTTCATTCTTGCTGAGTCCTTTGACCTTGAAATTTTCTAAAAAAAGACTATGTAGGTTAGAATATGTTTGATCAAAATGTACTAGGTTGTATGATATATGTCTTGCCTATTAATACGTTCACAATCATGACCTAATATAATGAAAGTTGACAAAAAGACAGTATATAATGAAAGTCATTCTCTGAACTGGCCATACAGACAGTACATTTAACAAGCAAGTCCAAGACTATTGTAATTTTACCTTTCTCTGGAATCAATTCTCTGACTTCTTTCTGTATTGATGCATAATTCAAAAACGGTGGTATGATAAGAATTAAAATCAAGTACTGGATAACTTTACAGATCTTCTTACAAACTCCAGCAACTTCTTTTCTCGAAGCCTTCACATTAGTGGTTGTCTGAAAATAAATCAATAAAATTAATAATTACAAAATGATAGGGTTTTTCTTTACATACCAAAGCTTCACACTCCCCTCAACACTGGCGAAAAGTAACTATAAAACTAAATTGCTCTGTGCTAGTAGGAGAAGGTGTGACAAGGTCACAAATTGGCCCTTTCAATTCTAAAAATTAAAAAGAATTATATATCTATCAAATAACATTCACAATACATTAATCTGACATACATCAGCATTTATATTTCTCAACTGTCTGTATCTATGTAAATGTATTTGCTTTAGGTCTTGAAACTTTTTTGTGTCTTGTAAACAGCAAACTATTCCAGAATAGCCTCATTTTGATGTCTTGTCTTTAATATTTTGATATAAGCCAAGTCTTTACCCAAAAAGATATTTTGACACAGATTTAACCTTTTAAATTAAACAAAAAAATGTGCATCGCCTCAATTGAAATATTGAGAAACTTTTATTCATACCCCTTAGATCATGATTTATGTACATAAAATTGAGAATGGAAATGGGGATATGTCAAAGAGACAACAACCCAACCAAAGAGCAGAAAACAGCCAAAGGCCACCAATGGGTCTTCAACACAGCGAGAAAATCTCACACCCGGAGGCGGGCTTCAGCTGGCCCCTAAACAAAAATGGACGTCACACTAAACTCCAAAACATATAGTTATTTCTAGCATTGTCCTGTATTTTCATTGGACAGCTACTTTATTTTCAACATGTTATTATTATTATATAATTCCTTTTATTATCAGGACAGAAAATTCTTTTCCATTATCAAACCCCCCTCCAGTGTTCCAGCTAGGATTTCAAAAGGGCAGGGAACCAATCATGAAAAGGGCACTTTAGCACGATGATTGATATTTCAAAAAGGGCATGTCAAACATTTGTCATATGTTAACTGCAGGGGTTTCAGCTAGGAGTTTTTAGGGGGTTTAGTCACTTTTACACTAGATGAAAATCAACCTTATTTTGGGTAACAGTATTAAAGGGACCATGCAAGGACGTATATTACTAGCTCAGTCTTCCCTAGAACATTTTTGATGCATGGTAGGTCTAAGGTTAAGTTGCAATGCAGAGCGCAGCGGTGTTTTGCAGAATTATTTTTATTTCATTAGTGAAATGAATTGTGCATGTCAGTTAAAATACTACACTAGATCTGCAATACAGTCAGGAACAATACCTTACATTTTCTCCAGGGGCCAACCTGGATCCCAAAACTTTTTTCCAAGGGCCCAGTAGAAATTTTAAGGCCCTACCAGGGTATTTTTACTACAGGTACATACTTATTAATAGTCTAGAGTTGTCGTTTTGGCACTCATACCACATCTTCCTATATCTATTGAATGTTCTTATAAAGGCAATGATATATGTTTGAAATGCCTAATACATGTAGCCCAGTGTTTCTGATTATGATAGAAATAATAAATGAATTATGATAAATCACATTGAGTTTTTCAGAATTAAAATCCATTTAACCATGTCTTTTCACTGTTAAACTTATATTTTTAATATTATATATAAAAAATCTCCCCCCCTCCCCTTTCCATTTTACACACTCCTAGATGTAGAGTATTAAAGTATTATCAGTTTCACCCCAAGAAAGTATTAATTTTTAATGAAATAATCTTAGCAGTTAATCAAAATGAAAATCTTACTGTCTATAAATAACAATGAAATGTAACTGTTTCTTATTAAAGGGGTTTTCCGATTTTTCCCGCCTAAAAAGCACATGGCTTTCAACAAATGTAAACAAAGCAGTCAATTTAAATTTGTGAACATGAATTACAGCTTTAATTAATTTAATTTGGATATAGATATTCAATGAAAGGTACAGTCAAGCATTGTTTTTACTTTCTTCTGGATTAAATCTAGTTTAAAAGATCAATTTAAAAAAATCAATCTTTGACATATAAACAACAGACGATCTATGGATACATCAAACGCAAATTGTCATCTTTTAAGAAATATTGAAATTGAAATGCTGACTGACCGAATTTAATGAGAAAAATTATTACAATGGTCAATAATGAAGTTTAATTAACGGATAAATGACCCATCCGATGTCGATAAGAGGATTATCTGTAATCACAACTTATTACACCTGCTGTAAATGTTAATTAGCTGAGGGTCATAAACTTGTCATAAATATGAAGACAGGTAGAATAATTGTATTTTCATCAAAATATTACGGCAATAAATGCATGGACTTACGAAAAAGGGCAGGGCGTCAGAAAAAGGGCACAGTCACTCGGTAAAGGGCGGGCGGACCGTCCTGTGAAAACGACCTAGCTGGAACACTGCCCTCCCTTTATTTTTATGAATACTATATCGTGGCCCCCTTAGAAAAGTTAAAAGAAAAATTTGATGATTGGCTGGCTTGCTCACTTTTTCATGAAGAAATCAGAATTAAATCACATCACCGTTCGTTTTCATCCAAAACACAAATAAATTTGTTTTACAATGAGTATTCTGCAATATATAGTTTTTTTTTATATACAACTTATTATTCATTTGGAAAGACTGTGGAAGGTCTCTTATGTGATTTGCTCAACAATTTGAAAGAATGGGGAACAGTTAGTAAAGTTTTTCAAAATAGGATATGCCACCACCACCTGATAAGATAAAATATTGTTTTTAATATTTTAGACGTTTATCTAATAAATAATGACAGAAGTAAACAAGACTGATGAAAACAATGTTAAATGGAAATTCGAGAAAATAGCGACTTCCGATAAGACTTCGTGGTTCAGCTTTGATAGTAAAAAAATCCGATATAAACGATGAAAACAAACGACATGGACCTACGAAGGCTTATATTATACTTGATGGCTTCCAACCTGTGTGTGAAAACCTAAACACAAACTTTGCGTCTGGCCTAACTTGTCACAGTAAATGTATCATTTAATAATCATCACCTTTCCAGATTTTAAACTATTGACCTCAGCTTTATTTTCAGTCGAAGCTGCATTGTTACCAACATCTTTAGGACGAATCAAAGTTCTTTTCCTCATGTTAGATTAAAGGCAGTGTTTTGATTGTTGAACATGTGGCTTCCACTTCCGTTGAAGCGAGTAAATAATCGTGCTTTATCTTAAGACCGAAAAAAAAGGACTGAACACAAATAGGAATACAAACTAACCTTTTTAAAATCGGTTTGGCATATTGTTTTGATATCATGATGACTTGTGTTTCTGTGTGTCGCTGAGTTGCATTTTCATTAACATACAGTCAAATATCAAATGCGACATACTATGACAAGCCGTTTTGCTATTTATTCTAACTTCAAGATATCTAATAAAATCTATAAGATATCTAATAAAATTTATAAGTTATCTAATATAGTTTATAAGATATCTTATATAGTTTATGATATATCTTATGTAGTTTATAAGATATCTTATATGATTTATAAGATATCTCATATAATTTTCTTTATAAGATATCTTATAAATTATATGAGATATCTTATAAACTATATGAGATATCCTATAAACTATATAAGATATCTTATTAAGTATACAAGATAATTCATATAAAAGATATTTATAAAATATCTTATAAACCTTGGGAGATATCTTATAAAGTATATTAGATATCTTATAAACCTTGGGAGATATCTTATACAGTATATAAGATATCTTATAAACTATATGAGATATCTTATAAAACTAAATTATATAAGATATATTTTATATTATATGAGATATCTTATATATTATAAAAGATATCTCATATAGTTTATAAGATATCTTATAAAGTATATAAGATATCTTATATAAAAATATTTATAAAATATCTCATAAAGTTTTAAGATATCTTATATACTTTATAAAATATCTTTTAAACTGTAGAAGATATCTTATAAAGTATATAGGATATCTTTATAAAGTTTATAAGATATCTTATAAAAACTAAATCATATAAGATATCTTATATACTATATGAGATATCTTGAAGTTAGAATAAATAGTAAAACGGCTTGCCATAACAAACGTATAGTTACAATAATGTAATATGAAAGATCAGGGCGAATTCAGGATTCGAGGAAAAGGGCCGTAACTGACCGTTACAGTCTAATAGCGCCGAGCGTAGCGAGGAGATTATTTTTTTATGATTTTGTGCAAATGAATGATATATTTTCCGGTCAAAGAAGGGCGTATGCCCTCTATACCCCACTTGAAACCACCACTGAACGGTCAACAAATCACTTGGTTTCCTAAAACGCAATATGAAAACAGTACATCAACATAGAAAAATCCAGGCATACAAATTAAGCACTCGTTGAACCCAAACTTGAATATTCTTGTTCTGTATGGGATATCATACAGCTGAATTGGTATCCAAAAAATTAGAATTGGTCAAAAGACAAACTGCTTATTATATCTGCAACAGACACCCCAATGCGAATATTGTTTACAACCAACATGCTAAATACAATAAAATTACCACCACTAAAAAAGTACGCTAAGCACGAGATTGGTAATGATGTCCAGAAAAAAAACCAACAAAAAAAAAAAACATTTTGCTGTTATTCCAACTGACACCGGCTCAGACTAGCGAAGTTGACGAAGGTTAAGTAATTACAACAGAGACTGCATATTTATACATCCCAAATTAAATAGCACTGCGCGAATTGAACAACACCTTTTCATTGATCCCATTTGGTGCCAACGTTTTTAATTTTCTTATCCAAAACCTGTCCCGAGTGATTCTTTCCTCCCTAGACCAAGCAGTGGTGTGCTTATGGTAATAGTCAGTCAACTGAGATCTGCTGTAGTGTGACCAGGGGATTTCAAATATCGACTGCGAGGAAGGTCTGGCTTACAATCATAGTCACTACGATGGCCGTTCATACGTTTGTGAAATAGCTGTCCTGACTCACATCATATTGTTTACCACATTTACACTGTAGAAGATAGACAGCATTTAGAGTCTTGCAATTAACATTACAAAATATGGTGTATTTCGTACCAGTGGAGTGACTGTTAAATGTCTTGATGTTCAGTATTTGTTGCAAGTTAGACATTGTTTATTCCCACAACCCTTGCAAGAGCCCACAGACGAAGGGCCTGATTTAGAGTATAAGTTAGCTCTAACCAGCAAGTCTTTAAGGGTTTTGGGCCAACGGAAAGCCAGTACGGGTGGCTCAGGGAAGACCTTAGATAGTTTAATATGATGTTTTTAGATTTCTTCCAAAAACATCCTTAACTAGTCTACGTATGCACTGAGAAGTGTGTAATCAACAAACTTCCCAGAATATTCAACAAGTTTAATGTGGGCAAGATATGGAAGAAGAAGTAAAAGAACGACCGCCACCGGACTACAAGTTTCTGGCTTTGAATAAACACACAAAGACCGTTTCGGGGTCAAATATGTTGTGAGCTCTCAACCCTTCTATAAACTACATGCGACAGTCGTGTAACAGTACAACACCAATACAAACTGAAGAAATCATTTGAAAAGGGTATGATTCCTCAAATTTGTACAAAGCACAAAACCGTGAACAAGAAACACTCTACTAGTAATTTCATATGAATTATAGCTTTAGGTCCACTGCTAGAAAACTCGAAAAAGATAATGGGGCTAGTGGATGATACTGCTGGTAAACAGGCAAAATCATTAAAAACAACATTCTCAGCTGATTTTTGCGATGTGCATGTCTTTTAAGGGACTGTCAAAAGTTGAGCTTACGGCCTGTTACAATTTCTTGTGGTCTAGTAATTATGTATCTACTAGCAGATACATGACTGTTATAGAGACGAACTCGCATAAATAACGTAGATATTAACTTATTGCCAATATACATGTACACTTCTTCAGACACATTGATTTGGAGGTTAGGGTCTCATTCTACGTCACATTATTACAATATACAGTACACATACAGAAACCGCACTATACAGTTCACATACTGAAGTAGCAATATATCATAGTACTTTTATAAATTTTCTGTGAGGAAAAGTTTATAACCTAAAAACTCTGAAAGTGGAAAGAGATAACTTTAAAAACAGAAATTCATACAAGCTTTCTGTGAATAAGTTTTTAAAGAAAATTTTGTACAATGTCACCCACAGACGCTTAGGAATGACCCCCCTTTTCTATGTATTTTTTTTCTTTTTTTAAGGTTTTAATTTGTGTATGTACATTTTCATTAATATTTGAACTTATTTTCACTTATCTAAGGTGTGCTTGCCCGTATCCATATGATATTACCATAAAAGAAGTTTATATATGATGCCCCTCAGCCCTTGAAAATAAACATAAAAAAATTGAAACACAAAAATATATAGAAAAAGGGAAGTCCATTTCCAAGCGCCTGCTATGTCACCATAAGACTTTAAACGAGCTATTGCTTACCGGATTACTAAATTTACAAATTATTTGCGATTTTAAAGACTTGACAATTACAATATCCGTCCTTGTACTTTGATGTTTCCGGCTATGGTTAAAGACACATATTGTAAGATAATGTAAACTAAACACAATGAAAACTAGAAGTCTGCAGTTTTTTCTATGGCTTTTAGGATTATTTACTAGTGTTACAGGTAAGACGATGCTTTCTTAGAAACGAAGTATGAGTTCCTCGACTCTTATATGTATATATATGTGCTCAAAATTAACTAGAAGAAACAAGAAAAATCTCATTTTTCCTAATACGGAAATGGCAATAGACCTTCTTGACACAAACTGCAAAGTATTCCCATTATGTACTTCAGCGAGGAAAATGCTTTTTTTCAACATAACATTGTGTATGTGTATGTTTTCTATTTGGCACTGTACAGTTTACCTTTTATTGTAGACAAACAGAAAACTTGGTTTACCATGTCATTGTGGTCATTATGTTATATATTACGGATAATTTTTTTTCCTGGAAGTGGCTTTTATACCTTACTATGCGGTATATATGGGTTTTGTTCATTGTTTGAGGCCGTACGGATACCTATAGTTGTTTACTTCTATGTCATTTGTTCTCTGAAGGTTAGTTTACTCATTTGTCTTATTGGAAATCATACCACATCTTCTTAATCTTATATTAATTAGCATATACAAGAGCAGGAGAGAGAAAGCCTCTGTCAAATGATAATGTGTTTTTCTTTAAATAGTGGCATAATCATTAAAGAGGGTCTTGAAGGGGAAGACAGGGGTCTTCGTTCTTATATTCCCTAATTTTGTATGCCATGTTTCCATATTCTTTATTGGTATGTCATTTTTCTGTATTCTTGGTCAATTATTCTCTATTCTGTAAACCCCATCCATACCCACATTAAACAATATTTGAATTTTTAGTATTTACCATTTTGCGTTCAGGTTAGTTTATCTACGTGTAACTATAGTCTATGTAAAACAAGATAAGTATTGAGAGACGACACGATCAACACTGTTGAATTGATGCTTGGAGAGGAGTGTAAAGATGCCGAGTCCACGATTTTAATGAGAAGCCACACAACCTCAAAACTTTAAACAAATTGGATTTATCATATGTACAAATATAAGGAAAAGCACATTCAATTTTATTCATATTAGACTGACCGGAATATATACCTAACAAATATGAGAAATGAAATCGCCCTTAATCTGTGGCAAAAATTCATTTACATATATAATACTGATTACTTTCATTGAACTCAGTCTATAATTTGAGTGCTTGTGTTTTTTCAGGATCTACCAGAATATTAGAAGGAAGCGAATTACTCCAAACAGTTGAAAAAAGTTCCCTCTCTCTGAGATGCGAATACACATACAGCCATACAAATGAAAGTTTAGTACCCATCTTCAGGAAAAATGGACAAGAATTGGTTGGATTTGAGAGAAATGTTACTATTAACATTGCGAGCGAAGGTTCAATAACTGTAAAACTAAATATTTTCAAATCGTCAACAGATATTTCAGACGGAGGAATATATACATGCATTTCAAACGATTCGTCAGTCAATGTTACGATTATGGTTCTTGCAGGTATAACAACTCTTTGATCGAACTATTATTTGTATTAAAAGTTGTCTCTGACATGTATCTTAGTTTTTAGATTGCATATATGTATGCATGTGTGTGGTTTGTTCGCTCATTGGAAGAAAATTGGAATTTGCATGCAGTAATGAACCGCTTATTACTTCTAAGTCAGCATTGCATAAACTCTATTGAGGTAATTGGTTTTTCAATAATTATAAGACTCAGAAAAAAAAAAGTTAATGTGATAAGATGCACATGTGCCGGAGTCATGAGTACAGAAGAATAAGGAATACTATTAAAACATTTTTTTTTGTATTCGACACGAAACCCTTGAATTTCTAGGCATCATAAACAAGTTAATATCATTTTTGTGACATTGAACTGATATTGTATCTGTACAGGGCATTTTAGCTTATAGACCGTGTTGAAAATGAACGACCGAAGGTAAAGGTTTCAAAATTGCAAAACTGATAACTATACATTAGAAAAGATAAAGATGTTTGTAATATAGTAGTACAATACATCTTCCATTTTACTTCAGACAACAGCAAATTTGACCAATCATACAGTTTTATAGAGGACAAAGATTTAATTCTAGACTGTCCAGTTCCAAGTTTTCTCCAATCTACAGTTAATTGGTACAGAGATGGTTCATTGTTAAATGACGATAGAATAGTTCTGTCAAATACACAGGGAAAACAAGATGGTTCACTTCAACTTTCAGCAATCAAAACTTCAGACAGAGGTCATTATACTTGCTCTGCATCATGGAGTATTGGAAGAAAATCTTTTACAACTTTGGTCCGTGTAAGAGGTAAGACCATTACAGTTGGTACTACTGGACACTTTATTTTTTTGTGCGAATAAGCATTCTAACTAGTTATGTCTTAACTCCTATCATGTTTTAATAAATTGAAAGTACATCTGATATAAAAATAAAGAGATGAGGTATGACTGCCAATGAGACAAATATCCACCAAAGTTCAAATAAAGTGGATGTAAGCAATTATAGGCAACCGTACGGCCTTCAACAATGAGAAAACCCATACCGTATAGTCGGCTATAAAAGGCCCCGACATGAAAAATATAAAACAATTCAATTGAGAAAATTAACGGCCTAATTTATAATTAAACAATTAACGAAAAACAAATATCACAGACATGAAAGACCATTACTCATCTGTCTTGTAGAATTACAATGTTGATTAGACCATCGGCACACACACACACACACACCAACAACACCAACACACCCACAGCCTTTTAAAAATAAACCATATTTTATCTTTCAATTAGAGATGCAAAAGAAGAATTTGGTCCTTTTTGTTTATATGTCCGTCCGTTTTGACACACGTATAATTAAAACACACACCGGTGCATCTTTGATCTCAATGAATACACAGACTATTCAAACTATGCAGGAAAAAAAACAAACGCTGCAAAAAATAAATTGTGAAATTAAAAACAAATGGCTAGAATAGGGCCAAGAAGCAACACATACAAAAATGTCCAAACGTTTTTCCTAATTAATTGTTAAGAAACACAAGACTATAAAGATAGATAAAAAATCTTCAGATATGGATAATGCGAGTTATTTTGATGTTTTTTTGTTTCAGAAAAATTAGCTCCTTTATGGCCGTTTATTGGAATAGTACTTGAAGTATTGGTTCTTGTTTTGATAATACTGTTTTGTAAAGACAACAAAAAGAAAACAGACAGGAAATCCTCTTGACATTGAACATTGTCGACATTGAGCGAGGAAGAAGGGATGTGGTGGGACAGGGACGGACACGCAAACTGATACAGTAGCTCTCAAATCTACAAAGAATGTGTAACATCGATCAATGGATCTATTCACATCTCTGTTCGATTAGAATCATCAATAGAACAGCAATAATCATGCACCCTCGTCCTCCCTATATAGTTTGCTTTATTTTATTTTATTTCTTGCTAGATACTTTTCCTAGTGATCTACATGTATTCAAAATGCACAATAAAAAATATACTATAGAATAGAAATTTATCTATATTGTTTTGTCATTTCTGTAGGTATTGGGCTATTGTATTACTTAAGTACAAGACTTGTTTGTTTTGTATTGCTAGAAAGATTAAGAAAAAGAAATAAAGTATTCTGGCCCTTATGACCCGTGGTACTCGGTTGAGTAATATCAAGTTCAAGTTGTATTCAAATTTAATATTTGTAACGGAAACACAATCATGAATATGGTTGACTTCAAACGATTTTTCTATGATGACTACTTTTAACATTGTCAACTTGTAACCACTTTTCAGTCTATTTTAGCAAGCTTAAGGGTGGTAATTTTGGTGAACGAATCAAAATAACGGATTTAAGTTATAAACTCGATAATCTTAGAATCATTCACATAATATTTGGTTCAAATTCGTACAGTGGCTCCAAAGGAGACGGGCGCATTTAGTGATGTCCGGGTGAGCTAAAAAGCAGATATATAAGCCAACGAAACAGATAATTAACAACAAAAAATATCTGAAGGTCAACATAAATCTTCAATAATAGACAAAAAATCGCCATGTGTGACTCGTGACAGGACCATTGTAATACCATCATTAGACTGCATATTGAAACAATACTACGAAGGTCCTATACAGATATGAATAAAGAAAGAAATAAAATATTTACAAAGAATTTGTTTTTGCAACAGATAAACAAAATATAAAAAAAACTTGGAAATTCGATGAAAAAAAAATCTTATCCTATTTGCAGAATAGACTACATTGATGTCAAAAAATATTGTTATAATTCTTAACCTATTCTTACTCCAAAGTCATCAACAATGTAGATATTTTTCTTTCAAGTTTGCGGTAAGTATACATTACACCACTTCTAGTTATCCGGAGCGAAATATACATGCACATGCCAGTAAACTATTTCAATTGTATTCAGCAGTCCAATGAAACTACTGTTAAAATTCAGAATCATATTTTTATACAATTAAACACATACAATTATCAAAATACATGCAATTCTGTATTTTGGACTCAATTTGGTAGTCGTACTAAGTTCATTACAATAACAACCTTTGAACATCAAGTTCAATGATAAAAAGAAAATTCTAGCGATAATTTTATCTTATCAGCATAAAAATATGACCAATATGTAGCAGAAACGCGGAAAGAAATGAAATTCACATTAATCTCTCTTATCTATATTTATCTGTAGTCTCACAATCGGGCTCATTATATGCTAGATTGTGACCTAAACGACGGACAAAATTGAAATAATTTTAATGCGCAAAAAAATATATAATATAAGCCTCACTTAGCCATACAGAGGTTGCTATTAAATGTATTTGAAAATTATATATTAGTGATTCAAGTTAGAACTAGACATCGATTGACCGTCGATCGGGGAAGAAAAAAATAAAAAATAAATTTGAACAAGTATGTAGTCAAAATTTCTTTGAAAACTGATCTGTCTTAATCTGTTCAGCCCCTCTACTGAAGCTATCCCATATACACAAAGAATGACTTTCAAAGACATTATCTCAGATTTTCAGCACATCTTCAAATGAATATCTGTTATGAACAAAAGAACGCGGGGTTGCTCTTTAATGTCGACTTATGAAAACTGGTACTGGCGAGTGGTGAAGAATGTATTCACTAACACTTCCCAAAATCTTCCGTCTGAGGGTACCGTGACCACGGGAACCGACAACAACCAGACTGGCTCCAAGTTCTTCAATTTTTTTCATTATGGTGTGACCAGGATCTCCTCCTTCCAATTGCATCACCTTTCCGCCGACCTAAAACAATAGGCCTAAAATAATTCTCCTTGGCTAAAAATATAGTCCACACCATTGATATAGAGGAATTTAGGCATGTCAAATAGTTAACTCCCTTTGAACATTTTAATACGTCAGTGGCGGATTCCGGATTTCCAAACAGGGAGGAGGACCAAGAGTGTCCAACCAAAAGAAATTGCATTGAAGGGAAAGTAGAGAGTTTGGTCTGCAGTTTAAAAAAAGAAAGACCACATGTTTGACCATAAGGGAGACACTTTGGACTTCTATAATGCACAGAAACAATATTCAAGTTAAAACTTACAGTTCAATCCAGATAGTGTAGGTCCATCGACTTTAATATGTATTTCCCTTATGCTGACCATTTTGCTATTGTGTGATTTATTATCCTGAATTGGTACATGTTTCAATATTTTGAGCAAACAAATATCAACATAATTTTCGACACATAAACGCTTTGGAGTTATATAATATACCACTATACGGTATAAGTTTTCTCATTGTTGAAGATCGTACGGTGACATATAATTGTTATATCCACTTATTTGAACCATGGTGGAAAGGTGTCTCATTGGCAATCATACCACATCTCCTTATTTCTATATATAACAGAAGATGTATTTTGTTGATTGTTTACCGTTAATTATAGTGATCGCATTGACATTTACCCAAAGTTTCCTTATCTATAATAACTTTTCCATTTTCTTTTAAGACAAAGGTCAATATCCGTTTTATGAAACATTATACCTGGTATGCATCAAGTTTTTCTTTTATCCCTTTGCATATTTCTTCTCCTTTAGCTGTTTCTTCGTGGTATTTATGGACAATAATATTTGGATCAACGGGCATCCATTTAGCTGTAAAGGTAAAATCAAAGAAAAAATATTAAAGTTTATTTAACAGCATTCTAAGTATCATTCATATATTTGAATACTTAGTTAATTAACTTTTTGATCCCCACCCTAAATTATCTAAGCTGTGAAGCACACGTTTGATGCCGGTTTTGTGCGATCATAAAAAATATTATTTATCAAAATTTTAGTAGCAATTCGCTATTTTATCCTACTTTTTTTTTAAGTATAATCTTAGTCGCCATGATTAGTAATAGTAACTCGGCAGGAAATTCAAAATCAGATATAATTTTGAAACTAGACAACCTGCTATAATGACTGTTTGGCCAAGCTTATTCCAATTGGCTTAGCTGTGAAAGAGAAAAACATTTTTGAAGTTTTCGACGCACGCTAATTGATTTAGCTAATATTGGTCTTCTAGGACAATTGAGCCAAAAATACAGATTTTGATAAGTGTTTGGTATAACTATAAATTTTCACTTCGTACTATGAACATCAAAATTATTTATTTTGTAATAATATTTCCTTTCTCTATTGGTACTGTACACGTATACCTAACAACAATATTATTTTCATTTACCTGTGTTTAAAGTTATTGCAAATGGATGGTATTTTTGTTCGAGCATATTGTTTTTCTTTAATTGTTTAACATTTCTTACCGATATAGCATGTTACTTTTATTATTCTTCCCTTAGTTTATTTATTTTGTATTCAAAATTATTTATTTTGTAAAAATATTTCCTTTCTCTTTGGTACTGTACAGGTATACCTAACAACAAAATTATTTCAGTTACCTGTGTTTAAAGTTATTGCAAATGGATGGTATTTTTGTTCGAGCATATTGTTTTTCTTTAATTGTTTAACATTTCTTACCGATATAACATGTTACTTTTATTATTCTTCCCTTAGTTTATTTATTTTGTATTTACATTGTGCCATAGCTCAAATTTATTTGTTCAGTGTATGTTCAATGGTGTTAATATGTCCTTTGATTGAGTTAAGCTATTTCAGTTGATATTTTATAGTGTGTCTTTCTATGTTGTGATGTTACACTATTGTTTCAGAAAAGGGGTGAAGGTTTGGTACCATTAAAACGTTTAAACCCGCTGCATTTGTTTGCACCTGTCCTAAGTCAGGAATCTGATGTTCAGTAGTTGTCGTTTGTTGATGTGGTTAATAAGTGTTTCTCGTTTCTCGTTTTTACAGAGGATGACCTTCAGGTCATTCCGATGTATTGCTATCGCCTAAATTTCCATTATGCAAATTAGTTTTGGGATTTCAACCGATCTATAAAAATTATAGATCCGCGGTCATTACAAGGGAAAAAAGTGCATTTTTATACCTGCGATTCCGTTTTCCGTTCGTACGATGTTTCATCAAAAAATGGAATCATTTCAGTTGTTGATTTAGTACTGAAAATTATCTCCTTTTAAATACGTTTTTTATATGTTTAATTGGTGTTTAAGAAAGAGGTCAGGTGCTCATGTTCATTCATAAAATTATCGTTCATTCATTCATGAATTTATCGTAAAATCAAAATCACTACACAGGTCACACAGGTTGTATACGTAATGTCAAATGATTACCTGTAATCTAAAAATAAACAAACTTAACTGACTCCCCTTACTATAGTGTGTGATAACATTTTGTGAGGAAATTCGATGTTTGCTATACCACTGTTCATTTCAACGCACTTTATGACGATACCACTTTATCAATATGAATGAAATTTTTTGCAGTGTTTTAAGAAATAATTTTACTTTAAAATCGCGTATCATTTGCTAACTATTAAATGTTTTACAAGGACGAATTTTCTGTATAAAGTCAATAATTGTGTGAACTTTTGAAGCCCAAACTTTTTATAGCCTTAAATATGCTAATGAAAGATCCGAAAACTATACCCATACAGAACGACATGTTTTTGAAATTGTAGCAAAACTTTTGGTTGACAAATTTTAATTCGTTATTGCATAAATATTAACTTGAAATATCTGTCATTTTCTCCCTACCAAGTTTACCCCTATTACTCATTATGACGTGGACTGGACATTGTTATTGAATCTTTTGCAATTTGATTGGATTAAGTTATTATTAGATTACCTTCAAACTGTTCATGCTTTTTCGTACGAGTATATCGATTAAATCAGAGCGTGCATGAATGTGTACAGTAAATTAAATGACCTGCAAACTGGACACTGGACCAGTCCATATTACGTTTTATCAATGAATAGATTTGTTTTTTTGTATTTTCCAAATTACAGGGCCCATAAAGGGCATAAAATCAGATACAATTGATTTACATAATTGGTAACAACAACAATAATAGCGGCATATGAATGAAACTTAAGGTATGAAAGGTAACAATTGCCACTTTTTATCTTTTCACATAATTTTCCACATACACATTAGATAAATTATTTTTGATAGCCTATTGCGGAGAAAAAAGAGAAAGTTCACTGTATTAACGTTCTATTCCATTAAATACGTCATTTTTCGCAGAAAAACATTTTATGCACGGCTACGCCAGGTAAAATTGTTGTTTATCCTAACAAAAAAATACAATTTTCAGTTTCATTAGAATATTATAATAATAATAAATCCCAAATTTATGTAGTCATTAGATAAAGTCCTTATATGTCCGATCTGCCTATTTTTGGACATCAAAAGACAATACGATCGTTTTAAGGTCACTATGATTTCGTCTACCTCACACAATCTTGTTAGGCACTATAATGAAATGGACCTGAAATTTATTTCACATGTTTCCTGAAAATTGATAAATATCAAAGCAACATAGAGCTGTTTGTTCTAGTTCGTATAATGACAATTTAATGTCATGTTTGTTTGTGATGACCCCCCTTTTCGGGATTGCATCAGAATTATAGTTATCTCGTATCGCATGAGGATGACACATATCAACTGAGCAATTATGTTTGGGACTTAGTTTTAAGAAATGATGTCAAAGTAACATTATGAAAATATTTTTAGTAAGCTGAAATATATATTTATTTTTTACATGTTTATGTCTTGTAAGATATTTTATTTCTTGCCCGTTTTTCAACATTTGCGTCTGGAAAGTTGAAATGTTTTAACTGAATGGTTAATTTAAATTAATTATGAAAATTGTTAAAATTAAATCAATAAAGGAAATTATTGCCCAGTTACAAACACTACCAGGGGACAATCCATATTGATTTTTTTTTTAGTTATATGTTTCAGCACATGTATAATTAACCCCAACTTTAGCCTGGTAAACTTGTTGTCTCCTTGTGAAATATAAAACATATTTAAAATGATTTCCTGCTAAAGTCTTTTATTGATATAAAGTTAAAACCGTCTTGCTTCTCACTAGTCAACACTCCTGTCCTGCCAGGTTAATTCTTATATATATGGATGAAAAAAAAGTCCACAAAGCATTAACATGGCAGCAATTGCTTTTACAGCCTTTAAGGCTTTGATTTTTTTTACAGAAGAGTGTCCACCATGCACTTGCACTGCACTATAATAATAGTAGAATAGAATGATTTACAAATAGATGAAAATTATATATACATGCAACCGTAATATTAATATAATATATAACAACAAACCAGTGTATTCTCTGGAACTATTATTATATTAGTATAATAGTCTAAGGTATACTGATTTGTATCACTACAATATAATAGTTATTACGGTGAGGTTGAATTTCCTGTCATTTATTCATCATCCAACCAGGAACTTGTATCAGAAAAGAAAATCTCTGTAAATTAACCTCAGTTTCAGGTATAGAGATGTGATCTGTTTCTGTGACATGTGCTTTTGACCATACACAAGAACCTGCGGTCATCCGATGTTCAGTACTTCAGTACTTTGATTTATATAGATTAGACCGTTGGTTTTCCCGTTTGAATGGTTTTACACTAGTAATTTTTTGGGGCCCTTTATAGCTTACTGTTCGGTGTGAGCCAAGGCTCCGTGTTGAAGACCGTACTGTGACCTATAATGGTTTACTTTTATAAATTTTGACTTGGATGGAGAGTTGTCTCATTGGCACTCATACCACATCTTCTTATATCTATTTGCACAGTTATGTCAGTTTTAGGGTAGAAACACAAAGTTACAAAAATCATATAACCTGAATTTTTTTTCATTACGTCTTAATTCGAATTTTAGTCATTTTGTTTGAACTAGGCTGGTCGTGAAACATAATATGTTTACAAATCATTGACAATCAGACAACATCTTATTATTTGTGGCCGTCAAGCTGTTGTGCAAACTTAAGAAGACAGTGAGAAAGGACAATTCATGCTCTCTAAAGTAAATTATTCAATCAATTACACACACCTATATATATGCACATAAATGTATTGTTTACAAATGTCAACTAATTTGGATATATATATATATTAACTTACACTCATATTTGTGTTGTGCCTTGTGGTGAACGCAGTACATCACTATAACCTCATCATTTTCTTTGTAAACATTTTGCACGTAAACTATAAAACGAAAATAGACATATTTTTATTTTACGACTATCACTCACTATGTACACGTTTGAACAATTCTTTAAAATTGATCTGATTAAAATTCAGATTTATCTTAATAACTCGCGTGCTCGTATATAACTCAAATGAGGATAACGAAACCAGAGATCTATATTTTAATTAGATTGCTTTAAAATGTGCGCAACTTTTGAAACCCCTGTCCTCGTCGTCCCTTTCGACAATATTATATTCGCCTTTGACATAATTTGAACTGTGACCAATGACACCTTATGTGAACTGCAGTTGTGCCTCGTCATGCATGTGCATGTTTCTCAAATGTTTTGAGTTCAACAAATAAACTACGTAAATAAAGAGTTTTTGATTTAACTTGTGATTTTTTTATTGATCACAATCAATACTTATAAAACTTACAATTCAATGCTATATCTGAATGTTTACTTCCATCCATCGCCACAACAGCGATCCTTTTTGCAGTTTCTGTCCCTTCGGCCATTTGTCAGATTAAAAAGTTTCTGGAATATTTAGACGACCAGCAGGTCAAGTGTAAAGGTCTATAAATAAAATTTAATAGTCGGATAGACGTGTTACTTACATAAGATCGATGGGTAATTTAAAACTATTTATAAATACCTAATCTCTTGTTTATTTATAGCGTTTCTACTTGATACGTGATACTTAAGACACTGGCGTAGAAGACCGGGTGGATGACAAGGGGCAATTGTCCCCCTTTTCCACTTTCAAAAGTAGTTGGGGGGACCATGTTTTAACCCTCCACTTTTGCGGCAAAATAAAAATCTATTGAAAACGAAAGAGGACGACGAGTATAACTCCTAGACTCTAAGTCTATTTAAAAGCTTTTTTGTCACTTTAAGAAGTTTGAGCCACCCTCACCCCCACTCCATTTTTCAGCCCACTCCTACGCCACTGTAAGGTGTCACTTTATATTCGTTGTATTGCAAATGAAAAAAAGTCCGCACTTAAAGGCTCCACATATACAATCAATGTTATGTAATGAACTATATACTGTGGATACATAGTAAATCGTTGGATAACAATTTTCGTGAATTTCGTGGGTATAGGTGACCTTCGCTGTCAATTTCTAGATATGAAGCAGACCTAAGTGCATTTGTGGTGTCCTATGCAATCAACAAGGTCACTGAACTTAATCTAAATTATACCAAACAAACAATACCAAGCAAACAAACTAAAACAAACAAAAACAAATACTCCCTCTATATTTCGAAACAGGAACTAAAAGTATGATGCTTGCTTCTTTTCATTCTCTTGAGCAGCCACTGTTTGAAATATAGACGAAGTAAGGAAAGACGGTGATGTTTGGTTTCTACTTGAAAGTCGGCTGCCTGTTGGTCATTTTTTTTATAACGAACTTGAACTAATGACTTCAATCTGTCTGCAAGTTTATAAAATAAGAAATACTTGCTAAAAGAGTAGAGAGGTTAAAGGATATATATACTTTTGGACGAGAAGACAGATTGACACAGCCCGTGATGTATAGGGAGTTTCATAGTAAGCCTGGTTTTGCTAAAAGAACAACAATGCACACGTTGTCGGATGTCGAAAAATCAAAGTATCGACAAACAGGAAATAAGTACTTGAATGATCCAAAAAGTGCTCACATGTTACAACACATAACTATCAAAGCTGCATGTTGACGAAAGGACCAAAATTGAAGTCTTTAATTCTTTTAAGTAGTTTCTGAGAAAAGTGTGACGACCATATTTTTTGAGGAACGGACGGACGGATAGACGACTAGGTGATTGCAATATAGAGCAATAGGGTATAATAATTAATACATGTTAGTAATTTGGAAAGAACTTTCGTGGAGTGTTTGGCGAGCCCATCTATATATCGTTGTTTGTAAGAACGTCTTTGTGCAGGGAGATAAGGTTGTCGTACGCCTTTGATTGAAACTTTATCGGTATACCTTCGAACATCCAGGATTTCCTTTTAAGAATATGTCTTTGGAGTAATGTAAGGTACCTACCTGCAAGTAATGGATTCCCTTAATAAACAATTTACACACAGACTGAGAAACGATATTGTGTGTAAACATTTTCTGAGGTCGTCACAACCATAAATTACAAAAAAGTTCACCTAAGTTTTGATAAAACTACATATCTAATAGACTGACAGATGATAAGAATGTATCATCTAAAAATGTCAGAAACGAAGCACTGCCTATATATTAGGCAGCTTTTACTCTCAAGAGCCAGACATAAGAGTTGTTGCATTGGTGCCCATTCACGATGATTGGCCAACCGACAAGGGATGTTACTTCGAAATGAATGTGCCGGCAAATCCTTGCGTGGTACTTTTCAATTATGGTTGCGTTGTTCTGAGTGGCCAACTAATATGGACACCAGCACGGATTGATGGCTTTGATATTTATTATATATAATCTTTATTGCAAAATGTAAAACCCTGACGGGTTAAAATGCAAACATAATATACATGTTCCGGACCATATGAGTATTTGGACCATACGCGTATGGTCGGACCATATGAGTATATATCCGTTTGGATATTAACGAGCTGGACCATATGGGTATTTAGATCATATAGGTATTTTTCGATTATATTCTAAATGAACTTTTTCTTCTTTCCCCGGTATTTAGATAATTTAATTTCTCAAATTCTTCTAAATTTTACCTATTTTCACTTAATTGATGTGTTTTTGTTCCTATTCATACGATCTTACAATAACAGTAGTCCAAACATAAAAACATATAGGGACAGCACGTTTAAAGTAGTGATTGTATAAATAGGAGCATGAACACATTAAAGATCATTAAATAACTAGAAATATTATATGCATATCAGAGTGAGAACATGTAAATGTGATGCTTATAATATTTTTTCTGCTCCTAGACGGACACTCGGAGTCGGGTTTTAATGTGCTCGTTCACTAGAAAACAGTCCACAGGAAGATATGTCATCGTGCCGGACACATTGTTCCGAAACATAGCTCACTAGTCTTAAATAATGTCGCGTGCTTAGTAGGTAAGCAGCAAATCCCAATTTTCAAGTTTTCGGTTGAAAACTTCGGGGATTAAACTCACGACCTCATGCGTGCACTCGATGAGAGCATGCATTTTACAATTAAAACATCAATAACAAAAAGTCCAACACACAACATATATTTTAATTAATGTTTACAAATGAACACAGGAATGTTTGAATGATGGAGTATATATTCACTAACACTTCCTATAAGTGTACGTCTAATGGCCCCTAAACCTCGGCTGCCAACAACAATTAAACTGGCCCCTAATTCCTCAGATTTCTGAACTATTGTGTGGCCTGGATCACCGCCGTCTAACTGAATGACTTGTCCACCAATCTAAAGAATGCATAAAATGTATCTGTTATTCAACTGCATTGTTTGTTTTCTTCAGAAATTATACCATACAAAATGTAGTCTGAACAAATCAGATGTCTTTAGTATGATACAATTTTAATTAAATGTTTACAAAACATTGAATTTTTCGAAATACTTTGGATATTTTACGCCAGGAGTAGATAACCTTAACTGTATTTTGGCAAGCCTTTCGGAACTTTGGGTCTGTAATGTTCTCAACTTCGTACTCTATGAGTATTTGTCCTTTTTAACTTTTTTTATTTGAGCGTCACTGATGAGTCTTTTGTAGACGAAATGCTCGTTTTGCGTATAAAATTTTAAGCCTAGTATCTATGATAAGCGTATCTTCTCTAAAACTTAATATAATAATTACAAATTATGTCCAATTCTAAAAAGACAAGTGAGTGATTGACACATGCTGATAACTGTTTTATTGTAATTTTTCATTAAGTGCATGTTCCAAATTTGTACAGACAAAAGTTACAATACAAAGTACAAGGAGCAAGAAGGGTATTATTTTGCATAGTTACTCGGGACAATTTTTTTAGCCCTCCCCCTTTTTTCCAAAATCCGTTATTTTTTTTTGTTTTCCATTAATTTCAATTATTTTCGCGTTTTACTGTATAATATGAACATAAATATACTAGAAATAACTTGTATTTTCTATTTACTATCAATTCCAAGTTTATTATCCACAGCAGTCACTGATATATTATATAGTGAGCTCTCTATATAATATATCAGTGACCGCTGCGGATAATACACAATTAAACAATAACATGGATACATTTCTATAATTATATTTTGACGATTTTGTCCACCTGCTGTATGATAATATTTCCACTGTCGAAAAAAACCCAATTTGATCAAATAAGCTGTAACCTGTTATAGCTCGGAATAGTCAATATAACATGTCCCAGGTTATAGAAAAAATGCATCAAATCTATATTGTTAATTGTTTCTCGTGGATACAGAGGCAATTTGGTAATCGGACTATAGTAAAACATTATATCCCAAAAACATAAAAAAAATAATAATATAAGGTTTCATTGCCTCATAAACTTGGATAAAAAAAACCTCTTCAAGATACTAGGCTATAATAATTTGGTACACAAGACTCATCAGTTGCATGGCGCTCGAATCAAAACAGCTGGAAGACTAAATCAAATACGACTGATGTTGGAGCGAATAAAAAAGCATGAAGTTGTGCTGTTTGAATAAAATACTGAAAATGATTTCAATGGAGGCAAAACTACTAAACAAAACAAGGTAAACATGAATTAGAAGGGTCTTCCAATATCATTTGAGAAATAAATTTATCACATTTTCTTTAAATCACAATTGTTTTTATTTCTTTTTTTAAACAAATCTTCAATACAAACACTATTGTTTTCACTTCCCTTCAGAACCCCCCCCCCCCCCCCCCCCAATAAAGAAATTAAGATTCAAACTCCATATCCAATGGTCGCGTGATCCAATCAATTCCTTAAGATTAAATATCTCATGATATGATCCATGCACGTTAGGCACAGACTGTGGCAAATAATTCTGACTTCGCTGATGCTGCTTTAAGACATGTAAGTGAAATTCCCACTACTAAGTAAGAACATGGAGACCCACACGTAGCCTCTGGCTGTTGGCAATCCTCTTTAAATAAATAAAGAATTAAATTAAGTAAGAACATTACCTTGTACGTGTCAAGTTTGGCTTTCAGTTTTTTACAGACCTCTTCTCCTTTCTTTCTCTCTTCGTGGTATGCATGCACAACCAAATGTGGTTCTACGGGCATCCAAACAGCTACAATTTATTAGAGTAACGATAATCAACCAGAATTTGAATAAGAATTGGTTTACTCACCACGGGGAATACACCACAAGACCAATATGATAATAAACATTTGCAGAACAATAATACATTCAATCTAGACAACAGACGTGTAAAAAAAAACACAAAAAAACACCAACATTTTATTATGAATATCTCTAATCTGTATAGGTTATAGAAATCTTTTATTGTATGTCGTGTTGCCTTGCACTTAAGGATTGTGATAAAACAAATAAAAACAAATAACAAATAAAGTAAAAACACTGACACATTTCACATTCACATATAAATATAGGTCTATTTGAGAATCAAACATTTTTCAGGTTATTTTGTCTTCAAAATGCCAAAGAATCCAGTTTTAAGCATATTTAGACAAACCAAAGTACATTTCAAATAGATGTGGTATTGTACACAAGCATAGTATAAGCATTACCATAAATAAATCATGTTGAAAAATATTCTAAAAAACCTAAACTCTAGACGAAACTGTAGTTATATATGCAAGTTTAGATTGCAGAACACCAAAAGTTGAAAAAAAAGAATATACATATGAGTACAGAGCCGCAACATCTCCCAACCCTCGCTATATAGATGAAATAACACATAAAAGCCTCATCAATTTTAAGTATGAAGGTAAACATATTATGTAAAATCTGAAGAAAAAATAAAGGAAACAAAATTGTAACTTACATCCATAAGTGTTCTGTGCTCTATGGTGAACACAGTACATAAGAACGACTTCGAAGCCTTCATGGTAAACATTCTTAACAAAAACTGAAAATAAATAACACACAAAATTTAATGTAAACTCACATCCGTAGTCATGTTGTGCTCTGTGGTGAACATAATACATAACTACAACATCGTCGTTTACTTTGTTTATATTCTGTGCAAAAACTGTAAATAGAAAGGAGACAACTCGTTTAACAGATGGATTTTCTTACTATCTGCAGATTCAAAGGCGATCAGTCTTCCACTTACATGTATAACTGGTCAAATACACAGGCGCTTGCGGAATGGTTCCTCTTTACGTCTATAAATATTTTTTTGGGTGTATTTCATTTTTTAGTCGAACTATTCTTAATAGTTTAACTTATTTAATGTGTTCTGGCTCTTATCCATAAAGTATTACAATAACAGTAATATATATGATGCCCATTTATTCTTTTAGTCCTTTTTGTCGGAAATATATATAAAAAAATGGATAAAAAGGGGGAGGGGTGACATTCACCGAGCGCCTTTGTTTAAGTATTGTAATATTATGACTCATCAAATGAAACGTTATTCGGATTATTGAAAATTGTGCTTGTCCTAAGTCTTAACGTTTCAGTTTTGAATTATATTAATTTTCACAATCCTTTAAAATAGCCATGAAGACTTAGTGTAAGTCTGTGGGATCAACAAAACCTGCGCTTCTTAGACCTTACTCAGTTATATGTTGAGGGATGCTGGGAAATATAAAAATATTCGCATGCGTCTTACTCTAGTGAAGCAAATTGTAAAAAGGTAAGGTTTTTTAAAATAGTTGAAAATATTCTTACCAAATATACTATTTCGAACACAATTCGATTGCATAAATTTTAAAAAAAAGTGTTTGTCGATTTAATTTCAAGAGGTAACCGAAAAATGTTCAACGTTGTTTGAAAAAATCACCGGCGTCTGGGAGCTTCTTACATTAGGACTATCCATGATTCATAGATTACAAATTATATTTATAGTCACGAATCCTTGAACCTATATTTTTACTGCCTCGAAGCGTTTCATTAATGTATTTCGGGCTTACTATGTTTTTATAAACATAAACAATTGCACCAAAAAGAGGTGTTATGATTTAACATGTTAAAGCTCACGTATTATGCACAAAAGTGCATTTTGTCACTTTCCGTATTATTCATGACAAATAAATATGATAGAGAGGTCGTTCACATTAGCTTAAACACCGATATGACAAGTATGTTACACAAAATAGATAATGATTTGTATACAAATGGGCATTTTTGCATGCGTTTAACTTACAATCTAGTGCCGCTTCTGATGCTTCACTTCCATCCATAGCCACAACAGCAATCCTGTTACCTGGTCCCTTTGATGCATCTGCCATTGTACCGAAAGTACAGATAAAGTAAAACTACGATAGGTCGAGTGTGACAGTCTAAAAATAAATGTTGTATATTGATTTCACTACAGCTGAATTTATACTGCGCAGTATATTATTGATGCCCTGGTAGTAAATTACACAACCAGAGACATTGTGAAAAAAAAATGTTGATGCATTGATTGCACATGACGTTTGCTTTACGCTGTGGTAGTCAAAAGACTGTTTCTCGGCACCTGCATTCGCGTTTTTAATCGAAATATGGGATTGATGAAATAAAGTCTTTTATCATATTTTTAGCTATACAGTTTTAACAACTTTCCAACTATTTAAACCCGCTCTCGTAAAGAGGAGTATACGGGTTCACTTGTGTCCTTCCGTTCTCCAGGAACATGTCGCATTTCTCTCTGCAGCTACAAATCAGAGCTTGATAATTGATATCAAGCTTTATATTGGTATCCAATACTTTTAGAGCCGTCATCTATCTACTTATTGTTTTCTGTATACATTATACAAATAAGGAAATGTCAGTTGCATAATTGCCAAATGAGACCACACAATTTATCAAACTATTTGTTTTTTGTCACACAAAGCACGAAAATTTACCATTCAATTTAATGGCAAATGCTATATGATCATTTATTTGTTTCGGAGTTTAGTGTGACGTCCATTTTCACTGAACTAGTACACATTTTTGTTTAGGGGCCAACTGAAGCCCGCCTCCGGGTGTGGGATTTTCTCGCTGTGTTGAAGACCCATTGTTGACCTTGGGCTGTTTACTGCTCTTTGGTCGGGTTGTCTCCTTGACACATTCCCCATTTCCATTCTCAAGTTTACTATCAAAGTGAAACAGATTCGTATTACTTCTCTCAATGATCAATATATTTTAAAAAAAATAGGAATCTGAATATTCTATTTATAAAAATAAAACATGCCACACCTTACCTCAGAGTTAAATAGTCGTTCCCTTAAGACCAAACGACAAAGATGTCATCAACTACGGTCATCGTACGGTCTTATTTAATGACCTAAACCTATAGAACATAATACTCTATAAAAGGGTCCGCTATGATAAATGTGAAACAACTCAAAGAAAACTGCCCGAATTATACTAAACACAAATATGACATTCAGCAACCAACGACAAACTCTGGAAAACAGTTGCCTAGCTTGGGAAAAACACATACATAATGTGGCGTGGTTTAACATGTTTAAGAGAACAATCGTAGATACATGCTCACAAAAACATTAGGCAAAATACAATAAAAAATCAAATCCTTAAAGTTAGTTACAAGTATTTCATCATCCCCGAAGTCACTGGGCTTCAATGATAAAAAGAATGTCATAACTCTAAATCAGTTTACGGTGAGCCTATATATGACATATAACTTAATCTTAACGGAAAGTATATACTTTATGAATAACCTTCTTTAACAAAAACATGGTAGATGACCAATCTAAGTTATCTCTTTGATGGCTATGGTCTTTTGCTCGTCTTCAAACAGTCAGGATTCTACTTTGTCAATATTATCTCCCCATTACGCCAGCTAATTTTTTCAATCGTAAAAATGGAACCATTGTAGGGATGACGCACTACCAATTTAGCTCTTGAAAACCGATAAATCCACATAGCACCTTTACGATCCTTATATGCCAGTTGTATTTTAAAAGACAAATGTATCTACTAGCTATTGAGCATCATTTAATGTACTTTTTTGCATGTAATCAACTTAAAACTATTGTCTCTGATCGGTTGTCAGGTAGAATTTTCGAAAGTTCAAAAACATTTAAAAAAATTCTAATTAAATATTTCGTATTAGGGCAGACTAACATTTTCAGAGGTTGAAGACTGATAACCCTAGATAACACACACAAAAAATGAAGCATTTTTGAAGTTATGCATTTTAAAGATCAACTTGTAAAGTCTGTCGTCAAGTACTTTTAGTAAAAATTTGTTATCCGAACACACCTACTCTGCTATTATGATTCATTAGAAAGGTATTTCACTTGACCCATATATTTCATTTCTTAGTACCTTGAATTTTTAATGTTATTAAATCAATCTGTAGCCTAAATATGTAAAAATAATAGAATCTGAAGCGATATGACGTATCAAATATTTATGCTCTATACGTTTTAAAGACAGAATAAATTAATGCTTTAAAGAGATCAATCTATTTTTTTCTGTGGATTTTTATTCGGCGGAATTTATGCTTATGCACAAAAAAGATCCACTTGTATTTGCACCAACCACAATCGACTGTTTTATGAAAATTTGTCTATAATTTAAAAATTTACAAATATCTCGAAGCTCCATGCTATAATTTAAGTGAAAACACGTATATCAGATGCATACAATCCTAAATTATGCATCTTTATTGAACTTTTAAAGCCCATAGAAAGAGATGCAAACAATTTAAATATACCAATTTCATTTTTTTTTCACCTTCTCTAACAAAGCGTTCCATTTCTTTTGTTTGATTTCAACTGGGTATCCGCCAGCAAATGAGATGGTAGACTCGATCCCCGTTGGTAATAACTGAGAATTGTTTTATTTTGGAAATACAAAAATGCATATGCTAATAGAAATAACAGTAAATACTAGTTGGATTATATCATATCAACATCAAGTTCAACAGTATATGGCATTAACTACATGTCAATAAAGTCCAATGTATCATCTTATCAAGACCAATGAAGAAAAGTATATTCTCCTTATACTCTGGATAAGTGAATAACAATTTATCCTATTATCTGGACCAATGAGGAATAGTTTATCCTATTATCAGGATCAATTAATATAAGAACAGTTATCCGCCTATCATCTGGATCAGCGAAGAACAGAATATACTCTTATTTCATGTATCGGAATCATAAGCGAAGAACAATGTATCCTTATAGTGTCTCGATCAGTGAGAATAAGTGTCTAGATCATATATATATATATCCACCTTTTATATATAGAACGTTCGTCAAAGAAAATGGGTATGCGAAGAGCAGTTTTGTCTTCCATTATCTCGATCAGTGGGGTATAGTATGTCCTCCTTTTATCTACATAAGTTGGGAATAGTATATCTTATTATATGGATCTGTGAAGAATGCTTTATCCTTTTGTTTGGATCAACGAAAAACGGTATATTTTAGTATAAGGATCAATGGGGAACAGTACCTTCTAAGTTAAAAAGAACAAATGATGCAGCAAAATACCACAATTATAATCATTATCCGAGATAGCAGCAGATGATAAAGACCCAGTTCACACTTTGACATTTAGATCGATTTAAACTAGATCGGTTCACTTTAGATCGATTAATCACTTAAGCCCAATGTGAACGCTTTGGATCGATTCGATCTTTAATCGGTCTAAACTAAAACACCAAAAGAGGTAGTTTAGTTTGAATCGATCTTAAATGAACCGATCTAACTTTAAATGTGAACGCAGAGATCGATCTAAACAAGTACAGTTGAATCGAAAATAATTTGTGCGCATGTATAGCGGCAAAATCACACTTGCAATTTATTACAAAAGGGATGACCAACATAAAAGGGCTGAACATTAACGAAAACTGTACGATTACGGGATTAATAGATGGGCAGTCACCTCGATTCTAGATAGGTTGTGGAGTAATTCATTTTTGGTGGAAATGCTTTCCGTCTCTTATTTTCATTAGTTTGTTTCTATTTTAATTGCTTTGAATTAGGGTTAGCGATGCACAACAACTGATATGGAAATCTGGGATCTAGGCATAGAAACTCGGATACTCTTTTTTTTTATGCAAAACTTGACAAAATCAATCACTATAAAAAGCCTTTCTCACCCGATTACAATTCTGAAGGTTGTTGTTGGTATTAACATTACTACATGCTCTCCTTGATATTTATATCAATAAATACGAATTGGTGTGAAAAAAAAACTGGCGGAAAAACAGTACATGATATACGACTTGCACAGTGCCCTTTTCAACCTAGCCGTAATCATGTCCTATGATTTTTAAAAATAAAATTGACGACAGTGCTTTTAATATCATGCTGCTTAATTTTTCTCTGAAAATGAAGTCCCATTCAAGTAGCCTTGACCGGTATTTAATGATAGACAACTGAAAATGGTGTCACTCATTTAGTATTATGTTTTAAGCATTACTATAATTTAAAACATTCACACCGACATGTATTGCTATTCTTTCATATTAAAGGAATGTTGAAATTTGAAAGTTGCTCTTATTTATAATACTAGATTTTAAAGCAGTTATTTTTCAAGATAACTCGAAAATCATTATGCACTCTTCTTTTTATTTTTTTAATATTCTATGACGAAAAAAAATACTTTGTTTTACACTACGCATCTGATCGTTTGGGTGGTACTACCTTCCAAACATCCGATTATCCAAGATATCATTGATATATAGACTTAATAGCACAGTACCCAGGACAGTACCTTGAGGTACTCCTGAATCAACGCCGGTTGGAACTGTTTGATTTTGTCCAATATACCACGACTCTCTGCATGTGGTAGTATAGGAATGAGTCAATCCAGCATTGTGTTTTACCTGATATCCCGTAACTGTTTAATTTAGATTTAAGTAGTTCATATGGGGCTGTACGTGTCGAAGGCTTTTTCACAATCTATTATAAATTTATCTTTTTGATGTCCTTTATCAATGTTTTTGGTCCAAGCATTAATACCAGTGGATATAGTCGCAACTGCAATATTTACGAAAAATTGTTTTTCGTTGATGATATTATAATGATGTAGGTGACGCATTATTTTGGAGCATACTATATGTTTGAGCATCTTAAAGAGATTGCAAGTTAATAATACTGAGCTGTAGTTTGCCAGTATCGAATGGTCAGCCTTCTTGAAAAGTGGACAAATGTCTGCTGTTGCCAATTCATCTGGTATTGAGCTGGTATGGGTGAATTGTTAAAAAAGGGTGACTACTGATAGCTATGTGCTAATTCATTTGATATTTTTACGTATTCTAGGTATTATTTTAGTCTGGCCCACAGGCTTTTGATGTATTCATTAAGTCCATGTACTAATTTTTATTTCATCCCTGTTTAGTTATTAAGTAATTTCTATGTA